CGGGCGCAGACCCAGTGAGAAACCCTCTCCTCCAGGCCCTGAAAGTCACGAGGTTCACGATCCACTCTGAGCTCTAACCGGGCACGGGGTCGCAACCACTCCCGGGCATTCGCGCACTTCCGACGGCACAGGCGGAGCGCGGGGGGCCGCGGAGAGGGCAGGAGGGGACGTGGGACTCCCGGCGGGCCCGCGCGCAAACTGAGGCCAGAGAAGGGGCGACCTGCCCGGGGCCACGCAGGCAGGGAGAGGCACTCGGAGGAAGAGCCGCTCGGGGCTGGCGGGGGCCTCGCCTCACCTCTCCGCCTCAGCAGCAGCGCGGCCACGGCGCTGTCCACGCCGCCGGACAGGGCGCACACGACGTGCCGGGCCGCCAGCATCCGCCCGCCGAGCCAGCTTCGTCTTGCCGTTGTCTGTGTTGTCGCCGCCGCCGACCCCGCAGCAGCCGCTTCCGCTCCACGCCGGAAGTTAAGTGGCGCCTCCGCCGTGGCGTCTGCGCTCGCTGCCCGGCCGGAAGCGTGCTCCCGCGCGCCCGGGTTCCGCCCGAACTTCGCCGGCCCCGCCTCCTCGCACAGGTGTTCCCGGGCGCGCCGGAGCCAGAGGACTGCTGCCCTACCTGGCCGTGCCCCTCAGAGCCACGCCGGCTCCTCCGACCCCCGGCGGCGCCGACACCCAGCCCGGCTGGGCGTCCCTCTGTGTCCTCGCTGCCTGCGTGCGAGCGGCGCGGGGCTCCGGCTTCTGTCCTTCACGTCATCCCCGCACCTGGGAGAAGACAGGCCTGGAGCTTCGCACTGGCGATGAAAGCAGGGAGGAGGGAGGGAGTCCTGGTATTCCCCAGGGGCAGCGTTCGAGCTGAATTCTTCCACGAGACAGTTGGCATCGTCAGACTAAATAACAAACAGGGAGACTCTCTGAAGGAAAAATGATGTTTATTCAGGAGTAGGCATTGCAGTGAGAATATGGGTGCCAAAATAAACTGTGTGCTAAGCGGGAACCATGTGTGTAAAGGAAGACAAAGCTTTTTAAAGGAAAAAAAGAGGATTAGGTAATTGTTTGGAGATAATTATCCTTGGCTACAAGGATTAATAACAAGGGCGATGCCAGTCCGAGGCTGGACAGGCAGTCGCTGGGCAGATGTCTTTGCACAGGTTTTTGTTGTAGTTCTGGTTTTTCTGTTTGTTCATTTGTTTTTTGCATGAGTTTGCGATGGCTTTTGTGCAAGCTTGTGGTCCTTACAGTCTTTTGTGATAGTTGTTATCAGGCGTTCATACATGACAACTCTCCCTTCATGGGCTTCCCTGGCTTTGCTTGTCAGGGTTTTTAGCACAAGTGACTCCATTTTGATTCTTGACAACTTTCACAGCATCAACTAAAGGAGGAAGGAAAGAAAAGCAGGCAGAGGGATGAGCGTTCTATAAAGGCCCTGGGCCCCTGAGAGGACAGGACCAACGCAGGAGCAGCAAGGAGCTACTGGAGGTGTTAAGCAGGGGAGGGAAATGATTGATTTGAAACCTTTAAAAGACCTTTCTGGCGGCCCTGTGGAAAATGCATTGGAGGAGGTGCTGGGAGCCTGGTTTAGAGGCCATAACAGCACTCTGGGAGAGAGACAGGGTGACAGAAAGATACCATGTATTTGGAGGTAGGGATCTGTAGCCCTTGCTGGTGACTGGACGTGAGGGGTGACAAGTAGGGGCAGGGGCTTGATGTTTCTGCCTAGTGGGACATTCACTGAACAGGAGGAGGAATAGTGGCCTGCCAGATCAACCCCAGCATGAGGTGCCAACAGATAGGACATCAAATTGGAGATGTGGCTGTTCCTGAATGACGGCATGGATAAGGCAGGTGACAGAGGGGAGGTCTTGGGATCAGAAACAGCAGGTGAAAAGCTCATGGATGGACACTGGGAGAACCTAGAAACATTTGGTGGGCCAAATGAGTGTGGGAAGGCAGGAGGGTATAAATGAAAGCAAAAGAAGAGGCCCAAATAGGAGACCCGGACACCACAGAGCCGGCTGGAGGTCCAGTGGCTGGCCAGGAGAGAGGATGGGAGAGCAAGGAGGGGGCACAGAATGGAGGGCCCAGGCCAGGGATGACATGGCTCAGAGCAACAGTGATGCAAGGTGCAAAAGACTATGAGGTTCGGGTTGACACCAGAAGCTACAGTCACTTGTGGAAATCACAGGCATTCTTTAAATCAGTGACTCAGCTTTTTCACCTTGAACCCACAATATCAGAACACATGGCCATCTATGCAGACATATACAAGTATAAAAAGGGGTGCCTCTTGAAACAGTTCTTACCCTTTGTAGAACTTACCATGTACTGTCATGTTTTTTATTTTATTCTTTTTTGTTCTTTTAAAACTTCTGATGTAATCTACAACATTGATTTCATGTAAGATTTAAACCACAGTTTGAAAAATTCAGGGGAGGAAATGCCACTACAAATGCAGGTGGTTTTTAAATCAGGCCAGTAACACACACCAAAGCTTGGCATTCAAATCATGTTAGTTTCTTAACAGTTTCTCAGGTTAACAATTCATAAATGTTTACGTGTGAATAATTACTAAATCAAATCATTTTCTCGAGAATAGGAACAGTTTTAAGGGTCTAGACTACAGTAAAATGAGGAAGGCTCTTAAGTCCCCATTTCCAAGAACAGCAGGAGCTGCCAATGGGAGAGAGTCCCAGCCACTGGTGCCAAGAGGCGGCACAGGGTGAGCTGCAAGCAGGAGGAGTCACAGGGCCCCTGTGGGAAAACAAATGATGGCTACTTTTTCAGAATAAAGGATCAGGAAAATATCCAACAGGGCATCAATTCCATCTTGCATTTCCCAGAGGAGATAAGGAACTCAATATCTGGCCCCCTGACAGCTGGGCAGATTCAGGAGTCAATGTTTAGGCTGCGGCCGTGCTGGCACCACCAGAGTTTTTATTCCCAGTCTAGAGGACCACGCCCTTCTTGGGTATGGCAATCAGATAGAAAGTTATGGCAGGTTAAGTCCCAGTTGCAACCAACTCACAAAGAGGCTTAGACATGACCCACTTACACATATTTTCTGCTATTTTTCAGTGACCTACATGGTTTTTAGCTACTTTGTAGCTCCAAGGACCCTTGGTGTATAATCCAGATCGACCATGGGCCAGCTACAGCAAGGACAGTGACTGCCTGCCAGCAGCAATGTCAGAGATATAAAATGGAAGACATCTGCCCCATGATATTAATGAAATGTAAAAATCACATGAAGCTGGGCCCCTTCAATCTGCGAGAGTGGCCCTCTAGCGGCAGCCAGAGTGCTTGGTGCCTTTCTAAAGAGAAAGTGGCCGGCCCCCAGGGGCTCTGGGAGCACTTAGTCTCCAACTGGCTGGGGCTTCTCACAGGGGTCCTCTGAGTGGAGGATGGAGGGCCTAAGTGCCAGGAGAGGAAGTGCCTGGGGGAGCTCTGTCAGGCCACCGCAGCAGGGACACAGAATGGAGACTCAGAGGAAAGGAAGGAGGCTAAAGCCCAGGATGGGACAAGTGGCTCTAGCCAACTCCTGCTCTTCAGATCACTTCTGCCCCAGCTGGGCACACTGTGCATCTGACCGAATCTTGGCCCCAAGCAGAGCTGGCTGTGCCCGAGGCTGGATGGGGTGGAGAAGGGCCCTGGGCAAAGGCTTAGCTCACCCCCAAGGCTTGCACTGAGCATGGTTGATTATCACAGGTCAGCTGGGGGTTAACATCTCTCCCTACCAAGTGTCAAGCCCCTCGAGGGTAGGATGCCTGAGCTTTGTGTCCTGCGTAGTATCCTGGGCACAGATGCAGCCTGGTCTCAAAAAGTTTTTGTTGAATGAACTAATCCAATTCCAGATTTCTTTTTCCCCCCTGTGAAATGAGGGACCAGACCAAAGGCTACCTGAGGACTCAGGACTCTGGAACTCTCTACAGCCCACTGGAGAAGCAGGGCTGCCTGGTTCCCCCAGGGCTCCGTGCCAGCCAGCCCGGGTGCCTTGCTCGGACAACTCCAGCTGCAGAACGCAACACCTCCACGCACCTGCCTTTGGGGGAAAGCTTCTGTCTACATGTGCAGCCAGGCAGCTGGCAATGCCCACCCCAATGCCACAGGAACCACAGCTCCAAATAGCAATTTCACATTTACCACATTACCCGCAGAAAGTTACAAGTACAGCCCAAGTCTTTTTCCCTCCCCTCTCTGTGGACAGAGGAAGGTCCTGGTGTGGTACAGCAACGTGGGAGCCCAGCTAGTCACTCTCCTACTGTCTGCCGTGAAGCCACTGAACTCGGGCTGTGAGAAATTTCCTCCTAAGGAGATAAGTATATAAATTGTGGCTTCCGGGCCAGCTAGTTTTAAAAGATATTAGAGCAGGGGTCCTCAAACTTTTTAAACAGGGGGCCAGTTCACCATCCCTCAGACCCCTGGAGGGCCGTTGGAGAGTACGGCGCACATTCCACACATGCGCACTATGGGCCCGGGACCAGTCGGCTGCTAAGCAGGACAGGCAGCAGTGGCAAAACCAGATAAATGTTCTCGGCAGGCCGCATGTGGCCCGTGGGCTGTAGTTTGAGGACCCCTGTATTAGAGGCTCCGGGCAGCGAACAGGCTCCCACTGTCCCCGCTGGGTAGCTTCAGCCAGTAGGGGCCCTGCTGAGATGGAGGCCGAGGGTGTGTCCCAGCACAGGGGCCACTGAGGCAGGGCCAACAGACACAGTCCACTGCCTCAGTGTTCAGATGAACCTGTCCGCATTCCACACTGCACCCCGTCTTCTCAGGGTGTGGTCTGTGGCCATCAGTGAGCGTCACCTGGGGGCTATTAACAACGTGGGCTCCTGGGCTTGCCCCAGACCAGGGCTCAGTGCATCAGGGGGCTGGGCCTGGGATCTGCGTATATACCAATTTTTATTCAGACTAATTTTTGAAAATCACTTGCATTATAGTCTGGATAGTAGTATTGCATAAAAATGGCTATGCATGTGCAAAAATGAAGATAAGCTTAAAAAATCAAGGTGTTTTAATATACTTCCATTTATTTTACAATTTCATTTAAATCTAGAATATTTAACTTTACATATACACTTAACTTTAAAAATAGTCACTTGCCATTTTATATACAAAAGATTCAAAACAAAGTTTTTCATGTAGAGTGACTTCAGCTTTGTGATCCAGCCCAGTGACAGGCAGGGCAGAGGGGGACTGTGGGCGGTGGAGACCTCAGGGGTTGGCACTGAGCCCCAACACCGCAGCCCCCTGCTCCAGACACAGTGAATGTATTTATGGTTTTATCCCTTTTCAAATAAAATGTCTACTAAAATATGTTTAGAGGGGTTGCAAACCACTTTAAGACTAGCTGTTCTTTTAACAAAGAGGAGAAGGCAAGGGTTTTGTCCTACTCAGAACTTGAGAAGCGGCGACTCCACGTTTTCCTTGTTGGCCTCAGGACTCAGCTGGATCAGAGGCGAGCCCAGGTCTATGAGCTGCAAGAGAGCAGAGAGGAGACGGTGAGCCCAGGTGCAGCCAAGGTGGCCCTGCCCAGTCACAGCTGCCCAACCTTAAAGCCGGGGCTACCCGGGAGCCAACGCCACCTGGGGCTCGGTACCATAAAAACAATCAGTAAACCTGGCTCAGATGCATGTAAAAGGAATCTCTAAGGGCTGGGTACACTGGCTCACACCTGTGATCCCAGCACTTTGGTAGGCCAAGGCAGGAGGATCCCTTGAGCCCAGGCAAGTCAGCACAGGCCACCTGCCGCCTCTCACCTGCCCTACTGCTTGTAAGGGTTTTGCCAGGACGTTTCTACCCATGTCTGGAGTGTTCATCATGAGGTCGATCAGAGGTCTGCTCTCAGGCCCCACAGGCCCACTTGCGTCGGGGGTGCTGCCCAAGTCGATGAGAGGGACGTCAACGAGGGGTATGGGCTCAGCGCTGGGAGTGGTGGTCAGCGGGTCCAGAGTGATATCTACAAGAGCCTAGACAGGAACACAAGATGGGAAGGAGACTCTAGCATCTTCTTGCCAACCATCTTGGAAAAATCTGCAGTGCTTATGTCCCTGAGTGGTCTGATGGTTTGGAAACCCAAGGTAGGAGGGCTGGGCCCGGCACTTGGCAGGAGGAGGCCTCTCCCCTAGCCACCGCCAGCCTCCGTGTCCACAACCCACCCACCAGCAGCCAACTCACCTGCTACCTACCTCCCTCTTCCCGACCCCTGACCCTTGTCTCTGTGAAATATATGGGAAAAGGTGATGCTTTTTTAACCTTCCAGAGATCTGGAAGTCCTGACTGCCTCTCCTTGGGTCAGCCAGCATTGGAGGCCCAGCATCACAGAACTAAGTGCTGTAGGGAACCCTGCCAGCCACTGTCCTTGAGTTACCACGCAGCTCCCAGAGCAGTGCCCACTGGCCGCAGGAAACACAGGCAAGCCTGGTCTGCTTCAGCCTACCTCACTCAGGGTGGGCGCTGCACTTGGCTTTGCTTCATCCAGAGCTGCTTCCGTGGTGATGCTTTTTGAAAAAGTAAAATCACTTTTTTCTGGAGAAAAGTTAAGTGCCTGAGGGACACTGGATGGAGGAGAATAACTTCCATCGGGTGACAAGTCTGCCTGCCTGGCATCAACCTCTCTGTTGCCCTCCCTTGTTGGGTCAGTTCTGTGGGAGGAAAAAAAAATCTTATAAGGAAATTTCTCCAAAATGCTCATTTATTTGGCATGGCTCAGGAAGCAGGTCGATTTGGATAAACGTCCTGTGACCTGGCCCTGGTGCCAGCACGTCAGCAAAGCCACCAACCGTGAGGCCTTCACCCTCAGCCCCAAGTCTCCTGCGTATAAAAGGCGGGCTGAGGGATTTCTGCAGTGTCTTGAAAAGGAGCAAAGACCACACGCAGGCGCCCCCTGCAGCCACATCAGCTCCAGCCCATCCGGACCCGCCCTGGCAGCTCCCTTGGCGCCCGGGCAGGTCTGAAGCCCTGGTGACAGCTGCATGGCGCTGGCCCTGCACTCTGTGGCACAACTCACACCCTCGGACACTCATCTCCCGCTGGACAGTGACGCGAGCGTGGCCAGGCTTGTCTGCCACCTCTAACACCTGTCCACGTGGAACTGATTCCCAGGAGGAAATCAAGGAAAGCAGCAGGGTCCATAAATTAAAACAGAATATCTTCTTTTTAAATATTTTAAAAGTTTCACAACAATCTGAAACAGAATTTTCTCTGTATTTATACTTACAAACATACACGATATATGAACACACATTCCAAACTATTACACACTGGGCCTCGTTTGTGTTTTTAGTGCAGCTTTTTTCTCACTTTCTCTTCACTGTTCCGAGCCCGTCCTCTCCCCTCGTGACACACACCTGGCTTCCTTTTATGCCAGAGACTTCTCTATTCTCACAGAACTAAATAGGGACATGCGTGGTCAATAACTACTGGTGGTGGATAGACAAACATACAAAATGCATAAGGATATGTAATTTATAAATACTGTGTATTTTTAAAACACACACACAGGATTTTGTGTCTCGGCCACTATTTCTTTTGTAAAAATGGGAACATTTGTTACACTCTTTTGCAAGGATTCCTCTCAGAAATCCATCCAAGTTACTGGTACAACGCTAACTCGTGGTTCTCACAGTCATTAACTTCCAGGCTCTGCTGCCATGAACATCTCTGTACACTCGAACTGCGGTCTCACACCTCTGCTAGGATCCTGGGGTCAGAGTCATGTGTAATTAAATTTAGACATGTTGACAAACTGCTCTCTAAAACATACGATCACCATGCACATTTCTATTAGCAGTGCTCTAGGCTGCCTCTCCCCACTCGTCCACAGAGAGCTGCCACCCAGTTATTACACCGGGCATTTCCCTCACAGCAGTGAGGCCGCTATCTCCTCCGATGTCATGGACCATCTGAGCTTACTCACATCCTCTGCCTGTTAGGTGGTTTTACAGTCCACCATTTGTTTATTGACTTCATTCATGGTCACTGTAGCCAAAAATGGACACAGAAGACTTTAATATCTCCACAGGTGAGCACAGCTATCCTTTCTCACCCCTAGGGTTTTCAGCCGTGATCCACCATGTCTCCTGCCCTAAACTTGTGCACACAAGTCTCCCAGTTCTTCTTGTAACTTTAAGTCTCTAAGTCATCTGGAATTTATTTCTCTATGGTGTAAGTTGGCTTAGATTTAATTTTCCTCCAGATAGATGATCATTTATTTGTGTTTTTTAAAAAAATATTTATATTTATAAGGGAAATCAGCCTACAGTCTTCTCTTTTAGGTGTTACACTACCTATCGTATTTGGCTATAAAGATGAAGTGAGGGCTGAGAGGGCAGCTCACACAGGCAATCCTAGCACTCGGGAGGCTGAGGCAGGAGGATCGCTTGAGCCCAAGAGTTTGAGGCTGCAGTGAGCTGTGATCACACCACTGCACTCTAGCCCACAGGACAGAGCAAGACTCTGTCTCAAAGAAAAAAAAAAGAAGAGGCGGCACAGTGGGCTCACGCCTGTAATGCCCCAGCACTCTGGAGGCGAGGGGCGGATTGCTCAGGTCAGGAGTTTGAAACCAGCCTGAGCAAGAGCGAGACCACATCTCTACTATAAATAGAAAAGAAATTAATTGGATAGCTAAAAATAAATAGAAAAAAAATTAGCCGGGCATAGTGGCACGGGCCTGTAGTCCCAGCTACTCGGGAGGCTGAGGCAGCAGGATTGCTTGAGTCCAAGAGTTTGAGGTTGCTGTGAGCTAGGCTGATGCCATGGCACTCACTCTAGCCCAGGCAACAAAGCAAGACTGTCTCAAAAAAAAAAAAAAAAAAAAAAAAAGAATTAAGGAACTTTCCACCTTTGTTAATGCATAGCCTGAAATAGTTAACTTTAAAAATCATAATAATCTTAAGGGTTACACACAACTCCACTGTGACCTCATTTGAGCCAAGTGCCTTTTTCAATCTTTAACCACCTAAGCTCTAACTATGGCTTAATTCATGTTTCCTGGGGTCAGTTCAGATAACTTATAAATTTTAGGAAGTCATTTCATTAGACTTTCAAATTGATTATCAGAGAATTACAGGCAGCATTTCCTTACAATACTTTTAATTTTTCCTCGCTGTATGTTCATGCCTATTTTCTCACCGCAATTTTCTCTCTTTTGCTCACCTCTCCCCACTGCCATCTGGGGGCAAGAGGGCTGCATGGGGAGCTCCTCAGCCTCAGCCTCAGCCCAGGGTGTGGCCGGACCACAGCTGACAGGACGCAGAACGCTGTCACCCTCCCCGGGGCAGGAGCAGCCCCTGCTGAGTCAGGCCTCTAGAACAGCACTGTCCATAGCACGGACCACAGCTGACAGGACAAAGAATGCTGCCGCCCTCCTGGGGACAGGAGCAGCCCCTGCTGAGTCAGGCTCCGATACAGCACTGTCCACAGCACTTTCTGCAGTGGTGGAAATGTCCAGGATGGCAGTCACTGGCCACATGTGGCAACTGAGCATTTGAAATGTGGCAAGTGCAACTTAAGGAGCTGACTCTCATATTTTATTTAATTTTAATTAAAATTTAAGTGGCCACATGTGGCTGGCAGCCTCCACACGGGGCAGGGCACATAGAGGAGTCCCCTGTGCACTGCTGCCCTCAAGTCCTCAAGGGTACGCAAGAGGGCAATGCCCACCCACTAAAGTCTCCAGTGGCCTCTTGGGGGCCAGGGACACAGGCCTAGTCATAAACAGCCGTAGCTATCGGGGCTCCCACCCTGCCCTTGCCCACCCCCACAGGGCAGCCCCGCCCACATGCTCCCCCAGGCGCCGCAGGGTCCAAGGCCTGATAGGACTGGAATGAAAAGTGGACAAAAGTCAGTCCAAGGGCCCCACATTCCCCAAAAGCCCCAGCCTTCCCCCAAGCTCTGCCATGACGCAGTAAGAGCACAGAAAGCCCAGTGCTTTGCCCATTCAATGTCCGTCACAGAAAAACTGCAGAAGCCAGGGCCCAGCATGTTCTACCTGGGGCACTGCTCATATACACATTTCCTGAGCACCTACTGTGTACCTGGGCCTCATTCTCAGCTCTGGGAATTTGGGGTGACAGAAGACCCTGACAGAAGGTCCCAGCTCTCAGGGAGCTCCCACGCTGGGGGAGGGGCCTGCTGGGTGTCCAGTGGACAAACACACACGCAATCCGCATCCGGGCGGCGAGGGCAGGAGAACTGCTCAGGAAAGGCAAAGCCGGGGAAAGGGATGGAGGGCTTGGGTGGGGAGGTGGGGCTGTTCTACACAGGGTTTCCCAGAAAGCTCTCTGGGGTTGGCCCCTGGACCCTGACTTCAATGACAGGGAAGACAGCTCCACCAGGACCGGGGGAAGCACATTCTACGCAGAGAGGACAGCAGGGCCCAGCTTGCTGCCACCGGGCGGGGAGACACGTGGCAGTGCTGCAGCAGAGAGAGCCGGAGACAAGGTGGGGTGAGCGGGTATTGTCACCCCTGCTGAGAGACTCTAGGACCCAGCTGCAAGAACGGCAGTGATCTAAGAGCCCCTGCGGCAAGTGCTCCTCCCTGCGCAGCTCTGCCTGAAGGGCTGCTCCAACGGCCCTCACCACTCAGACGCTGTGCGCAGGGCAAGGCCTTCTCCCCCGTTTGCCTGGGATGTGGGGTGAGGAAAGTGACAAAGCAGCAAGCAGGTGGCCTCCTTTCCTTTCCACTGCTGAGAAGGGGAGGCGAGATCAGCCCAGTTGTTCCCGACAAGCGACTATACCGCCTTCCTAAATACTCCCCCAAATAGCACAAAAATACTCTCGCGGTTTTGCGCATTTGAGACACAGTTATTGCAACCTTTAACTCTTACCTCACTGCAGATTTTTTCCGGGGCTCAGAGGACAGTCGCCGAGCACACACAGGCAGGGGAGAAGCCACAGCCCTGGGCATGGTTTTAGGGGCCCTCAGGGGGAGGCTGGAGAGACGTCGGCTGGCAGGCGTGGGCAGTGCTGACCCCCGTCTTGTACTCAGGGGTGTCCCTATGCTGCTCAGCAGGGTGGGTGCGGCTGTCTCTGATGAATGTCTAGCGGGAGTGCTATGGACCATGACCCTGGCAGAGACAAAATCGGAGTCTTAAGGAAAGATGACCTAAGAAAAATAAAATCTAATTATTCAGCCAATGTGCTAATGTAATGTCAAGTCTTTTGGTTTCAACATAAAAGATTCAAGCCAGCGCCCTCTGGGCGAGCTCTGTTCTCTGAGGAGGGCTCCGACGTGGGCAGGGCTCAGCTGCTGCCATCCCGCGTGAAGCCCTGGCACCAGCTCCAGGCACCCCAGAGAGAAATGCCTTCACCCGCTCTTTCCTTACAGGTGACTAAAAGACAATCGCTCAAACGTGATTGCACTTTACAGATGGTACCGTTAAAACTCACTTCACGGAGGTTCAGAAGAGACCTGAAGAATCACCTTTCGATGATATCGTAAATAGTTCCATAAGGAAGTCCGGGCCCACAGCAGTGTCTGCTGGGTGGTGGACAGACAAGCAGGTCTCCCCACATCCCATTTGTTCCCAAGTTTAAGGTCATCTGAATCCAACGTGAACACAAATGAGTAAAGCAAGGCCCTTGGTGCTTAGTTCTCACACGTCTCACGTCTCTGGCAGTACCTGTGGCCTTGACTACCAGCGTGTCTTGCCCGCCTGTTGCTTTCCTTGTGATAAAGAAGGAAGCCAAGTCCATTGTTATCTGCCTGGTGGTCTCAATGCTTGTGCCCCTCAAATCTGCATGCTGGCATCTTTACCCCCAAGGGGGTGGTAAAGGTGGTCTTAGGAGGGGGGGCCTTTGGGAGGTGATTAGTCATGGGGGCAGAGCCCTCATGAGTGAGACTAGTGCCCTTATGACAGAGGCCCAGAGAGTTGCCTTGCCCCGTCCCTATGTGAGGACAGACAGAAGGCACCATCTGCAAATCAGGCCCTCCCCAGACACCAAATCTGCTGGTGACGTGATCGTGGGCTTCCAGCCTCCAGAACTGCGAGAAACAGAGGTTTGCTGTTTAAGGCACCCAGCCCAGGGTACTTTCGCTTTAGTAGCCCAAAAGGACTAGGAAATGATTTTAAAATAAAACAAGTCAAGGACACACTGCCGACATGGAACCCACAGAGGTCTGAGGATGACATAGTTATTTATTCTATCTGGACAATTGTCATGTTCTTTAAAAGGAATCTGGAAACAAACCTTAATTAACATCAACTGGAAAAGAGGACACCCAAGGAGCACTGGCAGGGGAGGGCACTACCAAATCGAGCTTCTGCTCTCCGCAAAGTTCTGGAATCACCACCCTACTTCCTTTACTGCCAAGTTCTGGCAGCTCCACCACAAATTCCAGTGGAAATAAATAAAAATACCAACAAATGTAATCCTCAAAGTAACCCAGGCAAGGTGGGGAAAAACTGAGGCACTGAGAGGTGAGGTATTAACAGTAGTGACTGTCTGGCTATGTCCTTTGGTCTTAACCATGTGTGAGAGGGAAGTTCTTGCAGCATGTCTCAGATCTGACCCCATGGACCCTGTGCTGAGCTCACACAGGAGGAAATCAGCCTCATGGATGTCCCCAAGCTAGACTGAGGTGGAGCCAGTATCGCCCTCTCTGGTGTCCTGCCCAGGCTTATTCTGCCCACCCCACCTAGCAAGGTCCAGAGCAGTGCCCAGCCTGGCCACATGCGGATGCCAGGCCCCCAACCCTGCAGCTGTGAGTCCAGGGGGTCTAAGCATCCCTGCTGCCCCCCACCCTGCTCCACGCAGGAGACACGGAGGTGCAGGAGCTCCAAGGCCAAGGAGCATGAGCATGAAGTCTCCTCTGCCATGCCCAGGACACAGAGCTGTGCTGGGCTGGGCCTCAGCGAGTGGCTGTAAGGACAGCGAAGGAGGGACAGTAGCGGGCTGGGGCGGGGCTGCTGTCCGAGTGACTTCCGCCCTGGCCTGGGCAGCCCGTGCCGCACTGCACGTGTGCGCATCCTCTCACTGGCGCAGTGTCTGCAGTGCTGAGCCTGGGGCCATCCCCACCTGACAGACGTGGAAACAGAGCAGGGGCGTTCAGGAACTTGCGCTAGATCACAGACCAGGAAGCGGGGTTGGGGCTGTGATCCAAATCCAAGTCTGAACAACGCAGGCGCCAGTGGTCTCCAACCTCAGCACAAACCAGAGCCTCTGGGAGGTTTTAGAAAACCCTGACGCTGGGCTCCGCCCCAGACCAACCAACAGGGAACCTCCCGGGCGCTGGGCAGCTAGAGTAGCACCGAAGGGGCTCCTGCTGTGGCCCCTGTGACAAGGTCTCCTGTTGCCCACGCAGCCGAGGTGACAGCCACCCCAGTCTCAGGGTTTCAGGTCTGCGGTGGGTATACAAGTGGCTCACACACCTCCGCTCAGTCCGCACCCACGAGGCTGATGCTGAGGCCAGGTGCAGGCCACCACGTGCCCCACAGCACTTGGGCAGTCAGCAGATATCATACATGGGTCGTTCTCACAGTAACAAAAAGAAAGGAAGCCGAGCGAAGCCAATTACCTGCCAAGCGATGTGCACGACTGCGGCCGTTGAGCCCGGGAGAACCTCGGCGTCACGCTGTCTGGGGAGTCACCTGAGGCAGGGAGGGAAGTGTGTGCGGTCAGTCAGACACAGAGGCAGGGGCAGATCTATCCTCTGGGCAACTGTCACCAAATGGGCAACTGTCCTTCAAACATCTCCCTTTCCCAGCTTGGCGTGCACAGGGCACTAGGAAGTGCAGGCGGAAGGTCAGACCAGTCTCTGCAGGGAAACCCGCCAGAGGCAGGCGAGCAAGGGGCCCATCCCCTTACCTGGGGACCCCAGCCAGTGGATGCAGAAGAAAGAGAGCCATTTTCATGCCCCTGCCCGACCCTGGCCGCAAACCCTGCACAGGAGCGAGCATGACGCTGCAGAAGGCTCATACTGAACAAAGTCTACTTGTCAGATGGCCACCTGCACACACTAGACACTCGCCCACAGAAATGACACCACAATGCAGTTAGATTCCCAGGCAAGCTCAACAAAGCCCACAAATGCCTTCACTTCCCTGAACCATGCCACCACTGGGATAATAACAACACGTTACGTGTGGGGGTGCCATTTTACAATTGACAAGGCATTTCTGCTTGTAGGATCTCACCTGGTACTCACAAGGTGATGAGGGCTGGCTCAGGGCTTCACCAGCACCCTCGGGTCAAGGCCAGCCCAGCCCCTAGACGTCCAGCTCACCCCCGTCCCCACACAACACTGGCTCCAGTGGGCTGGCTCACGAGGAAGCATGTCCCAATGGCAGCTTGAGCATCAGCCACATGTACCTGGGACCGAAGCCCAGGCGCCAGGATGCCTGCAACATCTTGCTATGTCTTAGAAGCTGCCAGGAAGGAGGCTGTCCCCAGACACCTCACCCTAGCACAGAAGGGAAAGGGTGGGGCCAGGAGCAGAGACTCCTCCTCAGCAGGTGCTCCAAGGAGGCAGGGAGGCCTGAGCTGCTGCTCTGCAGGCGCCCTGCCCTGGCCCTCTCATCCTGAACAAATCCATGCCTGCCCCCTGCCCCCCAGGCTCCTGTCTCATGTCCCTGCCCCTTTTCAAACCCTTATTTTCTCCAAAGAGCTACCTGCAGTTGCTTGTCTGTTTCCCCTCTCTTATTCTTTTTAAATTACCTCTCTTAAAGTGATTCGTGCACACAGTTTTTAAAACTGAAGGGTAAAACTTTAGGAGACAAGACAAGACTCCTGCCACACCCACCCCTGCTTCCAACTTGCCGGTGGTTTCTTGCGATTTCACCTGCTCATGTCTAAATCACACGCACTACCCCTTCTGCACCCGCCGGGCACCCCACCTGCTGCAGGAGCCGGGAAGCCGTCCCTCCCCTCCCTAGCCCCGACCAGGCTGCAGCCACCCCTGCTGAATGTCTCCCATGCTTCCCCACCTCCTTTTGGTTTGTTTCTTTTATCTTGGAGAGTGGAGGTCTGTGAGTACACTGTCCCATAACAGTCACTCCTCTCGGGTCACTGGCCCTGCGTCCACAGAGGTCTCCTGAGACCTAAGCTCTGCCTGCAGTGTTGGTCCCTCTCTCAGGGACCCCTCTCTTTCTCCTTCATGTTTTCTCGCTCCGTCTGGGTGGAGCATGTTCTCCAGCAGCTCCCAAAGGTGGCATGGACAGGTCATGATTTTCATCAAACTTTATGTATTAAAGTCTCTTTATTACACCCTCACAACTGACCCAGGGTCAGTCTGAGCACAGAATCCCAGGCTGAAATCATTTCCTCCCAAAATGTCTAAGGTGCTACTCTACTGTAGCATCTAATACTGTAGAGGCAAAGTCCAGAGTCATTCCGGGTCTCAATGCTTTGTATGACCCCGGGCAGTAGAGTCAAAATAAGTAACACTATCTGTCACTGGACTATTTTACAAATAATGATGCTTGTCTTGGGAATATTTTAAGCAAGTGCATATAAAAAAGGCTCCATCACAGGGCACCGTCCATGTCGCCCCCAGACTTCAGCCTCTCCTCCACAGTGACAGCCAGTGTCATAGACGATGACAGGGTGCAACACACTGCTGGTGCTCTCAGCCACCCAGTGCACCTGCCACCATCTCCCAGAGCCTCGTGTTCCCAGCAGTGTGGCTGCTCACTGGGGCCTGCCCTTCTGCCGGTACTGAGTTTGTGGGGCCAGTTTTGACCCATGATGAATGACAGAATGTGTGCAAAAGACAGCCCTGTCCCTACTATTGCAAAGAAAGGAGGGACAGCCTGCTGAAGGTAAAATGCACATTTTAGAGGTGCCTCAGGAGCCATGGAGGACAGTCTGGCAGAGGGGGAAGCCAACGGGGACTCGGATTAGAAGTCCTGTGGCATCAAGCAGCCCGACAGCCAGGAGGACCAGCCAACAACTGTGCAAATACGGTCAGAAGAAAGGTGGCAGAGGCACGTCCCGGCTTCAGGCACTTGCACAGGAAGGAAGCAAACTCTCTATGTGGCCTGGGCCATGAGGTGCCCCCGAAGAGCCCAGCCTATTGGAGCTCCCGTTTCTGCAAACAGCTCAGCTCTCTGCTGTTGAAACCCAAACTTAACTCTCCAGCTGTGACTTCTCCTCTGAGCTTGACTGCCAGTTTGACATCCCAGCTGCGGCCCAGGTGGCCACCCACACTCAGCAAGTCCACAGTGGGGCTGTAGACTGCTCCCCTCACCCCCGGCTCCTATCCCTCCCTTTGCCGTGAGAGGCAGCACCACTGCTCCTGCCGGAACCCCAGGGCTGCTCACATCCTCTCCGCACCGCCACGCGGCGCCCTGCTCGGCAGGCAGGCCAGAGCCCCTCGCCTTCCCCCTGCCACCAGCCTAACCCCACTCGGGGCAGGTGAGGCTCGTGCGGCCCTCCCTGCTTCCCGCCTACTCCGGGAGTCTGTTCTTCCCTCAGAGGAGGGATCTTTTAAAGGTCATGTCACTCTGCTTAAGACCCTCGAAAGTCCTTCCTCTTGCACTTGGACTACATGCCAGGACCCACCCGGTGTCACAAGGTGCCCCATGCACTGGCCTCGGGCTGACTCTATGTCTGCAGCTCCTTTTATTCTTCCCTCAATCACCAACCCAGCTGAGGGTGCTAGATTTTGTTCATGCTCCTCTCCTTCCCAGTAAGACAGTTTAGCTGGGTGCAAAACAAAAACAACATCCCGATATGCCACAAAGGGAAATATGGTGATCAACTGACATAAAGGAAGTGACAGTGAGTGTCCTTGAAAGACAGAGACTGAGGCAGGGATTCATTCTTCTTCGCCTAATCTGTCTCCCTCCTAGCAGGTATGAGGGCTGGAGCTGGTGCAGCCATACTAGACCATGAGGAAGAGAAGTTCAGCCCAGCAAAATCTAACACCAAGGAGCGCCGACCAGCTCTGGAATAGCTACCTAGACTCTCATGTGAGAGGGAATAAAACATCTAGCCGATTAAAGCCAGGGTAACCCCCACCGTAACCACATTCCTGCCACTGCGGCCTCCTGCTCCTAGCACTCCCCAGTGCCTTTCTGCCTCAGCGCCTCTGCACTCACCACTCTCTGGCGCTTCTCTCGGCTGCTCACTCTCACGGCTCAGACCTCAGCTCAGTGTCACCCCTTGGCCGTCTCAGCCACAGGGCCCACTCCACCCAAACTCCTCCCCAACACCCAGCCATGTGACACCATCCTCTTATATTTGCTCCAGTAAACCTGTGATCTGAAAGCATACTTATCTGATAACATTTCATGCCTTTTCCTATTAAACATAAATTCCATGACAGCAGGATCTCTCATCATTATTTCCCTTGTCCCTAAGAGGGCCAGCACATGGAAGACACTCAACAGAATAGCTCATTCTGATATGAAGGGACTCAAAATAAGGTTATCAGGAGTTAAAGGCCACCTGTACTGGCAAGCAATGCTGATAACTGCAAAATAGCCAAGCCACCTAGAAAGCAGATAAGGGGAGGCCAGACGATCCCCTCACTGTGAGCTAACTCTGCACAACCTTGTGCACTGCACAAACTTGTTAGATTATTTTGTTGAACCTTTACCAACCCCCATCTACTACCTGCCAGATGCCACACGGGGCAGCAGGCAGCGAGCCACAGCAGTCTCACTGACTGGAGACAGACTCAGGAGGCTCCAGTGGCTTGAATCTGATGTCAAGGGACCAGAAAGGAGGGAGCTACACCGGGAGGAAGAGATCTAGAAATCTGAGAGGACTCTCTCCAGTCTGCAGCTGAATACTGAGCAGCACACAGCTAGAGGTGACACTCCTTGAGGTCGAGACAAGAGCAACCACTGGAGAACAACGAGCAGAGCTCACAGGGCTGAGACCACTCACCTCTGACCAGCCAGAGTGCAGGGACCTCGCCGAACACAGGACCTCCGACAGACTATGTGTTCGCAGTAGGCCTAAACCATCCCAAGGGGCAAGGCTAGTCTAGAACTGCCCCTTCAAAGCTTAAAAAGTCTTGAAAAAATCAAATTGTTCTATAATTTAACTCCTGTCAAACCAAAGTTAACACTTTAAAGAAAGACAACAAAATCCAGATATTCAAAAATGTAAAACTGAGAATATCCAATAGTCAATAAACAGTTCCTAAGCATGTAAAGACACAGGAAAATGGGATCAAAATCAAGCAGAAAAAGTAGTCAACAGAAACAGATCCCACAATGACAGGAACACGCAATTAGAAGAAATCAGATTTTAAAACAACTATTACAAATATCTTCAAGGATTTAAAGAAAACAGAAGCGCCATGAGGAGAAATATGGGAAAACTATAATGTTAGAAACAAAAAATTAACTGGATGGCCTTAGTAGCAGATTAGATACCGTAGAAGAAGAGGTATGTGAACCCGTACACATGACACTAGAAGCTCCCCAAACTGAAGCCCAAGAAAAAGGCTAAAAGAAACCGAACAGAGCCTCAGTGACCCACGAGATGTCAGGAGTTCTGACAGATGTGGGCTTGGAGCCCCAGGAAATAGATGAAAAACAGGAAAAAAAAAATCTGAAGAAATAATGGCCAACTTTTCACAGATTTGATGAAAAATACTCATCTACAGATCAAAAGAAGTTCAAGAAATCCCAAGCAGGATTAACACAAAGAAAGCCGCATCAAATCACATAACAATCAAATTGCTGAAAATAACGATAAAGAGAAAACCATAAAGGCGAAGGGCAACAACACGTCACATGCAGGGGACTGGACACAAAATGCGAACTGCCGTGACCTTCCTCCAAAACAGTGTAAGCGAAAGGACATTGGGACACAGCTTTACATGCTGTCAGAGAAAAGAAAGCAAAGAAACCACCATCACCACAATGAATAATGTTTTTAAAACTTTAAACGGAATTTCTTCGATATTTTAAAAACACATTACAATGTATCTATTACTTATTACTTACCAATAGAAAACTTGGGAATTTTAAACTGACTTGTAGGAGTAGGCACAACCTTTGTCTTGGAATTTAGGTAGGAATCTCGCCTTCTCATACTTCTAGTTTTATTCAGTTGAGAAGATTTTGACAAAATGGAATCAGAGTCCACGCCCAGGCCGCCGCCTTCTGGAGTCTGGGGCTGGGTGGGAGAAGCTGCAGGGGGCATTGTGGGCTGCTCTGCAGCCAGCTCAACATCCACCCGCCTGGCTTGCTGGGAGGGCGCCCCTGCAGCGCCTGCCGGCAGCATGGCAGGCCCTGCTTTGCCTGCCTTGCTGTTGCTTGACAGAGGCTGGGAACTGTTTGCAGGCATGCTTGCAAATTCGCTTGATTTAGCTGGAAGATGATACACATAAAATCTGGTTATCACTTAAGCTCAAGGTATTTTAAAATTATGAAGCTATTAAACACACAAAGGTTATGCTATCTTTGGCAAATCTACCTTAAACATATAAGAACAATACTCTGCATGCCCATCAGGCAAGACCATCAAACACAGGACAACCCAGGCCACTTGCAGCTTGGCTAAGTGTGTTCTAAGGTGCTAATTCTCACCACAATTGCCAAATGTACACAGGCATATGTTAATTAATTCTTCATTAATTATGTTGGCAACAGAAATCTACTATCATTGAGCAAATGGAAGTGGATAGTACATGCCCCACCAGTCTGGTCAGAGAAGTAGGCAGGGAACAAGGTAAAAAGATGCAATCATTACTGGTTGATTCCTTTAATGTACAAGAAGGAGATTGGGTTGTATTAATCATAAGCACTACTTAGAATAGCAGGCCAGATGCAGTGGCTCATGCCTATAATCCTAGCACTTGGGAGGCTGAGGCAGGAGGATCACTTGAGGTCAGGAGTTTGAGACCCCATCTCTACAAAAAAATTGAAAAATTGGGCCAGGCACGGAGGCTCATGCCTGTAATCCTAGCATTCTGGGAGGCCGAGGTGGGAAGATTACTTGAGCTCAGGAGTTTGAGACCAGCCTGAGCAAGAACAAGATCCCATCTCTACAAAAAATAGGAAAATGAGTGGGGTATGGTGGTGTGCACCTGTAGTGCCAGCTACTTGGGAGGCTGAGGCAGGAGGATCACCTGAGCCCAGGAGTTTGAGGTTGCATTGAGCTACAATGACACTACTGTACTTTAGCCAGAGCAAAAGAGCAAGACTGTCTCCCCCCACCAAAAAAAAAAAAAAAAAATAGAATGGCAGATAAACTAGGGTAATGCATACTGAGCTACCAATGTACCCAGTATATAAGGTGATCTGATAAGAGATTCTTAAAGAAAAACTTTAGGAGAACAACTAATGCCACAAGTTACATCTACACAGTGCACAACAGTTTTACAAGGCTCTTCCTCATACGAGACCTTATCTGACCCTGGTGGCTCTACTATGTACAATAGACAAATATACATACACTAGGAGACCCACTCAATTTCTGCCTCAACCTTTACCAGAGGTAGAAATACAAAAACAGTAAACAAAAATGGTGCTGACATACAGGATGGATATAGCAAAATACATCTCATAACAGCTAATTAACATTAAAGAGCTTCCATGTATTGAACATGCCAGGCACTCTACACGGCGCTTCTAACACACAGGAACACACAGCAGCTATGTCACCTGTTTGTAGACAGGACACACACTTTTCTTAACCACTGAGTGGCAGAGTGAGGATTCCAAGTCACATTCAAGAGCTCATACATTACACATTTTGTGAACAAAGTCCACACCACACTGTCCTGGACTATAGTAAAAATGCACACAGCAAATACAATTTGAAGAGGATTTAACAGCAGGAAAGCAAGGCCTTTCCCTATAGCCTCCTGGGGTTTCTTCCCTTCACCACTAGATGGCAGCATTGGTCTGGTGAGGTTCCAATGTAGCCTGAACTTAAAACAGGTTTGGGAGTGGGGATTTATTAATAAATAGACATCCAGTAGTTATAGGAGTGATATGCCCTAAATTATCTGGGAACAGTCCTATTTTATCTTTATCTTATTATCTTTTGTAGAGACAGGGTCTTACTCTAGTCTATCGCCCAGGCTAGAGTGCAAGTGCAATGGTGTGATCATAGCTCACTGCAGCCTCAAATTCTTGGGCTCAAGAGATCCTCCTGCCTAAGCCTCCCAAGTAACTGGAACTATAGGTGCACACCACTGTACCTGGCTAATTTATTTATTTTTTGTAGAGATGGAGTCTTATTATGTTGCCCAGGCTGGTTTTGAACTCCTGGTCTCACTCGATCCTCCTCCCTTAGCCTCCCAAAATGCTGAGATTACAAGCATGAGCCACTGTGCCCTGCCAAGTTCTATTTTGAAACCTGTGTCTGATGACATTAACATGAGGCTGGGCCAAGTGCCTGTGTTCTCAGGCATTAGGTACACATGTACACTATATGTCTGTTGTACCCCCAGACTGAAGCCACCTGAGTCCCTTCATGGGAGGAACTCACTCTGAGGGCAGGTGACACACTCTCTTCCTGACTGGAGTCCAGCACAGTCCACAGGACAGAGCAAGCCCTCCAGGATGCCTTCTGAGCCTAAGCCGTTCTGAAAAAACAGCTTCTGAAGAAGGCGCTGGGCAGTGTTCCAGGCCCGGCCTGGCTGGATGTGGGTGTGAGCACGAGACGCTGGCCACTCACCTTTGCCTACTGCTGGCAATGCAGACGCACTGGACGCGCCACTTGAAGCAGACCCTGAGGAAGACGACTTCCTTGTGAGACTGCCAGCACAACCAGGTGGTTTTAACAGGGTCTTCTTCAGCCCCAGCTGAGAAAAAATATAAAAAAAAAAACCAAATCAGTAAAGATGTCATTATTTACCCACTACTTATTTCTGCAAAAGTAGGAGTTTGAAGTAATTTTTAATAATTTAGTATTATCTTGAATTTAAAGAAAAAAGGCAAGCAGTACTTCTCAAAGTCTTCAAAGCCCTGCATGAGCACCACATGGAGGCACTAGCTGAAATGCAGACTTTGGGGCACCAAGGTAGACCCACTGAGTCAGTGGCTGTAAGGCCCAGATGTGGGCAATTTCAACAAAGAGTGCCAATGACTCTCACACAGAGCTCTGTCTGACTACCTATGCCAGAAACTAAATGGTGAAGATGTGGATGGTAATCTCTCTGCAGTTTCCAAAACATCAACATCGCATGTTATCTGCACAAGGACCCGTGAGAGAAGCGGGGCAGCCCCATTACAGACAGATGGACTACCAGAGAGCTTGCCTGTGCCTCTTCTCAACCCACACGGCTCCCAGTGGCGGGGCTAGCCCCCAACACGCACTGCCACACAGGCATTTCACCAAGCTGCCTCTCATGAGCTATATTTTCAACTGTCCTAACTTGATTTTTTTTTTTTTTTTTTTGAGAGATAGTCTCACTTCTGTTGCCCGGGGTAGAGTGCCATGGCGTCAGCTTTAGCTCACAGCAACCTCAAACTTCTGGACTCAAGCAGTCCTCCTGCCTCAGCCTCCCGAGTAGCTGGGACCACAGGCATGCACCACCATGCCCAGCTAATTGTTTCTATATATTTTTAGTTGGCCAATTAATTTCTTTCTATTTTTAGTAGAGACGGGGTCTCACTCTTGCTCAGGCTGGCTAAGTTGATTTTAATCAAAGACAAATCACTTGTGTCCAAACCTATCACTTTATCCCCCATTGATCACAAGTCCCGCAGCCCTGGCCAACTCACCTTGTTAGGAACAGGGAGCAATCGCTTGCCTTGGACCAAGCGGCTTCCGCTGGCTGCTGGGCCGGCAGCACCCAGAGCAGGTCTGTCAGGGGGCACATCCCTGCGGCATTCCTTTCCATTGGGGATGTTCGTCCTGGAAGGACTAGCTGGTACTTCTTTCTTGGGCTGAAAAATTGCAATTTGGACTGTGAGAACTATATAGATTTCAACAACATACAGAGATCCTAAGACTGCAATTTGAGCAAGCCGGGCCCCATCTATCTTCCGGAACGCCTCACGTGCTCCTCAATCCATCACCTAGACGGAGGGGAGCGGGGCAGCCCACTTGCTCCACCGAATCACTGTGGACAAAAATGATGATGGATTTTCCTTCCTCATTAAAAACAGTGTAAAATCACACCAAGACAGATAATTAATCGGAGAGAGATCCTCTAAAGCTATTCCTCAATCGGGATCCTTATTTAAGGATGGTAATGAGGAAGCTGGTTCTAGTTACACAAATTTTAAAATGCTGTACAGAAAGGACTTATTCATTAAACGGTCATCCTTCTACCAGAGAAGCTGCTCAACTGCAATAAATCTTCTTGATCTAGCACCAAAAGCCATTTTCTTTGGCCAGCAGAGTCAAACAAAGAATAAATTCCTGACATATTTAGGGACAAGGGCATTCATGGAACTAATCCACGCTTACATAAATCACCCCTTGTAACAGGAGAGTTAATGAGGTCATGACAATAAGCACTCATAGTAGCAGAGATGCAGCACTAACTTTCTTCCTTCCTGGCATTTTTAAAATTGAGACATGCTTTACAGAACCATTTTATTTACGGTTTAGAGACAGGATCTTGCTGTGTTCCCCAGGGTAGATTCAAACTCCTGTGCTGAAGCAATCCTCAACCTCTCTGGCCCTAGGCAAACACTCGACCACTCCATCTCTGTAATCTGTCTATTACCGTCACGTCATATAAATTCAATCATATAACATGTGACCTTTTGTGTCTGGCTTCTGTCACCAAGCATAATGTTTTCACGTGCCATCCTCGTGACAGCATGTATCAGTACTGCATTTCTTTTTATTGCCAAAAATACTCCACTGTCTGAATACATGTTTTGTAAGTCCGTGTGTGATATGCACAGCAAGACCCAGCCCACTCTCATTCTAGAAACATCACTTTTAGAGATTTACATCCTAAATGGTATTGACCAGAAGGGTAGGCCCTCCTCTTCCCCGTTATGCAGATCGGTGGGGCTCAGCATGCCTATCGGTCAAGGGCTCTGCATGGCAGATGCACTTTCAACCCGCTTCACTTTGGGGCTCATCATAGGAGGTGGTCATGTGGTTCAAGAGATGGGCTTGTGGAGGGGAAAAAGGACTTTCTAGGCCCTTGCTGGGCATTTTGCATTTACTCCAACCTCCTAACTACCCCATTCCCCTGCCCCCCACAAAATGTCATTCTCTAACCGTGGCCCAAGGCAGGGAGCAGAGCAGGGAAGGCTCCAACCTGCCCTGCCGTGCCTCCCTGCGGACTCCCCTCCCGAGCAAGAGCCAGGGCAGACAAACCTGGCAGCAGGCCGTGGTCCGACATCCACCCTTCTTCTGCCACCCACCAAGCTCCAGGACCCTCAGTTTCCCAGAGCTGGCTTACTGTACCCTAAAGGCACACCTGTCAACTGCCCCCTCCTTTTAATGCCCAGGAGGAAAGCAATATAAACTAAGTCACAGTCAAGCAGCCATCCCAGAGGAGGTGGAATTTGTGGATGAGGTTGTTTGTTAAAGCAAATGAAATCCCTAATGGGGGGTGCATCCAGTGTTGCAACAAAGCAAAAGGAAGAATTTCAGACAGAATTTAAGAACAGCTATTTTTAAGCCATCAAAGCCCTGCCCAAGCCACCCCAAAATCGGCTTCCCTTCTTTTTTTTTTTGAGACAGGGTCTTACTTTGTTGCCCAGGCTAGAGTGAGTGCCGTGGCGTCAGCCTAACTCACAGCAACCTCAGACTCCTGGGCTCAAGTGATCCTCCTTCCCCAGTAGCTGGGACTATAGCCATGTGCCACCATGCCCGGCTAATTTTTTCTAAATATATTAGTTGGCCAATTAATTTCTTTCTATTTATAGTAGAGATGGGGTCTCACTCTTGCTCAGGCTGGTTTCAAACACCTGACCTTGAGCAATCCTCCCGCCTTAGCCTCCCAGAGTGCTAGGATTACAGGCGTGAGCCACAGCGCCAGGCATCAGCTCCCCTTCTGACTGCCTTTCAGGGACTTTGCATTCCTGTGCTCCTGGGTCCTTGGAGCTTCTACACTTCCATGTCTTTCCCCATGTGTTTCCATGGGGGAATGGGGGGCGTAAACCGAGAGGGCTAAGAGGCAAGGAGTGGCTAGCTCCCCAAGCAAATGTTCTGCTGCTTGGTGTGTCTACCTTCTCCATGGCCAAGTGGATGTGTCTTCCTCTAACAGATGAAGCTCGGGGCAGCTGCAATTTGCTGGTGACTTTTCTCTGAGTCACTGCCGGACTCGGAGGATGAGCAGTACTCGATTCCCCCGGCAAAGGCCGAGAAGGATGCAGCGGGCCCTGCATCGGGGCCAGGCCAGTCTGGGCAGGTGAACTTGGTGGGCCCAGGGATGAGTCCAGCAGTAGGGGCTCACCCGCAGGAGGCCACATGCCCGATGTTGGCAGTCCCATCAGGGGGCTGTCTGACAGGTAATATGTCTCCCTTTTAAGCGATTTGGGGCTTTTTTTCATTTCCTTTTCTTTCTCAAAGAGGCTTATTTTTAATTTTGATTCCTGCACAAATTGTTCCACCCCTTGGCTCCAGGGGTCTGTGGGCTGGGCAGCTTGGGCCACTTTGTTTCTGCTGTTGCTTTCTATCCGCAGAGCCAATAAGTGTGCCTCTTTATACACTTCCACAAACTTCTCCCCAGCGAGAGGGCTCCAAGTAACGCAACTTTCAGATACTGGCAAGACAGGTTGCTCGGTAATTTGATTATTTAATTCCAAGCTGGCAGCAATGCATCTTTCTTTATGTCCAACAGGTCCAAAAAACACTTCATCATCTTCATTTGCACTATTTTTAAAGAAAAGGATTTGTAATAATTAATAAAATGGCATTTAAATGAAAGACTACTGAATGTGGTTATGCTCAATTTGAGAGAAGAAAACTCATTTGTTTACCTTGAAGAAGACAACGAAAGATCAAAGTCAAATTTTTCATCGGCCAAAAGACGAATGTCTGGGGGGAAAAATCCACTGTTATTTTAGCGCTGAGGTTGACAAAGAGAAAAATATTACCAGTCTCTACAGCTATCAGAGCTATTGTAAAATTTTCACCTCCAAAAATGTAATCTATCATTATTTTAATTTAGTCATATTTTCATGGAGGAAACTAAATTATCTTATTTTTTCTATTTTCTTTTTAAAAATTGCAGAAGCCATTCTGTGCCTGCTAAGCCACCCCAAAAGCTTAAGTCCTTACTTTTAAGATATAATCTAAAATGCATTCACTGAATCATTCAACTAGCTTTTCAAGAAGAGATACGTCATTTTCAGGTACAGAGAACATTTTCAAAAGACCACCTGTCTCAGCTCCCCTAGAATTAAACTCCCCTCTTATAGGCTACAAAACACCTATTCATCTTTCAACAATGAATTTGAATATTATTCAAATGCACAGTAGGGACTCAATAAGGATTTGTTGACTGTCATCACTTCTGGGGAGCCATTCCTGAACCCCCAGATAAAACTGCACTCTATACCCTCCATCCAAATTTGTATCATGGCCACCACTGCCCTGTCTATCAGCCCAACTCTCTAACAGGCCACAGGCTCTGGGTTCGTGGGTCTCTCTGCAGGGGCAACTGCTTCCTTCTCCAGCTCCCACCCCAGGCCAGCCCCCCAGGTTCCCCCAGCACCTGGACCTGACCTCTACTACTGCGTTAGACTCTGAAGACACCTCTTGACCCTTCCACGGCCCCAACCAGACTATAGGTACCCCCAAGACAACAAATGTCTAACACTCCCCAAATTCTCCAATGTCCAGCTACAGGCCTAAACACTTAGCAAATATTTATTGAAATCCACTGAAATAATATTTCTATGCTGTAAAGTTTATACAGCACTCTCACAAATCATACCTTATTTGATGTTAATAAACAATGCAGCATGCTTATGAGAATCATAAAATTTGAAAATATTTTAATTAAGTCGTAATCAATTAAATATGCCTAATTACCTAATCAAGGAAAAGGTAGAAAGCATAAATGCACAAAAGAAATAAAAGAGAAATACCCACAGAAAGAGGGAATTAATAGATTCATAAGCTGGTCTGGTCAACACCATGTGCATAAACCTAAGAACTTGGCTGAAACGGATAATTTTCTAGAAAAATAGAATTTATTTTTGTATTCAAATTATATAAATTTATTTATTTATACAACTGACTCCATGAGAGAGAAAAAAAACCTTAATAGCTCAATAAATCACAAAATAACTGGAAAACTTTATTAGAGAGCTATCCTTTTAAAAAAGCAAAGTCCACAGTAGTTGCACAGGATAATTCTATCAAACGTTTAAAAAAACAAACAATTCCAATTCTACTTACAATTCTCCAGAGGATAGGAAAATAAACCTTCCAACTCACTTTTATGATGCAAGCATAAAGTTTGCTCAATAAAGAAAGCTATAGACCAGCCTCACTTATATCAACATGAAAATTCTAAACATGAATATTAGCAGAGAATCCAGCAACATATTAAAAAAATAATATTATGACCAAGCTCACTTCATTTCAGAAGTGTTAGATTATTTAATTTTACACAATCTAGCAATATAATTATATTACTAGACATAAAAAGAAAACTATGATAGTCTCCATGCATGTTGAAGAAGCATATAAAATGCAATATACATTCTTGATTTTAAAGGCTCTTTTTTTTTTTTTTTTGAGGCAGAGTCTCGCTTTGTTGTCCAGGCTAGAGTGAGTGCCGTGGCGTCAGCCTAGCTCACAGCAACCTCAAACTCCTGGGCTCATGCAATCCTGCTGCCTCAGCCTCCCGAGTAGCTGGGACTACAGGCACGCGCCACCATGCCCGGCTAATTTTTTGTATATATTTTTAGTTGGCCAATTAATTTGTTTCCATTTATAGTAGAGACGGGGTCTCGCTCTTGCTCAGGGTGGTTTCGAAATCCTGAACTCAAGCAATCCACCCGCCTCGGCCTCCCAGAGTGCTAGGATTACAGGCGTGAGCCACCGTGCCCAGCCTAAAGGCTCTTAATAATAGCAATATATTTTATCATATTAGGAAATATGCATTTCAACCCAAAAGCCAAAATTAGGTTCAGGGGGAGGACATCAGGACTATTCCTTCAAAAGACAGGACTATATATCAGTTAAGATCAGCTAACTTATGCTGAAGTAATAAATAATCCACAAAGCTCAAGTGGTTTAAAACAACAAAGATATTTCTCACTCAGAACTATACGCTTGCTGAGCACAGGCTGGGGTCCTGCTCCCTGGCCTTGGCACTCCAGAACCCGGGTAGATGGATGGGGCCTCCACCATCGGGAGCACACGACTGCTCTCCGTGGCAGGAGGAAGGGGAGAGCAAACTCCACACTGGTTCTTGAAGACTTCTACCCAGAATGACACATATCACAACATTCTTGTTTCATTAGGCCAAGCCTAACTTTCAAGTAGATAGGATGCACAATTCTATCACATACCCAGAAGGAAAAAAAAATAGAAATACTAATGAACAGCACTACCATTTACATGTAAATTAACCCTTAAGCCAGTATGGACTGGAAACTACACAAGCAATCCCATTAAAGGCAGGCACAAGGCAATGAAGTCTCTAAGCACCCCAGTTCTTAATGTTGCTCTGGACGCGTTAACCAACATAATTAGACAAAGGAAAGAATGTGGAGATGAGATTATCATGGTGCACAGATGCTATGATTATAGACACAAGGAAAAAAACTGAAAACTATCATAAATAATAAAAGGAAAAAAGAATATGACTGAAGACAAACTTAGTACGCAGCAATCAAGAGCCTTTATATCTGCAAAGACCCGTTAGAAGATATAATGGAAGAAACGACTTCATTTACAGTAGCAACAAAAACTACAAAATACCTATGAACACACCTAAGAAACACCAAGAAATATGCAAGATGGATATAAAGAAAACTTAGTTTCTCACAAAAGTCACATGTCAAATAAAAAGGGAAGGTACACTATTCAATAAATGGTATTGAGATAAGCCACACGATCCATTGGAAAAAAAATTAAGTTTGTTCCAATCCTCACACCATATCTGGACAAATTCCAAATAAATCAAAGACTACTTAAATGAAAAAAATGAAACACTAAAGGAACAAGAAGAAACCATGAGAAAAGTGTTTCATAACCTGGGAGTGTGGAGGTCTAACTATGACACTAAACTGAAAACCATAAAATAAAAGATTGATCTTAAAATATATAAAAATATGAATCATCTCTGCATGGAAAATCACAATGAGCAAAGTTACCATTTCACAAAGGGCTAATTTATAAAGAGTGCCTACAAATTGCTATGAAAACAACTAACAAATAGACAAAGGATACCAAGAGATAAAATTCACAGAAAATAAAACAAAACGTTCTTAAATATATGATAAGAAGTTGTTCAGCTTCACTCAAAAACAAGAGTAATTAAAAATAAACTTACTCTGCGATTGTCAAAAACCAAAAAGTTTCATAAACTGTAGGCAAGGCTGTAGGGTAACAGACAATTCCTGTAGCGCCAGGAAGTAAATGATCACAGCTTTAGAGGGTAAGCTGGCAAAACCTACCAAAATAAGAAGTGAACATCCCTCTCACCCAACAAGTCTATTTCTATGAGCGTGTCCTTCTGGGAAGGTATGCGAACAATGATGTACATGACGGCCATTTATCGCAGCATCGTCCATAACAGCAAGAAACCAGGCACGAACTAAATGTTTACCCACAACTGATGAAATAAATGACAGTACATCCCCATGATGGCACACTTCATAGGTACAATAAAAAAATAACATTCTGCCGGGCGTGGTGGCTCACGCCTGTAATCCTAGCACTTTGGGAGGCTGAGGCGGGCGGATTGCTCAAGGTCAGGAGTTCGAAACCAGCCTGAGGGAGACCCCGTCTCTACCAAAAATAGAAATAAATTAATTGACCAACTAAAAATATATATACAAAAAATTAGCCGGGCATGGTGGCGCATGCCTGTAGTCCCAGCTACTCGGGAGGCTGAGGCAGTAGGATTGCTGAGCCCAGGAGATTGAGGTTGCTGTGAGCCAGGCTGACACCACGGCACTCACTCTAGCCTGGGCAACAAAGTGAGACTCTGTCTCAAAAAAAAAAAAAAAAAAAAAAATAACATTCTTTATACGCTGATACACAACAATCATCAAGATAAATTAAGCGTAAAACACAAGATGCAGGGCGGGGCTCTGTATGCTGTATGAAAAGGGAGACACAGTCGACACCATGCACATACTGGCTAGCACTTGCACAAGTTATGTGAGGAAGGACACCCAAGAGACTGATGACATCGATGGTGCTTGAAGGAAGCAACTGAGGGTGACTGAGAGACAAAGAGGAGAGGGAGACGGTTCACTTTTTATCGAGCCTAGGAAGTCAGTTTTATAGGTCACTTCCAGAAAGTTCCAATCATTTGGTATGGAAAGAAAGATCCTGGACCGTGAAAGAAGTGGTCTTCTCCTCCAGGCTCAGCAGCTGGCTCCAGGTGGCCCTGGGTTGGCTGACTTGTTCATTCTGCAAACGCTTGATCACCTGCCAGAGGCCATGTCCACCCCCTGTCAGGCAGACCTGTGGGGGTTGGTTTCTGCAGGCAGTGTGGTGAGAGGCTAACGCAGAGGTGGGGTACATCTCTGAGAAAATAACTGTGGGTGTGTGAGGAACTGGTCAAAAGTCAAGAGTGGCTGGAAGAGGCGGAAACATAGGTCAGGTCAGATCCCAGAGGGTGTGCAAGCCAAGGCAAGGAGGTTTTATTGTGTCTCAGTATGACAGGAAGTTATTGAAGGGCTTTAAGTAGAAGAGCATTATAATCTAACTTGTGTTTTCAAAAGGTCACACTGCTGCTGTGCAGAGTGTATCAGTAGGGAAACAGGCAGTATCTACAGAAGTTATAAATGCATATATTGGCCAAAATGAAGACTATACAAGTAGGGGTAGGTGAGATAACGTGGCTGAGACCGAGGTGGTGGCATATGGATGGAGATGGAAAGAGTCTGTAGATGGACCAAAGACACACTCCGAAGTGGAGATGGCAGTAAATGGTGATTGAGTGAACATGGGAGGTTCTCAGGTTGGACGGATGGGTAAATGGAGGGGCCATTTACTCCGATGGAAAAGACAGAAAAGAACAGGTTAAGAATGGAGTCTTGGGAGGGAGCATGTTGAGTTTGAGGTGCAAGGGATTCAAGTGAAGATGTCAAACAGGCAGGGGAACACACTAGTCCAGAACCCTGAGAGGCTGCGCAAGACAAAACAGGGCGCCCCAGAAAGCAGATGAGCTGGAAAGTCATGGAAATGATGACAGCCCCTAGGGCAAAAGTACAAAGAGATCCCAGACCAGATCTTGGAGAAAGATCAGATTCAGAAGATGGGAGAGGAGAAGCCTGCAGAGAAACAGAGATAGCTCAGCCAGGGAGGCAGAAGCAAAACCAAGAGTGCCTCGGAAGCCAAGCAAGGGAAGTTTCCAAAAGAAAAGAAGGCCGAATGAGACTGATTAAACAAAGACAGAAAAGTGACAAGAGGTTTGGCAGCATGGAGAGTCCTCAGTGACTGGTGAAAGCAGCTTGAATGGAGTGGTGAGGACAGAAGCCGGAACTGGAGGGGCTAAGGAAGGAAGAAAAATAGCAGGACAAACTAGAAAGCTCTGGAAGTTTGGCTCAGAAGGAGGAACACAGGCATGGAGAGGCAGCAGAGATGTGGAGAAAGTGAGATCAAGTAACACGTGTGTATCAATGATGAATGTAATCTAAGGGACGGGCAAAGAGCAAGGAAACAAGGGAGGGTGAGGGAAGGGGGGAAGCCCGCAAAGGAGCAAAGGGGCACAGCATTCACCTGGAAGGGGCAAATCTGAAAGGGAGGACACACCAGGACGGAGGCAGGGGGGCAGAAGCAAATACCCTTCTAGATACAACGAAGGAACAATGATGGATCTGCAAAGTGTCCAGGACCATTTCTGCAAATGGAGGTGTTAGGAACGCCTGGGTACCCAGTCTACTGCCTCATGTGGGCTTTGTGAGGACCAAAGGACAAAATGACATCAAATTAAGAGGAAAAGAGGGCAGGGTATGGCCTTGTTAGGCTGTCCTCTCACCTTGACACCCACACCAGACAAAGGCTGAACAAGAAGGGAAAGTTACAGGCCAGGCTCACTGGCTAACATGGTCTCAAAGATCCTAAAAACAAGTCTTAGCAAACAGAAACCCGCGACAAACAAAAAAGAAAACAACCAATTCAACGAACGTTTGAAAGCCCACTAAGTGTCAGTCAGGCACAGTTCTAGGGCACGGTGGGGGGGGGGGACACTGCACTAAACAAACTGATAAGAATCCCAGCTGTGGGGGGGGCGGGGGGTTCAGGGTGAAAGAAAACAACAACAACAAAATAAAGACAGGCACCATGTGTTTCATAAATGCAGAGCACAGGATGAGCCACGAAGGGATAAATAAGTTCTCGAGGAAACATTAAATCGATCTCCACCTCTCCTGGGCTCCCTGGACAAGAGCGGGCAGCAGGAAGGACCCACCTTCCCTCTCAGGAACGTCCGTCTCCGCGTCCCCCGCCCGGCTGGCCGAAGGCACGCCGCCGCCGCCGCCTTCCATGGCGAAGCTGTCAGGAAGCCACTGCAGGGAGGAAGGGGCCGCAGGTGAGCAGGGCAGGGCCAGGGGCCCCGGTGGCTTCGCCCCTCCGAGTCGCCGCGGCTCGGCAGGGGCCGGGAGCCAAAGGCCGCGGCCAGGTCGGGGAGAGGAGAAGGCGGCGCGGCGGCCACCGGGAAGTGGTCGCAGCCCAGGGGTCCCCCGAGACGCAGCGCCACCGGGCCGGGGCTGAGGGGGCGGCGGCCGGCGAGTCACACCGACACGCAGGCGGGCGGAGGCAACGGAATCCCGGCGCGCGGCCCCGGGCCGCCCCAACCTCCCCTCCCCTACGGCCCCGCTCGAGCCCGGGCCCGCCTCAGGGCAGCGCGCGGCCCCTCCGCGCCCGAGGACGGCGGCCCTGCGTGGCACCCGGCCCACGGGCCCGCCCGGGAACCCCGCCCGGACCCTCATACCCCGAGCGGCCGATGGATGGTTCGAGACGCGCCTCCGCCGAGGATTTAAACGCGGCGCCGAGTGCGCGGGGCGCCCATTGGTCCGTTTGAAAAGAGCTCCGCGGGGCTGCCGGGGGGCGGTGCATCCTGGGGGTTGTAGTCCGAGCGCCCGGAAGAGGAACCCAGCGCGCACGCGCGGTGCCTCCCCGCAGCGGATTGGCTCCGCACGGACGCAGAGGCGCGCCCACCGGAAGTCCGCCTGCTGCCGGGAGGGGCGAGCCGGCCGGCCGCTGTGTCCCCTTGCTTTGGTGGCAGGCCAGGAACGACGGATGACCAGTTCATCTGTATGATTGAAATTGCCACCTAAGGGTGTTGATGTGAAGACTGCACGTAACAGGCACAGCCCCGCCTGCTCTGTACAACCGCGTGTCAGTTACTGTTAATGCAGCAGTAAAGGCGCAGCCAGCACCAGGGGACGGAGACCAAGAGGAACAAGCGTCGCCAGAGCTGCGCAGCCGGTCCAGCCGGAGCGGGACCGTCGCCCTAGGCGGGCTTCCCCAGAGAAGAAGGGCTGAAGATGGCCAGAGGGTGTGGCGGGCATCTGTCCTGGGCTTTCTAGGATTGGAGAGGGGAACCTAGAGGCAGGGGCCAGGCGATGAAGCCTGCGTTGGAGAGTACTCATGTTTGGGAAGCAGATAGGCCCCCCTGACCTGAGCGACATGGAGAGGCGAGCACAGGACTAGTAGTCAAGTCAGTTGGTGGCAGTTTGAGACTGACCTCACTTGAGCCTTTGCCTGTGAGCCAGTTATCAATAATGCCCACCTCAGGGGCTTGAGGGTCGAATGAGGAGCTCCACCAGGGAAGAGTGTCGCTAAGTGGTAGCTCATTATCCAGGACAGATGGAGAAGGATGCAGGTAGGCGCCTGGGATGACTCATAGGGTGTGCCCGAGGAAGGATGGAACTTTGGGAAGAGAGCATCATTTTCAGGGATGATGATGAGCTATTTATTTGGGGCAGGTTGAAGGGAGAGCAGATACCTTGGGACCAGGGCAGAAGCCTTCCAGACTGGCTCGGGCCACTTCCGGGCTCCCATGTCCTTGGGTTTGCACCATCCACACCAATCATCCCATGTTGCTGTGGTCCTTCACTTCTGACCCCAAGTTGAGTTCCTCATGAGACTGAGCTACTTACTGAAGGGCATAGCAGGTCTCACTCACCACTCTCCTCAGCCTCACCCAGCCCAGCACTGGGCACCAGGCAGGGACTGAGAGAGTGAGAGCTGAGTAAAGTGGGGTGGTCAAGTAGCTTGGGGGGAGTTTGGCTGCCCACTGCATCCCCCCATTGGCTTGCCCTGGGGATGCTTGCTGGGGAGAGGTCCCCAATACCCACTCCTGGTGCTCTTCTCCCTGAGTTGCGTCAGCATGTAGTAGGTGTTCAGTAAACAGCACCAATGGCTTATAACTTGTTGCTGTTACTCTGTGTGTTCACTCCATCACTCTGTTGACTTCCTCTTTTATCACTGGCCCATCTATTGTAGATTCATTTCTTCCTTCCCCCAGTAAAGTTCTACTTCATTTATTTATGCATTCATTCACCAACTTGCACTGACAGCCACTCAGTGCAGGCCACATGCTGGGTGATACTGGGTACGCTGATGCTGTCCCTGACCTGAGGAGGTCACAGCAGGGGAGAATGGTGCTATAGCAAGGGCAGGTGCCAAGGGCTGTGGGCACAGGGGAGGCACCCTCTCCGGCCTACAGTGGAAGTTGGGGGGAGGGGTAGAAGGCTTCCTGGAGGGACCAGGGTTCCCTCTTCCTTGGCCAAATCATGTCTTGGTTGGAACCAGGAAAGGGAGGAAGGTCCCCTTTGGGATGTGTCCCTAGCTCCTAGGTATAGATGGCACCTCGCTTGAAAGCCTATTGTAAGTACCCATTTTCTTGACTTGTTGCCCACCCACTGCAATGTCATGGAGAAGCCCATCTCCTGGCCTGGCACATAGATTCTCACAGGTACCTACAAGAGCTTGTCAAAGGAACCGAGTATTTTAATCCCAGGAATTAACCTGGGCTTGAGCAAACTTGGGGAGCCAATAGATTTGGAGGCTTCCTCTCCCTCCCAGGAGACCTGCCCTCTCCCTGCCCCAGTGAACGCCTACCAAATTTCTGAAGGAAAGGAACCTGAAAAACATCTTCACACTGGAACACCCCGCACCCCCACGGGAAGGCTGACAGCAGCACTACTGAGTCAGCACGTCCAGAAGGGACCTCGAGCTCGTTAACCACAGGAAGCAGGAGACAGAGGCAGTGTTCATAACACCAGCTCAAATCCTGTTATAGCCACATGTCATAGTTCTTTGGTTTCTGCCACAGCAGAACAGCCCCGTGTGAGCTCAATCCTCACACCCCAGAAATGCACATACATTCATGTGATTAAAATCATAGTCGACCAAAGCATGTACCTGCGAGGCCTCATTATGGTGTGCCGTTTAAAAAGAGAAACAAGTCCAAATCAGCACCACCAAAGCCCCACAGGGAGGCTCAAAGACTTCCCTCAGAGACAGCAGAAGGGGCAGCCCCGTGTGCTTGTTCATCCGTAAGGAGAGCAGTGGGGGCAGCAAGATGGGGCCTCCACCAGCTGTGACCCTGGACAAGTCACTTCCCCCACATCAGTACCCTAACCTCAAAGACGGGACAAGAGAACCTGTCTAGAATATAAGGAAAACTAAATGAAAGGGCTTATCTCAAGGGCAGCCTGGTGTCTGTGGGGGGGGGGGGATGGGCATCCTCCACAGCCTTGTCTGGAAGACCCTCCTCCAGCTGGGTCTGCCCCCGCCCTGCCCTGCAACCTCTGAACAACAGGAAGTAGAAGTGTTTCCCTGGGAAAACAGTTTGCAAGCCAAGTGGAAAAAGCAGCCCCTCCACTGGCCCTGACTGCTTAAAAATGCACATTGGTCCCCAACAAGGACTACAGGATCCTGAATCATATTTAAAATGAATGTGTGCCCCCCGTAAAACTGCTGGCTTTCAGGAGGTTCTGCTTAAGGCTGAAGACCCCCCTCTAGCAGCCTCACAAACAGGCCCTGGCTGTTTCCTGCCCCTAAGCTTGTGCAGCAGCTGAGGGGAGCTGGGGAGGCCACGGCTGGGGTTCCGGGGGGCGGAGGCGGCGGCCGGCTCACTGCATGAGGTGGACGGTGGCCGCCTTGCGCATGAGGCGCTCAGTCAGGGGCGAGTTAGGCTTCAAGGCGTCCCGCTCCATCAGAAGGCTCCTGAGGAAACAGACACGGCGGTTATGGTGTAGAACCTTCCAGAAGGATGCCAGGCCCGGTGGTCTCTGGGCCCCAAGACAAGACACGGGCAGCCAGGCTGCAGCACAGAGGGAACAGGACGGGCCAAGGCCCAGAGGCAGGTGGCCTGGCCTGGGCTCGGGCAGGGGCAGGGGAGAAAGCTCAGACCTCCAGGGCCACGTCCAAGCACAGCTGGCAGGAGGGGAATTGGGACACCCAATTCTGGAGAGCATCTGACTCTGTCTTAAAAGATAAAAGCTAGAAACCACAAGAGAGAAGAATTGCAGGGTGTGGATGTCACTGTGGCCTTGTCTGCCTCGGGGAAAGCCGCGGCTCAACAACTTATAGCTCACCCTCCTGCCGCAGGGCAACGCTGGGGACAAGCGGGACGGGGCAGGAGGGTGGTGTCGGGGGTGGGCAGGAAGCCACACCTGGGACTGGTCCAGGAAAAGCAAGTGGCAGAGCAGGGCTGGGGAAGCAAGCAAGCACAGGCAGTGGGAGGCAGAGCCCCTGCTGTGGACTGAATGTTTGTGTCCCTGCTCATGTGGAAGCCCAAATCCCAAGGTGATGGTATTAGGAGGTGGGACCTTTGAGAGGTCATTAGGTCATGAGGGTGGGGCCCTCGTGAATGGGATTAGTGCCCTTGCAAGAAGAAACATGAGGCTGGGCGCGGTGGCTCACGCCTGTAATCCTAGCACTCTGGGAGGCCGGATTGCTCGAGGTCAGGAGTTCAAAACCAGCCTGAGCAAGAGTGAGACCCCGTCTCTACTATAAATAGAAAGAAATTAATCAGCCAACTAATATATATAGAAAAAAATTAGCCGGGCATGGCAGCCCATGCCTGTAGTCCCAGCTACTCGGGAGGCTGAGGCAGGAGGATTGCTTGAGCCCAGGAGTTTGAGGTTGCTGTGAGATAGGCTGATGCTACAGCACTCACTCTAGCCTGTGCAACAAAGCGAGACTCTGTCTCAAAAAAAAAAAAGAAGAAACATGAGAGAACTACCGGTAGCTCTCGGAGGAAAGGTGGCGTGAGGGCACAGCAGGAAGGTGGCTGTCCACAAGCCAGGCAAAGAGGCCTCACCAGAAACTCAACCCCGCTGGTTGGGCCTGAGGGTGGGGGCTGGCTGGGTCCATTTGGCCAAGTTGAGTACAGTGACAAAGGAGAACAAATTTCCCTGCAGCCTGGCATCCTAGCAACCCCAAAGCGGGAACCACCTCAGCCGAGGGAGCTGGGAGCCTCCAGGTGGGAGGGGGGGTGCCGGGAAGGGGGCGAAGAGCTCACCGGGCCACGTTCTTATGGACGCTGGAGGTGCAGTTTAAGGCCGCGTGAATCAGCAACTGGTTGAAGACATCTCTCTGAAATGTCGGTTGGGCAAGTGAGGCCCCTGGAAGGCGGGAGAGGGATGGGAGCCCCACTCACGGCGGCTGGCCTGCCCTTCGGCGGGGAGGGGCTGAGATAAGGACATCCCCGTTTCAAGGGCACCAACACCCTGGGAGAGACCTGGGGGCCGCTGGGCACACAGGCTCCCTGACCCAGGCCCCTCGGGCTCCGCTGAAGGCTGGGCTGGGGGCGGCCCCTCACCTGGGCGTTGCTGCCTCCGATCTGGACGATCCGGTAGCGGATGGGCAGGAGCAGTTCCACGACGCGGTCGGGGTTCCCGCCCTCAGCCTCCACCAGGGCCTGGCACAGGGGCAGCCCCACGTCTCGGGCCAGGCGGTGCTGACAGTTCTCCCCCGGGGACCTGCCAACCCGAGAGAGCGCCCTCAGCAGCCTGCCTTGCCACGCTACAGCCATTGGGGAGGGGCATTTCCTACTCAGCAGGTGCCCCCGGCCTGGTGACCCACAGCCACCCTAAGGGGTGACGCGACTGAGGAAAGGCAGCCCAGTGAGGGGGGAGAACAGGACTCCGAACTCGGGCCCGGGTGAGAGTTGGCCCGTTACCAGCCACCTGACCCTGGGAAGGTCCCCCACCTTCTGGCCTCAGTTGGCTCAACTGTAAAGGGAGCGTAACAGTACGACCTCCCAGAACTGTCAGGACTGCAGGCAATGTAGGTAAAAGTCTGGCCCTGAAAGCCAAGGACAGCAATGCCACCAAGAGGGAATGGCTATGGCAGCCCAGCCCTCACCGGTGCTTGGCAGGCACCATTCCTGATTTACAGATGAGGAAACTGAGGCTGAGAGCAGAGAACTTCCTTGTCCAGGATCTACCTGTACACAGCAGGTACCTCTGGCTCCAGGGCCCCATTGTGTCCTCCGCCATGGGAAGCTGCCCTGTGACACTGAGGCTCTAGTACCCACCCCAGGGATGGAGAGGCAGCTCTGTGCCCTGGAGGAACCAACTATACCCCTGTGGGCCACGCACCTGCAGGGCCCACACCTGCAGGGACACACCTTGGGGCATACACCAGGAACAGCCCTCCATGGGCACCCCCAAAGCTGCTCTCTCAGGGGGGCCTCCACCCCCAGCCTCCCTGGCAGGCAGGGGCAGGCACTGAACAGGCCTCTGCACGGCCTGGGCCCCTCGCCCCCCGCCTGACGGGGCTCCTCCTCGTACTCGCTGGCGTCCCGCAGGGTGGCCAGCAGCTCCTGTGTGGGCTGGGGGTCCCGTGCACCCAGGGACGCCATCAGGAAGTGGGCGTCGTTGAACAACAGGACGTGGTCTCGGCTGTGCTTCCGCGTCACGGGCAGGACGTCTTGCCACCGCTGGCCCACAGACACCCCTGAGGACACGAAGAGGGGACCTGGCTCACATGAAGCTGCAGGGCGTGTCCTGCCCATGGGCCTCCTGCCCCACACAGCCCTCGGGGGCCCTGTGACCTGCCGAGGCCTGTGGACTCCGGGTTTGTGTTAACTTTGTTTCATTATAAAAGCAATAGATGCATAAGGTGGAAAGCAAATTTGAAAAAAAAAAAAAATACTATTGAAGGTTATTAAATGAAGTCTTTGACCTCTTTGACAAACCCCAAAACCTTTTTAAATGTCCCTGTGGTTACCTCGAGTCCAGCTCCTGACAAGTAACAGGCACTGGGTTAATCTGCCAAGTTAGCAGTGAGCGAGTGTCCGTTCCCCTTTGTGTCTGGGCTCCCCGGCTCGGGACTGTCCCTGCGTCTGTGCCACACTCCAGCCACGCCACCTCCCACCTGCCTGCCCCCGACTGCTCCATAACCATCAACGTTGCCATCAACCTCATTGCTCACCCGCGGAACCAGACAACGGCTCGAGTGCCCGCTCTGCACAGGGAGGAAACCGGCGGCTTCTCCTTCCCCACCTGCCCGCGCGGCCCCTCCCCTCTCGCTGCTCCTGACCTCTGCTCACACGGCCGGAGGCAGCCCCGGCCTGTCTAGGGAGCTCCAGGCAGATTTCAAGCTCTCTGCCCCTGCAGGCAAAGGGCTAACGGGTCTCAAGGTCAAGGGGACTCAGCCTTCCCTCAGGGGCTCCCTCTCCACGCAGTTCTGGACAGCGTTTGGCAGGACAAGAGACACAGGCCTCCCATCAGCCCGGGCTCCGCTTCAAGGGCTAGAAAATGGAGCAGCAGCCTCCTCCCGGCTCCCCCGGCCGCCCCATGGCCCTCCTCCCGGCTCCCCCGGCCTCCCCATGGCCCTCCTCCAGGCTCCCCCGGCCTCTTTGCCAGCCTCACGGCCTCCTCACTGCTCTCCGGGCTCTGGCTTGGCCTGCCCCTCGCCCAGGTGGGCTTCCTGGCTCCCGCCTCTCACCTCCTCCTGTCCCAGCCAAGCACGTGGAGCTGCCCTCCACTCACTCATCCCGTAACAGGCTGCTGGCGTTTGTCCTGGTGGCTTTGGACAGGCTGTTCCCTGCGTGTGTAACATCCCTTCCTCTGCCTGGCAACCCCTACACGTCCTTCCATGGTTCACATTTCACCTCCACTAGGAAGCATTCCTGAAACCTTCCAGAAGCAGCTTGTCGTGCCCTCCCTTAGGTCCCTGAACTGTCCTGCCCGGGCCTGCACCCCACATTGCAGTTCTGACCCAGGGCCTGGGCCAGGCCCTTGTGGGTACAGGTTTGGCTCTGCTGAGCCTGGCACCCCCGCGGTGGGCTGGAGCCATCCACTGCCCCAGAGCCGCGGCCACCCTGTCCACCCTCCCCACAGAGCGTGGCGAGGTTGAGAAACCTTCTGCAAAGCCAGGGTGTTGAGAAACGCCCGGCTCCCAAGTGCTAGGAAAGGAGGCAGCATCAAGACAGGTGGCCAGGTGCCATCTGTGCCCCAAAGGCCTGGCGGGCACACCGTGGGAACGGCAAGTCCACCCTGGGCACAGAGCTGGAGACCTTCACACGGAGGAGTGGTGGGAACTGGCAGAAAGGGCAGCAGGGCCGACTGGGAGCACTGCGGGACCCAAGACGGCAGCCAGACAGCCCGTCCAAGGCCTGCGGAGGGCCCTGGAGCGGCTGTCCCACGAGCTCTCGCTCAGCCCTGGGCCTGGGCCACGGCACCTCCCCTCACAGCGTGGGAGGAAGGAGGCAGGGGCCGGGCAGAGTGCGGAGACGGGGCTACCTTCCATCTGCAGGCGGTAGAGCATGGAGCAGCTGTCCACCACGTCCAGCATGGCGCCACTGGCCTGCAGGCTAGGCAGGATCTGGAAGACAAGGGCCGCCCAAGGCCAGGCTCAGCGGTGACCTGCACAGAGCAAGCCCTCAGCAAATGGGGGCCACCACCAACCTGCTACCCCAACAGTCAGGACTGTCACCCTCACCCAGGGCTCAGGCTGCAACAGACACCAGAAGGGGCACTGGGCAGACCTAAGAAAGAGCCCACTGCCCTGCACACTGGGGCACATGCCGGGACCAGACATCTGTCACCTCCCACTCCCAGACCACGCCGGCAGGAGCCTCACCTGGCCCGTTCATGCATCTAGACCCAGCTTTGGTTAGCAGGGTACTCTGAGCACATGGTGCATGTCACCCTTCATTTCTTACTAGGACATCCCAACAATGTTGAAAGGATTCCTTTATGGGAACTTTACTATGTGCTTTTCTCTGATATTTAGATCCCAAATCACAAGCATTTCTGTGGTCCCAGGTTTTATCATTAAGACCTCACTGGGGTACCTGGGAGCTGTGAGTCAAGCTTTTTTCCTCTCAAAATACCCAGGAGCCAGGCGCAGTGGCTCACACCTATAATCCAAGGAAGATCGCTTGAGGTTAGGAGTTCAAGACCAGCCTGGGCAATGGCAAAACCCTTGTCTCTACAAAAAATTGAAAAATTAGTTGGGCATGGTGGCATGCACCTGTAGTCCCAGCTGCTTAGGAGAATGAGGCAGGAGGATCACTAAGCCCAGGAGTTGGAGGCTGTAGTGAGCTATGATGACACCACTGCACTCCAGCCTGGGCCACAGAGCGAGACTCTGCCTCAAAAAATAAATAAATATAAAGAATACCTAGGGGCTGGGGAGTTAGTGTGCAATGGGTGTGGAGCTTCAGTTTGGGAAGATGAAAAAATTCTGCAGATGGAGGGTGGTGACGGCCACACAACAGTGTGGACGTGCTTAATGCTGCAAAGTACACTTAGTTTCATTACATGTATTTTATCAAAATAAAAAAAACTCCTATGGGTAGATCAATTATCTCACCAAAGAAAGGTGATCTAAAAGGGCTGGAGAACAGTCTGCAATTGTAGAGATGGTCCACTTAGATGTGTAAATCTATCAGCACCTGTCACCAGAGTGTCCCCATCACATGCCGGGTTACAACACTGCTTTTGGCAAAAGCCAAGCCCAGGAGGTCTTACGAAAGCAAGAAATATGTTCTTGCCGCAGCTGTCTGTTCTGGCTGGGACAATCCTGATGGACTCAAAGGTCTCTGCGAGACTATGAGGCAAAGTGCCGCAGCGAAGCACGCAGGGTCAACACAGACTTACGTGGTTATCGTAAATGGTCAGCGCGGCCTCGTATTCGCCCTGGAAATAAAGTCCCCGTGATTACCATCTGGAGAAGGCCAACGTAACACTGAGAAAGGAACTGGGACTGGCTGGGCAAAGCCCCGAGCCCAGGACCCCAACCTCCTACAGAGTGGCATGGGCAGGGCCCCGGGGGCGCGGGTCTTAGGACGGTGTCAGGCTCTGTGCTCCCCCACAAAGAGACAGCAGAGGCCTGGTGCTGCCTGCCCAGGGGACAGTTCCTCGGGAAAGCATTATTTTTCCTATTAGAAAAGTTAATCTAAGTATTGCTCTATTAACTGCGGTGAGCTTCTTTTATATATTTCCTTCTAGTCTTTTGTTTTTCTACATATATTCTCTCTCCTCTACGTTCAGCTGGGTCCACTGCTTTCTTCTAGACATTATAGTCACATTCTTATGCCACGACAGGGACGTTGTGTTCCAAGCATCTTTCTCTCTTTGGACACTTGGGGAGCTTCCAGTTTCTCTCTATGATAAAGACACCCTCACAGATGGAATCCCGGGGTCCAGGGTGTCCCTAGCAGCTGCCCCAGCTCCCGCGGAGGCTCTCACGGCTCGGGCGAGTGCGGTGCGGGTGAGGGCTTGGCTGTCTGCTCCAGCAGCAGAGGGGCGCTCAGTCCAAAAGACGCCCACAAATCACACACAGGAGACGTGATTTCCAAGTCCTGACAGTGACAAAATGCCCAAAGCAGTTCCGGCCTGGGAAGCCCTTTGCCGATGCTCGCACTGCACTGCACGGGGCAAGCTCAAGACACCACTCCAGGGACGGGAACAGAGAGCAAAAGCTAGAAAACTGTCTCTTCCCCTGGACGTCCCTGCAGGGAAGGCAGCGCAGACGGTCGCCTTACCTTCTCAATCAGATACAGAGCCCAGTGCCAATAATTATGACAAGCAAGCATGTCAGAGTCCTGGGGAAAGAACAAGAGAATTAAAGAAAAACCTGACGGCCCGTGGGAGGAAACACAAGCGTTCTCTTGTACTGGCGCGGGATCCGTCACGTCCGAGTGCAGAAACATTTACTGGGCGCCGCCCGAGGCTGGCTGTGCCCGGCAGCTTTGCACCACTTTAGTTCCGAGGGGCGGCCGCCACTATGTCTGAATTTGAGCAGGGGAAACTGAGGCAGAGGGCAGCCGCTACCTTGCTCATCTAAGCCAGAGAGCAGCAGCACCAGGACCAACACAGAGCAAGTCACTTCAGCAACTCAAGCTTCACCTTCACGTGTGAGCTGGGAAAAGGAGGGACAGAGCCACTCCACGGGGAGTCCGAGGCCCACAAGGCGCCCTGGCGGCGGCTCAGGGCACTTGGGTAAACCATGAATATCACCTCCAGCACCCAGCGGCAGAGCCGGCGCATAAGGGAGCGGAGCTGATGTTCGGAGGGTCACGGAGGCCGCCTCTCAACGTGCGGCAGTTTTACAGTAAGACCTGTGCTTGGCTCGGAGCCGGCTGCTGCTAGGATATTCCAAGTGTGGGAAACTGGAATCAGGGTCCCTGGCAGGTGACAGTACCCAACACCCAGAAACTTAAAACAAACCCTGCTGGCCGAGAGGAGGGGAGCTGCGCCCCACCCCCGACAGAGGTGACTCTAGAGACCCGAGGGTCCTTCCCTCCTGCCCTGGGCCAAGTACCACCCTCCATGGCACTCAAGTCTTCATTTCTCACTGACCCCAAGCACACAGCAGGTATTCAGTAAACGCTTAGCAAGTGGCCTGGTGTCCCTGTCCCAGGGGAGGGCCCCTCTCCCTGGAGACCACTGAGCTCACCTGGCCCAGCCCACCTCTGTCCAGAGGGCCCAGCCCCCACCACAACACCAGCCCTTCCTCCTCTGAGGCCTCTGCCGTCAGTTCCTCCTCTGCCGGACACCACCCGCCTGCCCTGGACACCACCTGCAGGCCCTGGACACCACCTGCCTGCCCTGGACACCACCTGCAGGCCCTGGACACCACCTGCAGGCCCTGGACACCACCCACCTGCCCTGGACACCACCTGCAGGCCCTGGACACCACCCACCTGCCCTGGACACCACCTGCCTGCGCTGGACACCACCTGCCTCCCTAGGTCCACGCTGCACCTGGGCACGAAGACACCAAACTGCCCGGCTCCCCTCTGCCTCACAGGCCACCATAGGCCTTTGTGTCTTTGCTCAAGCTGGTCCTGGTGGGGATACCCTCCATCTCCCGCCCCGGGTAGCAAACACCTACTCATCCCTCAGTACCGGGTCAGAGGTTGCCTCCTCCAGGAAGCCTTTCCTGGCCACTGCCCCCCAAAGCCTGCTTGGGTTTGCTGCCTCCCCTTGGTTTCCATGTCCCCAAGAGTGTCCCTGTCATGGTGTAGCTTGTGCCCTGCCAGGAGGCTGCTCTTTCCGCTTCACCAGCCCTGTGAGGACAGAGAAGCCTGGGCTGGAGCCGGGCTGGGTCGGGGCACAGGCCTGGGCAGGGACTAGAGCCTGACTGAGCTCCGAGCTCAGCAGCCAGATGCCTGAGGCGGGCACAGGCGGAGGAGGACAGGGAGCCCAGGCCGTGTCATCCACACCCAGAGCCGTCCAGCCAGGCCAGAGGCCACCAGGAGCCACTCGGGCGACAGATGAAGACATCAGAGGATGGCAGCCCGTTCTGAGATGACCCCAGCCTCTGCCGCCCACGATGGCACTCTTTTTGGGCCAGGGGCTCCACGGCTGTGGAAACAGATGAGGAAACTGAGGCTCAGAGTGATCAATTTCTACCCAGGGTAGAGCCAGGCCTCAAGTGCAGGCATCTTGGGCCACACAGAATCAGAGTTCCTCAGAGGAGAGTGACGCCTGCCAGTGCCGCATCCGGCCAGGCCTCCCGGTCCCCGGTCCTGCCCGAGCAAGCCCTTGCCCGTCAGCCGGAGGGCACGGCCACACCAGCTCGCCTCCAGCCCAGACCAAGCGCTCCCTCCAGCAAGAACGAGCAGTGTCTGCCTGGGGGCCCAAGGCTGCTGATGCCCACAGGGCCTTCCCAGTCCCAGTGCCTGGGGACAGATGTGCGTGGGAACCTCACGCGCTCAAACACCTGCTTTACCCAAGACGGCTCCCGGAGAGGCAATTCACCACGCTGGGAGAGCCCGGGCCAGGGGAGCTCAGAGGGATGCCAGTGACGCCGGCTCCTCCGCTCCTGGTCTCTCCTTGGTCACACTCATCACTGAGCATCTGCTGCTGGTGCCAGGCCCTGGGAGAGACTCGCCACCTCAGCCCCCAGTGCCCTGGGGAGCCCATCATGGCAGAGAGAAGGGCAGGGCAATGACACCACCTGGACAGGTGCCAGGCTGTGGGACAGAGGCCAGCCTCGGGACAGGAGGCCCACACGGAGGAGCAAGGGCCTCCAGCACGACGGGCGAGGGAGGGAGAGCCTTCAGAGGCATCGGGTGGCAGCTGGGCTGGGTGAGGTCGGGCAGTAGGAGCGGGAACAGTGAGGCCACAGCGTGGTCAGGCCCTGGGAAAGGACCAGGCAGGGTGCTAGGGGTCTGCATGGCCCCAGGACCCCTCCCCAACAGGGCCTGGCCCCGCATGCCAGCGCTGCAGGCCATCACTGCGCCCGCGCCCCCGAGAACCTCCCTGCCAGCTGCACTGCGCCACCCTGAAGCGCAGCGGCTGCGCAGCGGCTGCACGCTGAGCCCCGAAAGGAGAGGCAGCTCGGGGGCTCACAGGCCTCGTCCCCGCCAAGCTCAGTTCCAGCAATTTCCTGACCCTTCACAGCCAGGTGCATCAGGCCAAGACCAATCCTAGAACTCCCTGCAAAATGCCGGGAGGCTGGGGGCCTGTGGGGCTCTCAGGGGACGCCATGGCGTGACACCTCCAAGCTTGGAACACCTCCAAGCTGAACGCAAGTTCCCCAAGAACCAAACCACACCTGTAACTCCTGTCCACAAGCCCGGAGAACCAAACCACACCTGTAACTCCTGTCCACAAGGCCGAAGCCCAACTCAAGGTGACGCACTGCCTCTTCCAGGGAGAGGCCCTGTGGGCCAGAATCGTACCTTCCAGTGGTTCTCTGAGCGCTGCATGAACTCCAGCCCCTCCTTGACCTCTGCCTTCATCTCGTGGACGTGGGCGATGGTGTGCACCGACCACGCGTCCGTCGGGTTAATGGCCAAGGCCTGCAGGGTGGTGGGAGGAGTCGGGGGGTTAGTCAGACCGCCTAGGCCAGGCCACGAGTGTCTGGGGGCCAAAAGGGGCCCAAGCTGGTGAGGGCCAGAACATGGGGATGGGGCTCTGACTCAAAACCATCACCATCCCAACAACCAGCACCGTGTCCCGTGGGCCCAGGGCTCACCAGCTTGGGACACCAACCACGGGACTCTGCCATGGAGGGTTTCACTGCACATTTCACAGATGGGGAAACTGAGGCTCAGGGAATCTAAGCGACTTGCCCAGAGTCACACAGCCCGATGGCAACGTGGTCTTTCCAAAGTCAGGGCTTGTCCCCTGACCCCACAGCCTCCTATAGATAGCTGAGTCACATGCGACATGCCGCCCAACCTCTCTAGGCCTCAGTTTCCCCCTGGCAGAGAGGCCACAGACGCTGCCTTCCCCTTGGAGAAGTGGCCACTGTCCACACAAGCACAGCGTGGACTGCTAATGCTCCAGGGGGCTGAGTGCTGCCTCGTCCCACCCCCCCACGTGCAGTGACCACACACACGGCTTTCCGGGCTCAGAAACAGCTGGCTCTGACATCACGGCTATGAGTGACAGTTGCTGTTCACTGACCCTTGAGCTTGACAGTGACCAGAGACACGGGCAGGACACGTGGAATGCTCCTCACTTACTAGCAGTTTTGTTCCTCTGTTTATTTGTTCAGCTCATGTTTGCTGAGTGCCTACCAAGTGTCAGGTGCAGAGCAGTAAACTGAGGCTCACAGAGGTCCCCTAGACTGGCCCCTGCCCAGGTCCCCTACACCAGATCATGGTTGCCCTCAGCCCTGCTGCCTCAGTCTCCCACACCCTTCACAGGAGTCCAGCAGCCCCGAGCACCTCTGCCCTGGCCTGGTACCTGCTGCAGGGTGGTGGCAATAGGTTGTCCCCAGAGAGCCCTGCACCCATGCTCCCACCCTCAGCTTCCGTGGGCCCTGCTCACTCCACACAGGGACGTGTAGAGAAAGGAGGCACATCTGTAGGGCACTGCGGGCACCCCCAGGCAGCGAGCACAGGACACTTGGAGAGATTGCGGGGCTCAGTCTGAGCAGGCTGGGCACTGGGCTGCAAGAAGGGACCCCCCTAAGCCTGTTGCTTTCACATCTGGCAGAAGCAGATGTGAAGGGCCTCGGCTAGCACGTCTCTGAGGGGCTGACCAACTTCCTCTCTTGGAGGCCTCCCAAGCTTCCCTGGGAAAGTCCAAACTGGCTTCCTGGGGCACGAGGCCCAGCCCAGTTGGCCCTGCCCCTCCCCAGCCCTGGACCCTGGCACCCTGGCATCACCTACACCCTAAGCCTCAGCCCATGAAGCCACTCGGAGCTCCAGGTCCCTGAGCTCCGTGGCTGTGCTTTTGCCCGCTGCTGCCCGGCTAGCAGTGCATGGCTTCCCCTCCCCCTCGCCGGCCTGGGACTACAGACACATGGCCCATGAGCTGCCACTGTGATACCATGGTAGCCTGGTCTTCTCACTCTTGTCCATGGGGTGCTGGTGTTGGGTCAGAGAGTAGACATCTGCAGGAGGGAGCAGGGAGGGGGTCCCCAAGCTTCTCACTCCTGGGAGGCATGAGCCTGAAGCTTCTGGCCTCCTTCTGGGGGCACCTGCCACGCATGGCTCGCCACAGCTGCCCACGTCCAGCTTCGCCAGCCATCCCGATGGCCTTCAGAGCCCAAATGGATGCCCCCTAACAGGGGGTCCAGCTGCGATGGTCTCCAAGGGACCTTCTTGCGGCTGACCCCTGGACATTGGTGCCTGGTCGCCCAGGCCATGGAGCCAAGATCACCAGGAAGCCATCAAGTCCCCCCAGCCCTGACTTGGAGCTAAAGCAGAAAAGCACCCCCCTGAGCCTTGAGTCTGGGCTGTGATTCTGTAATCAGAGCAGTGTTCAGAGACCCCCTGGGCCCCATGGGCTTTCTCCTGGGGGCGGGGGGGGGGAGGGGTGCTGCAGGCTAACGAGGGCAACTTCAGGGGGGAAGAGCCCCAGCTGGGTTGCTGGAAAGCCGAGGTCTAGCCCGGGCAGCTTAAAGGACAGCCTTCGATCAGGTAGCCTGGGTGACAGTCCGGCTCTGCCATCTCTGAGCTGTGTGGCCTTAGGCACACTTTGGCCTCTCTCTGAGTCCCTTATCCAGGCAACGAGGAGTCTAATGTCACGTGGGCAGAGACGTGTGGACACAGGCAGGTATATATAAAGTGCCAGCACCAAGAGTGGCACAGGAGGTTTGTTACCCCTGTATGCATGACGGCCCCTCCCTGGACTCAGTTTCCCCTCCTGCAAGAATAGGAGAGGAGGGGAGGGACCCCCAGAGCTGGTGACAGCTCACACAGTGACAGCCGCAGCCTGCCACTTGGTCCTGGGCCCAGCATGCCCACCAGTCACCATGATTGGCGATCACTTCCCAAATCACTGAACCTCGGGTGCCGGGGGTGATGCCAGAAATGTGAAGTTCAAGGAGGAAGAATCATTGTGTACGTAGCTTCCCACCAACGTTCCTGTCCCACCAGACAGGGCCACCACTCTCCGCAGCCTAAGGAAAGTGAGGTGACCGCAGCCTCCCTGAACCTCACTGTCCTCGCCTGCAGATGCAGAACCATCGTTGGCCAAGGCATGTGGCTCTGAGGACCCTGGGACGCACACAGGTCACACTCAGTAAGCCCCGGGCGGGCGGCAGCTGCCCGCGCTAACAGGCACTCTCCCCAGTGTCTCCGAGGGAACGAGGCCCAGAAGTGGGGTGACTCAGCAGGGTCCCTGAAGGGTCGGGCACCTAAGGAAGGGCCCTCTTACCTCTCTGGCGAGTTTTGCTGCCTGATCATAGAAGTTGGTTTCCATCAATCCAAAAGAATAGATGCCTTTCACGTAGCTAAAAACAGAGAAAGAGTCTCTCAAAACACAAAGAGGGACTGGCAGCAGGTTGAACTGTGCACCTCCCCACCCCAAGAGATGAGCTGAAGTCCTAACCCTCAGCACCTGTGAATGTGACCTTTTTTGGAAGTAGGGTCTTCACAGATGCAATCGAGTTTAGATGCGGTCACACTGGACTAGGGTGGCCCTAGTCTGATAGCCAGTATCCCTAGAAGAGGCCGTGTGAAGACGTGAAGAGACAGGGAGGGAAGACAGCAGGCGGAGACGACGTCACAGTGAGGCAGCTGCAGGCCAAGGAACGCCACGGAGTCCAGCCACCACCAGGAGCTGGACGAGGCAAGAAGGGATCCCCTTGGAGCATCCGGAGGGAGCCAGCCCTGCTGAGACCTCCCTGGATTCAGAGTTCTGGCCTCCAAAACCATAAGTGGATCAATGTCTGCTGCCCAAAGCCACCCCGTCTGCCGCTCTTTGTCACAGCAGCCGCAGGAGACCAATGCACACCCTAACCCCGTGCCAGGCTCTGTGCTTCTCAGCATCTCAAGGCTTCCGATCGGTGAGGGGCAAAGAGAACTGCATCAGCCACACGGTCGTCCCCAAACCCGGCGCCGACAGCATCCCCCCTCCTGAGAATCAATACAGGGTCTTTGCTGAGGATGACGAGGGTCCTCTCCCTGCTACCTGCCTGGTGACACCTCCCAGAGGCCTGGCCCAGGATCACCTCCCTGGGAAGCCTTGGTGACCCAAGGGCTGGCAGTGGCTCCTCTGCACCCACAGCACCGTGCTCGGCCCTCTGCCCAGCCTGGACGGCACTCGGGGGATGGCCAGGCCTCTCCCCAGCCCCAGACCCCCTGCAGGCCGGGCCCTGTCTGGGAGCTCACTGTCTAGCCCAGAGAACACGCCCCGCTGAATAAGCACGTGCTTCCATTTCTCATCTGTGACCACTGGCACCTGAGCATCCCGGGCAGCCACACACGAAAAAGGCGACCTCTCCTGCGGTTTTGGGGGGGGTTAACTGAAAACAACATACAGCCACGGCGTTTCTACTTGAGATTCAGATGTTATCTCTATTACTGTAGCTTCTCTGCTCACTGAAGCAGAGTTCTAGAGCACTGGCTCCCAGAATTATCTTTTTTCTTTTTTTTTTTTCCCAGCATTTATTGAATGCTTACTGGGGGTCATTTAACCCTCAACATCTAAACCTTTATTGAGCACTTACTGTGTGTCAGGTACCATCTGGCTCTTGTGATGGTACGTTTTACGTATCAACTTGGCTGGGCCGTCGTACCCAGCTGTTTGGCCAAACGCCAGTCCAGGTGTTGCTGTGAAGGCATTTTTTTTTAGGGTGATTTACATTTAAATCAGTAGACTTTGAGTAAAGCATTTCGCCCTCCGTGTGTGGTGGGCCTCATCCAATCAGTTGAAGGCCTTAGAGAAAAGGTGAGGTGCCCAGAAGAAGGAGTTCTGCCTGCCGCTGCCCTCGGACGCAAGACTGTGCTGCTGACTGCCGCAGGCGTCTCCGGCCTGCTGCCCTGCCCTGCAGACTTTGAACTTGGCAGCCCCACTATCGCATGAGGCAATTCCTTAAAATAAACCTGCCCATTTCCCTCTCTCTCTCTCTCTCTCTCTCTCTCTCTGAGAGACGCACGTGCTATCAGATCCGTTTCTCCGGAGAGCCCTAACTAGCACGGCTCTTCAATCTACTAGCCTGTGTGACCTCACAACCATCCTGTGCTTAGGAGGCAGCGGAGCCCACCACGTGGGGTGGTCACTGGGGATGTCCAGAGACATCCCGGGCCTCCTCTCTTCCCAAGCACGAGGCACAGCTGTGCTTCCCGGTCTCCTGTGAGTGGGTCAGGTCACGAAGTCAGTTCTGGCCAAAGACTCTGGGGTGACAGGTTATTCCTGTCACTCTGAGCCCTTAATGGCCACTGTGAGCCCCCCGGGAGGGCTCAGTTCCCCCTCTGAACGACGGTGCATCAGAGGGCAGCTGCTGCATCAGCTAGGACCCTGGAGGGGGACGGGACATGGTCGCAGATCCCTCGGCCCTCCTAAGATGGGCATGTCACGTGGTGAGAAACAAACCTGTGCTGTAGTAGCTTTGGGGAAGAAAATCCAGGAAACGTTTGTTACGGCAGCAAAACCCATCCTGACTGACACATGATGGTATTGCGTCATTCGCAGGCGGGACAAGGATGGAGTGAAGAAAGTGAAGCCTTTGAACTTTAAAGAACGAGGAGAACAGCCACAGTAGTCTTGTTTTTAGGACAGTGCCGAAAGAACTGCCGTATTTCTAGGGCAGGAGAGAGAGGTTAAGAAATAGAAATGAGGTGGCTTGCAACCGACACGCACCTGCTAAGGGGGATGTCAGGTGTCCAGAAGGGGTAAATTCGAGCGACAGAATCTCGCATCTGCTCCTGGTAGCCCAAGTAAAAGTAGGCATCGTGGGAGAATTTCAGGGCCAACATGTCTGTCGGGTGGTCCCGGAGAATCTGTTCCCATAGTTCACAGGCTTTCGGGAAGTTCCTGGAAGCCAGGAGAGATTCCTCAGCAACACTGAGCAGGCAGTCCGCCCACGTGGGGAGTGTAAAAGGCACCGTCTCTCACGAGTGTCATGGTCTGCACTGAATTGGTTTCTAGGTCATCACTCAGAAAATTGAAACAACAGTGGGAAATTTGACTCTCTAGTTCAGGTTAAGGAAACACTGGTTTAAGAAATGGCCAAGGGCACTTGCACTGGAGACCCCGCGACCGCTGCAGGAAGTCTCCGAGGTGGAACCCACACGTGGCTGGCTCCCCAGGAGGGCCAGGGCAGGACTTTCTCAGTCTCGGGGTTTGGAACCCCTGCACCCTGCACCCCTGCACAGCACGCTCAGGTCACCCCGCTCTGCGGGGCATCTCGCCTGCCCGAGCAGACACGAGGCTGTCCCGGAGAGCACGGGGGTCTTCCTCGGGGCCAGAGCAGGGGTGGCCTGGGAGGCAGTGTGAGGGCAAGTGGCATATGCGGGAACCTTTTCGTCTCCCTTCTAGCTATTTCTGTGATGTGGCCCTATTATTTTTGTGATGGAAATAATACACCGTGTATTTAACGAAACCAAATAGTCACTCTGAACACCAGGTTGGGAATCCTGCCAACGGCTTCCTCATTCAGCACTCAGCTGAGGACGGAGCAGCAGGTTGCAATTTTCCATCTGAGGCTCCCAGGAGGTAGGGCAGGACCGCGCCCGGGCCACCCCCTGCCCAAGGGCCCTGGGACAGGGAGACCCTGTCAGGCTGGGGTCAGCCACTGGCCGGGGCCGGGGAGGTGGGGGCCTCACCCCTCAGCAAAGGTCTCCACCGCAGAGACGTGCAGCTGCTCGCGCCGCGTCAGTGGCTGCGTTTTCGAAATCTCCACCATCGTCTTCACGGCCTGGTCCAGCTCTTTGTCCAGCCTCACGGAGCTCCCAGTGCCAATCAGCACGAGGCCGTTAGAGATGGCATGGCCCATCACTGGGGAAGGGTTCGAAAGCGGCCAGTGATTCAGATGGAGGGAGTGGCAAGTCCAAAAGCACCACAAACATGTATCCTATAGGGCGTTCTGCTCAGGGCCAGGCACTGGATGGCGAGGTTTGGGGCTGTCTGCAGACTCATCGATTGACTTGTCACCACAACTGGCACACAGCCCCCCAGGGGTACTCACGGATGCTGCTCAGGGGGGCTGGTCTAAGGAGGCCCTGGGGCACAGAAGCCACGATCCTGTCTGGGCTGCTCTCTCAGCGGAGAGTTGGTGGGGAGGGTGCCTTATGGCCCTGGCAGCAGCCTTGCTGGCAGGTATGCTGGCCCCCAGGCCCTACCTGGGCTTCCCAGACCCCGCCTCGAGGGAGGCAGGGTGTCCCCTAGTGTCTGGAACCCAGACACAGCCCAGGCCTGGGACCTAGGGCCCAATCGTAGTGGTGGGACCACCCAGTGGGCCCTGCTTCTGATTGGGGGCTTGAGGTCTGCTCAGAGAGCCTGACCCACCCCTGGCTACTGCTCCCCCCTCGGCTGGACTCAGCTTCCCCAGTTCTTCCCAGTTCTTTCCACGTCCTGTCCTTGCCAGGGTGGTGTGAGCTCCCTGCCTTCAGTGTGACCAGGCTGCAGCGGGGGGAGAAGGGGGTGCTCTGCTGCCCTGATTAGAGGACTGTCCTTCTCCTACACCTGGAACCTTGCCCCATACTGGGGCCACCCACCTGGAGTTTTGGAATGCACTGTGCTGTCCTCCCCATGCCCACCGCACACATAGCTCGCCTGGATGCCAGCCTCTGCCACCCGCTGATCCTCACCCCACCCCAGTCACTCTGGGTGAGGCCTCACCTGTACCCTGACCAAGGCTGCCGCGGCCATCTCTTGTGATGCAGAGGTCTGGGCTGATCCCAGCCCCTCACCTACCAGCTAGATGGCTTTGGGCACATGTCTTACTCTCGCTGAAGCATGGTTTCCTCATCTGAAAAGTAGGATCAGCATCTTCCTTGCAGAATTTGTGGCAATTAGAGAAAAAATTTGAAAACTGACTTTGATTAGAACCTAGTCCAAACTCGAACCCGATGGAAGCTGTCCTCTTCCCTCCCTCTGTGCCAGCCTGGCTGCTGCCACCCTACATGCCTTCCCCAGCCCAACTGAGTCCCTGTGGTCAGGGAATGAGACGGGGGCTGGAGCCATGAAACTGGGCTCCACACCCAGGGAAAATGTTACTCACCAAAGGTCGGATCTGCTGCTTTGAGCTTTGACAGGCAGCCCTCGATGCCCCCGAGACTCTTGTCATTGGTCCACTTTACATACTGAAATAGAAAAGGTAACACAAAGGTTATTAATGACGGCATGTACCTAAATCCAGATTTTTTTCCTTTCTACAACACTGTTTTCTGGACTCTAACCCCAAGAAAGCACAACTTAGCTGAGATTAAATACACATAACTTGAGGCACACTTTCTAGGGCTAGTGATGCCACGATTTCCAGAAAAAGAAACATCAAAAGGAAGGTTCTTCCTGGCAGGTGACCTGCTACGCATCGGCTTCTTCAGCCCTAACAGAGGCCTTGAAATTGGTCACCACGACAGGGACATTTCTGCTTCTCACTCACGCCTTTTTAAAAATAACCACGGTAAAAATTCATTACAGAGAGTTAGAAAAGGACACAAAAGCTGGAGGCTAAAACCTAATCTCTTCTCATCACCATTTTTGACAACTGGATATATTTGTTTCTAGTCCTTTTCTTAAATGCCTATTTTTGAAAAATCCTACAGCTCTAACAATGCCTTGGATTTTAAAATGTGCCCTTTCGGTTGCCTCACCTACATCTACGCAGAACTAGCACGTGCACTTTAACAAGAGTCAGGGGAGCTGGCGCGGAGACTCAAGGAACCCAGGTTCTGACGCAGGATGGCACGGAGACACCAATACGCGCACGCTGCACAGAACACGCACAGGCTGGGAGGACGAGCTGCCACTGAATTGGGGAAACGAGGGCTGTGACAAATTGAGAGCGCTACAGAGGCCAGTGAGGCACCAGAGAGGCAAGTGGGCCAACGGTGAACACAAAACAGGCGAAGAGGTCAAGAGCGTGTGGTGGAGTCCCTGGCAAGGACAGGCTGGGAGCAGAAGCGCCCCCGGCATACCTAGTGGAATTTCATCAGTCTTCCTGCTCTGCTTGCGTGCTTCCAGGAGCTTCCCCGGCCCTCGTGTTCTACACATGGAGTCAGTATGTACCACACTGGCGGCTCTGGACAAAGGCCAGCTTTAGTTTTCCATCAGTGAATTTAGACCTAGGTGCATCCTGGTTCTATCTCTAACTCACTAGAAGACCTTAAACTCAAGCTGGTTCAGCTCACTGTGCCTCAGTTTCCCCCCTGTCAAACAAACCAGTTGGACCTTACTACTGAGACCCTCCTAATTCTAAAACTATGGACTCCTTCATCGCTGTAGAAATGACTGTTGATGTGCCGGAATGTCTTGGCACGGCCCTAGGTGACAGCCCTATGTTCACAGATTAGCCCAGGACAGGATCCCATGCCCGGCGGGGCAGAGCCCCACATCGAACCCTCAGCAGGCCACAGAGGGACACGTGCAGAGGCTCAGCACGAAACCATCCCCCATGGGGAGCCCCCAGCTCTCTGCCCACCACTTAGGGACCTGGGGAAAGAGGGCGGTGCAGAGGCCCCCTCAGCCACGCTGTGGGTTCTGCACGTTCCCACGTCCTCTGTACAGAGTACATAGATGTTATGGCACCTATTGCGCCTTAGGGTCACAGTGCAATTTAGAAAGCATTCACCAATTAAAAACCCCACCCAGGCCGGTCGCAGTGGCTCACGCCTGTAATCCCAGCACTCTGGGAGGCCAAGATGGGAGGATCGCTCAAGGTGAGGAGTTCCAGACCAGCCTGAGCAAGAGCGAGACCCTGTCTCTAATCTAAAAATAAAAGAAATAAATTGCAATAAAATATATAGAAAATTAGCTGGGCATGGTGGCGCATGCCTGTAGTCCCAGCTACTCAGGAGGCTGAGGCAGGAGGATAGCTTGAGCCGAGGAATTTGAGGTTGCTGTGAGGTAGGCTGATGCCACAGCACTCTAGCCCAGGCAACACAGTGAGGCTCTGTCTCAAAAAGAAAACACCAGGCCGGGCGCTGTGGCTCACGCCTGTAATCCTAGCTCTTGGGAGGCCGAGGCGGGGCAGATTGCTCAAGGTCAGGAGTTCGAAACCAGCTGAGCAAGAGCGAGACCCCCGTCTCTACTAATAAATAGAAAGAAATTAATTGCCCACTGATATATATATAAAAATTAGCCGGGCATTGGTGGCGCATGCCTGTAGTCCCAGCTACCCGGGAGGGCTGAGGCAGAAGGATCACTCAACCCAGGAGTTTGAGGTTGCTGTGAGCGAGGCTGACGCCACGGCACTCACTCTACCTGGCAACAAAGCGAGACCTTCTGTCTCAAAAAAAAAAAAAAAAGAAAACACCACCAACTGGTATTAAACTGAGCAGCACCTAATGGGCACATAGGTACTACAGTAATAGGGTATTGGCAGGTGGGAGGGGACGGGGACAGGTTATATAAACATAATGAGTGAGAATGGGCACCATCCTGTGGGATGGTCATGCTGGAAAACTCAGACTTGTGGGGTGAGGGGAAAAGGGCATTTATTGAAACCTTAAAATCTGTACCCCTATAATATGCCGAAATAAAAACAAACAAACAACAAAAACAAAACAAAAAAAAAAAAAGAAAACAAACTCCGCCCATAGACCTTCACCGAAGTGGCCACTGACTTTTCTCTTGCAGCATAACCTGGGTCAGTGGCGGCATCAAGACAGCTTGCAGGCCTTCCGTGCATGGGTGGAGAGTGGGAGCCCCGCATCCTTCCACGCCTGCACACGGCAAGAAAGGAGCGCCAGGGCCTTATTCCGAACAGTCCTTCAAACCTAAAACACCCCACGCCCCACCCACGCTCACAGATCTCCAAATGCGGAGCAGTCGTTTAGATATGGCTTCGGTAAGACGCGGCCTAGTGGGGCACTCTCAGACTTCACAGCTTAGAGCAGAGAGAGGGAGCTGGGCCCGTCCCCATCCGAATCCCAGCAACCTCTGAACAGCTGTGTGCCCTCGGGCAAGATCCTTCCTCACAGACCCTGGGCTGCCCTCTGTAAAACGGGCTCAGGAGGCCCGGACAGGATGACTATGAGCAGACACTGGATAAACGGGAGCCCAGGGCATGACACGGGGTCTGGCAGGCAAGATAGGCAGGGGCGGTCTTTCCATGTGGCCGGCTGGGCCACACTACCTGCCAATCACCAGAGCACTCCTCCTGTCTCTCCACCGTGTCAGACATCTGAACTCCAAGTGCGGCAGTGCAAACGCGTCCCAGGTCAGGTTTGTTCCCGGTAATGGCTACCCTTGGTGTCCTGCCAGGGCACTGCCTGGTGGCTCCTCTGGGTGGCAGAGGAAATGCCCTTTACTCCTGGCCAGCACAGAGGGCCACCTTCTCAGGTTGGGTATTGGATAGCTGTGGACAAGCCGCCTGGCCTCTCTGACCTTCATCTTCCTCATCTGCAAAATGAGCTCAGGCTCCCTGCCCTGGGCAGGGTGGAAGGAGACCCTCACTATAGCCAGGTGTCCCTGAGAACCCATGCCATGCCCAGTGAGCTAAGCTTTTAGGAGCTCTTGGGGTCACCGGGACCTCAACGGGCACCTCCTGTTTCCCTTGGTGGGGACCCCACAAGAGAGTCCCCTGGTCCCTACTACGCACTGCCCCGGAAGTGCCCGCGCTCCAGGGGCAGACGACACCGCGCCCGAGCCCCCGGCCCGCCAGTGTGCACCGCCAGTCCGCCGCGCCGCTGCCGCCGGCTCCCCGCCTGACCCGGGGCACCGCAGGCACACCGACAACCGCAAAAACATAGGCCACCCCAGGGTTCCCGGCCAAAGGGACAGCGCCGGGCGCCTCCACGCGTACCTGGCAGTCCGCGCAGCGCGCGCGCGCCATAATGCGCTTGGGTCGGGGTCCCAGCGGGCCGGTCTCCGGCGCCGCAAAAAAAAAAAAAAAAAAAAAAAGCCTTCCGGGGCGGGGCGGGCGGGGCGGGGCGGCGCTCTCCCGCCCGCTGACTGGTGGGTTCGGGCACACCCTCCCGGGGCACCGCCGGCTCCCGAGGCCCAGCCGAGCGACGCCGCGCCGGGCCGGGCCGCCCAGTCCGGTGGTCCGAGGGGCGTCCGCGGGCTCCCCTGCTCCCGGGCTGCGGGACTGGAGGGCACTTTGGTGCGAGCCTCCGTGTTGGCGCCTGCCTCCCCAGCGGACTGGGGGCTTGGGGCGGGAAGGCCAGGGCGCCGGCCTCGGGATGGTTCAGCTGGATCTCGCCTGTCTTCCCCTACCCCCTCCGGGGACCCTACTGGGGAGGCTGCTGGAGTCAGGGTCCCCTGGGAGGCAGGGGGGCCCTGGGACAGCGGTTGCCTTCAAGTTCTATGTAGTCCCACGGGGAAGCCATCCTTGCGCGCGCACACCACGTATTCAGATATCATTTGGGGCGGACAGGTCGTGGACCTGCTTTAATGAGTCCTACTGCTGCCCTGGGGCTCGTGCCCCTCCCTTCTCAAGGGAGTGCAGCCCAGGGACAGCTCCCCGCCCTGCAGCGTCAGACATCTGCCACAAACTTGGAGTCAACTAGGTAGCGTGAGGGGCAGATCCTGTTTTAATTTAAAATGTTGATGTTCAGTACATCATGGATTTTTTGCATTAATTGTGATTTTCAAAAATATTGCATTAAAATATTACTTGTTTTATGTGAGAGCTGAAACTATAAAACTCTTAGAAGAAAACACAGGGGTTAAATCTTCATAACCTTGGATTTTGGATTCTTAGATATAACACCAAAAAGACAAGCAACCACAACAAAATAGATAAATTGGACTTCATTAAAATTAAGAACTTTTCTGCATCAAAGGACACTACCAGCAAAGTGAAAAGACAAACTCCAGAACTAGAGTTATGCAAATTGTGTATTGGGTAAGAGTCTAGGGTCCAGAATATATGAAGAATTTTAGGCTGGCAGCCCATAACTGCAATCCCAGCACTTTGGGAGGGCTCCACGCCACTCAAACTTGTGTCCCACCACTCCACTGACAACTGCTCTTATCCAGGACACCAAAAGCCTCCCTGTTAACAAACCCAGGGGCCACTTTCCCCACTTCACCTCCCCGACTTTGGCCACATCTGACACAGCTGTCCTCACACTCCTGAAACCCTCTTGCAGTGACTCCACCCCCTTGTCAGTCTCCTCCTGCCCCACTACCCCTCCTTCTCTGTCTCTGCCTTGGCTTGACCTTTAGATATTGGGGGGCTCCAGGGTCTGTCCACTCCTCCATGGCACCTCCTCCCTATGCAATCTGACTCCAACCTGAGTCTCCAGCTCTGATGTTTCCCGTCCTAGTCAGCTCCGGCTGCCATCCAAATCCCACAGACTGGGTGGCCTAAAGGACAATTTATTTCTCAAGTTCTAGAGGCTGGAAGTCCAGGGTCAGGGTGACGGCATGGTCGAGTTCTTGGTGAGGGCCTTCCTCCTGATCTCTCCTTGGTACATGCACATGCAGAGAGAAAGAGAGAGAGATTTCTCCTCTTATAAGGCCACTAATCTCATCATGAGGACACCACCCTCATGACCTAACTAACCCTAATTACCTCCCAAAGGCCCCACCTCCAATTACCATCACATCAGCAATTAGGGCTTCAATTGGGGAGGGGGGACACAAATATTCAGTCCATGGCACCACTAAATACCAGACTTAGATCAGGGTGACCCACAGGAAACTGCTGACATGTGACCATGTTTGATCCATCAAAGCAGCAATTTCCTGAGATCCAACAGCATACAGACCCCTTCCTGGACAGAACATGGAACAGACATGATGTGACCAAAACAAAAGTGGAGTTATCCTTGTTTGCTCTTTCTCACTCACATCTGACATCCAGGGCTGGTTTCATGGGTGCGCACCTGGGCAATCACACAGGGCCCCACACCTAGAAGGGCTCAGGCTTGGATTAATGTTCTGCCTTAGCCATCTTGAAATTCTTAGTAATTCTGGAACAAGGAAGCCTGCAATTTCCATTTGCATAGGGCTCTGAAAATTACATAGCCGGTCCTGCTAACATCCAATCCATTAACAAGTGCTGTCTTTTCTGAATCTTCCGCTGTTCACCACCTCCCCCCATCACAAACCCAAACCAAGTCAAGATCAGTTTACCTGCATACCTGGCTTTCTTCCAGCAGTCAGGCCTGCCCCTTCATCTCACAGGACCCCTCCTCGTTGGACTCCCTTCTCTCACTCTGGCTACCTACAACCTAGTTCCCACACAGCGTGATGCTGCCTGCAAAATGGAAATCAGATCAGGCCCCTTTCCCGCTCAAAATCCTCCAAAGGTTTCTCAATTCACTGGAGACAAGATTCAAGTGTGTAAGTTACCTCACCCTGGAAGCCCTGCCTGTTCTATCTTTGGCCATCACTCCAATTACATCTCCCACCACTCCCTCTCCCCTGCTTACCCCAACCACACAGCTAACCTTCTGTCTCCTTCCTGCCTCCATGCCTTTGCACGTACAGCTCCCTCTCCTAGGAATGCTATTCCCTAGCTCTTTTCGGAGCTTGCTCCCTCATTTCACGCAGATCTGCAGGCTCTGATGGCATCTCCTCAGAGAGACTTTCCTGACTGCCGTCTCTCATCCCTACCCCTGACCACTCACCCGCCTTACTTTTCTTCACACCACTTGTCACACCTGAAATCATACATGTTAAATCTTGGCCCGATGACTTTTGATCACTCCCATTATAATGGAAGTTCTATGAGAATTTGAGACTAGGGTTAGCACCTAAAAACAATGCCTGGCACATGGTAGGTGCTCAAAAAATGTGTGGAATGGCTAATGCTAAATGAGAAAACGAAAGAAAAAAAAATCAGAGGGGTTAATAGGAAAAGAAATAACAAAGTGTTAGACCTAAATCCAACCCATACCAATAATTATATTAAATGGTGATGGTATAAATACTTCAACTAAATGGCAGAGATTGACTGGATTCAAAAAAAGTCTATTACATATTGCCTACAAAAGACCACTTTAAAGGTAAAGACATAAATAAGTTGAAAGTAAATGAATGACAAAAAGATGCCATATAAATGGTAAGCATAAGAGGGCTAGTGTGGCTATTTTAATATCAGGTAAATTACACTTTGAATCAAAGATTATTACCAGAAATAGAGATAGAAGGGGCAACACATCTATTACCAGAAATAGAGATAGAAGGGGCAACACCCTTCCTGGTGATAGAAGGGGCAACACATCAGAAACAACAACAAAAAAAACCAAATGTGTATACATTAATAAATAGAGCCCCTAAACATACAGCAAAATTAACAGAATGAAAGAGACAATTCAAGTGGGAGAGATTTTTCTCAGCAACTAACCGACAAAAATTCAGAAAAGACAAGATCTGAGCGACACTACCAATCACCTTGATCTAACTGAACACTCCAATTTATAACATCACACATAATTTATAACACTCCAATTTATAACATCACACATAATTTACAGAACACTCAACAACAACAGAATACACATTCTTTTTAAGTGCACATGGAACATACACCAACACAGGCCACATGATGGGCTTTAAATAAACCTTAATAAATTTAAAAGAATAAAAATCATACTGAACGTATTCTCTGCACGCAACACAACTGAATTAGAAATTAATAACCAATAAGATTTCGATAGAAACTCCAAAAATCTGGAAATTAAATAACACATTTTAAAATAATTTAGAATGATTCATGGGTCAAAACAGGGGAAATCAGAAATATTTTTAATTGAATAACAATAAAAATACAACAAACACATGGGATGCAGTTAAGCAGTGTGTAGCAGGAAATTCACAGCTTTAAATGCGTTAGGAAAGAAGAAAGACCTAAAACCAATGACCTAATAAGGTTTCGGCTTGGGAAACTCGAAAAAGTGCACAATAAACCCAAAGTAGGAACCCCAAAGTCAGGCCTCCCTGGGCCCCCAGGATCTCACGGTTTCCTCTTGATTTCCAGTGTTTTGTAACCGGTTTTCCCAAGGGAGTGGGGTTACGAAGCCTGCTCCCCGGGTCTGTCTACGCGGCGGAATCAACCTCACCCCGCGCCCCCTGATCCTGGGGCCCACACGACATGAGGACCAAGAGGTGGGGGCGCACCCCGAACCCCCGAACCCCGCGGCGTCCCAGCTGCCCCCGGGACCTCGCCGTCGCCGAGCCCCTCCGCCCCGCGACCCTCGATGCCGGATGCCCCGCTGTCCCCGTGAGCCCCGCCGGCCCGCCTGCTCTCGCGCCCCCGCGGCCGTTGGGCCCGCCCGGCGCCTTCCCAGCTCCTCCCGGGCGGGCACCATGAGGACCGGGCCCGCGCTCCTCCTCCTGCTGGGCCTGCACCTGGGCCTGGGCCTGCTCCCGCCACCGCCGCCGGCTCCTCACCGGGCCCGGGCCTCCGCCGCCGGGGCGCCGGCCTGGCCGCGGGCGGCTCCTCAGGGGCGCCGGGGCCTGAGGGAGCGCGGCGGCCACCCGCCTCAGCCTGCGGCGCCGCGCGGCCCGGGACGGCGGCGTCCTCCTCAGCGGCAGCCGCGACCTCTGCTTCCTCCGCGGCGGGCCCGGCCGGGCGGGCGGCTGGCGGCGCGTGTCCCCGCGGCCCCCGGGCTGGTACTGCCTGGGCGTGCGCGTCCTGCTCCGCGGCCGCTGGGCCCCGCGCGCCCGCGCACGTGGACCTGCGCGTCTCGGCGGCCCGCGGCCGGCTCTCGCTGGCGTGGTCCGCCCGCCTGCCGCGCTCGGCCGGCCGCTGGCCTGGGCCTTCCGCTGCGGTGGCTCGGGCCCGGGGAGGTCCGGCGGCCCGCGCCCGCCGCGCCGCGGCTCGGCCCGCCGCCGACCGCCCCTCCTCCGGCCTCGTGGCCCGGACCCCGTGCCCCACGGACGGACCCACGCCCGTCGTGCTGGAGGCCCCCGGCTCGCCCAACCGCACCGCCACGGCGTCTAACGTGTCCTGTCAGTTAGGGGCCTGCACCATCAAGAAGGTGAAGATCAACACGAACAACGACAGCACCACCGTGTTCCTGTCGAGGAAGGAGGAGGTCACCCTCAACGCCACCGCAGATTACAACTGCCTGTTCGCCTACTCCATCTCCGAGAGCTGGCATGTCTTCGCCGTGCCCTCCGTGAACGACGAGCCCGACTGGACGCAACCCATGGACCTGTCGCGACTCGATAGAGGGCGCAGCGTGTTATTCATAGGCATCCCCCCCTACTCTTTACCCGTGGGGGTGTACATGTTCAATTTCACATTGACCATCAAAACGCGCAATCCAAGGATGCCTGTAGTGGAGGAATCGGACGCCATCTACGTCTGCATTGTCACGCGTCCCCTGAAGGCCGTTATTCTTGGGAATCCCAACGTGACAGTGGACTTCAACGAGGAGCTGATTCTGAACGGAACAATGTCCTCTGACCCAGAGGCCGATGACCCACTAGAGGGACTCCGGTTTTCTTGGCACTGTACCACAAATCCACAAAACTACCATGAAGACCAGATACTGGTGATGAGCAAGGAAGTCTGCCACCCAGAGCAGACTAATCTCAACTGGCCGTGGGCCACTGGCCCTGTGCTAACACTTTTGCCAGAAACACTTAAAGGTGCCCAGGTGTATTTTTTCAGAATGATGATACAGAAAGATACCAGAACAGCATTTTCTGATAAAAGGGTGCATGTCCTCCAAGGACCAAAAGCTAGCGCACTCATTTCATGTATTGAAAATTGCGATCAAATTTTAATTGTATCAGATAGATTTTCTCTGTTTTTTAATTGCACAAATTGTGCAAGGCGTGATTTCTATAAGTGGTCTATTTTGTCTTCTTTGGGCAGTGAAGTGCTATTTGACTGGGTGGGGCAAACGGTAACAGGAAGGAATAGTGCTTATTTGTCTATAAAAACTTTTGCTTTTAGTCATTTTTTGGAAGCTGAGTTTTCAGCTTCTCTACATGTAGCAAGTTGGGGTGGAGATATCTCAGTCTTCAGCCATTTGTTTGTTACTAACCATGGCCCTCAAATTGGAGAATGCAAAATTAATCCAACTAAAGGAATTGCACTTTTTACTAAATTTGTTGTCCAATGTAGTAATTTTAAGGACAAGCATATCCCTCTTACATATAAAATAATTGTTTCTGATCTGCACAATATTGGTGAAATCAGTTCAGTAAAAGAAAACACCTTGGGGGCCATCCTGTATTTGGGTACTAAGTCCACAGCACCCCCTTCCTTTCTTCCTGTTGGTATGTTGGCTAATCACTATGCCACAAAAATATATGCTCAGGTGTATGACTCTCTAGGGGCTTTTACTCAGGTGACTTTGTATGCCACCGTACATGCTCCTACTGACAAAAACTCATCAACTATTGTGTTGGATCAGTTATTCGAACTCACCATGGGGCCATTTTCATTGCTAACTACTCTGATTCGAGATGAGGAATTTTTATCTGCCAATTACTTAACGTATATAGCAGCTTCCATCTTGAATAGCATGAAACCTGAATTATCTCTCCAAGATAGTAAAGACTATCTCCGAGAACACCTTGTCAGTCAGTCTTTCCTTCCTCCTACAAGCACTTTGGCGGAAATTAGCCAGTTAGTAACGACTCTTAGCATATTAACGCAGAAACCCTTTGAACTCACTCAAGAGGCTCAGAAACGTGCCACAGAGAGGATGTGGCAAGCAAGTCAAGCCCTGCAAGAGTATCAACAAACAGATAAACGCTTTAGCTCTGAACAAATAGAAATTGTGAGCACTGGAATCTTAACAGGTTTGTCCAATATCTTAAAACGGATTGATTCTCAGAAGATGGTTGAAGATCCTTTCTATGTAATAGAATCTCTATCAGACACAATATTGGCTAGTAAAGTGCCAGGAACTGAAACAACTGTCATGAGAACCCCCAACTTCAACATGTACGTCAAGAAAGTTGAAAAGTGGAAGGTTACCCAGGTCTTCAGAGACGAGAAACACTGCCGAAATTGTTTCTATCCAACACTCAATGTGAGCAGTGTTCCCGCCCTGCCTGCAGACGCTCCCATTTCTACGATGTTTTGTGAGTTTGCAGAGGACCCTTTTCCTTGGTTAAATGATGGAGAAAGCACTTCAGCGGAGGTGGTTGGATTCAGAATGACAGGAGCCACAGATAATGGTACTGTGATAGAGATCACCCCCGATGTAGTGGAAGTGTACCTTGTCAGAAAAAACGTGACCTTTGCAGCTTTTAATCTCACAGTGGGACCCAGCCGTGAGCTTGATGGGGCCTTGAAGAAGACAACAGGGGCATTTAGCTTTGAAGTGGACATCAGAGCATTCAGGGAGGTGCTGGTCCACATTGCAACTGAAGTGACCCTGCTGTTCGAGGTGCTGGTGTACGCAGGCAGTCAGCTCACCCCCACGGCTCTGGTCGCCACCTTCCTCGTGCCTCATGACATCCCTCCAGTTGTTAGTCACAGTGCCCTGTTTGACCCCGCCTGCGCAGTGAAGGCAGCCCGCGTGGTGTGCCTACCACTGTCTCTGCTGCAGGTCATAGCTCAGCGCAGCCACTCATCCCAGTGTACCATATCTGTGGTTCTGCAGGCACCCAGTTTTGTCATAAGGCCCAATGACAGGCTAGTGAGGATTTCTCTTTTCAGCGTTCAGTGCTTGGACAAGTATGGGAGCAAGAGCGACTGGCGGGAAGACAACTGCGTGCTCGGGGAGAAGACGACCTGGCACAAGGTACATTGTGTCTGCGGGCATGCAGTGCGGGCCAGGCGGCAGGTGGGCACAGTCAGGCTAAGCAGCCTTCCCCTGCACACCCGCTACGTGATGGCCAGGGTGATTGTGGTCCCTAACCACGTGGATCTGAAGTTAAAGGTCATCAAGAATGTTTACCAAAACCCTGTGAGCCTCTTAACTGTGCTTTTTATCATCTTTCTTTACACAGCCCTAGCTTTCTGGGCCTTGCACAGGGATGAAATGGACAAGATTCTTCGGGAAAATGTGATAATTCTACCTGATAATGATCCTTATGATGACACATGCTACTTGGTCACTGTTTTTACAGGAAGCCGTTGTGGGGCTGGGACCAGAGCCGATGTCTTTGTGCAGCTTAGGGGCACCGCAAGTACCAGTGACGTGCACTGTTTAAGCCATCCACATTTTACAACTCTGTACCGAGCAAGCATCAGCACTTTCCTCCTAACAACAAAAAGTGACTTGGGGGACATCCATTCCATCCGCGTGTGGCACAACAACGAGGGCAGAGCACCCAGTTGGTATTTAAGTCGAATCAAAGTGGAAAATCTGTTTAGCAGGCACATTTGGCTGTTCATATGCCGGAAATGGCTTTCTGTTGACACCACTTTGGACAGGACATTTCACGTTACCCACCCAGATGAGCCTCTGACCAAAAAAGACTTTTTCTTTATAGATGTGAATCATAAGCTAGGGAAAAACCACACGTGGTTCTCCATTTTCGCCAGTGTGGTTCCCAAACCATTCACCAGGCTCCAAAGATTGTCTTGTTGTTTAGCAATGTTGCTAAGCTCTCTTGTTTGTAACATCATGTTCTTTAATCTAAATAGAGCAGAAGAAACCGAGTCAAGAGAGAGGCGCTACCTCAGATCAATGATGATAGGAATTGAAAGTGTCTTAATTACAATCCCTGTGCAATTAATAATAACCTTTTTGTTCACCTATTCCCAGAGGAAACCTCAAGTGAACCTAGAGGAGGTGTCTCCTCAGAAGCACCCCCTGATAGCAGAAGACGGTAGCCACTGGGAGGAACGCCTGGGAAACTGGCATGCTCGTCAAGCCGCAGCGACACACGCCGGCAAGACCGCGAAGACTGCGAAGACCGCGAAGACCGCAAAGACAGCGAAGCCTGCGTCCAGGCGGAAGCCTGGGCTTCCCAAGCCTTCTGTTAAAGCAACCTTTAGATCAAAGCGCCAGTCTGAGAAAGCAGAAACCAAGGCCCAGGAGACCCAAAGACCAAACGCAAATTCCAACAACAACAACAACAACAGAGAGGACGATGAGGCTGTTTATTCTGAAGAGAGCTCCTCTCAGGAGGATCTTCCCCAACCTAAAAAAAAGTCCCGGATTGTCCTGCCTCGGTGGTGTGTTTATCTGGCATGGTTCTTGGTTTTTGCCACTTCCAGCATATCCTCCTTCTTCATTGTCTTTTATGGGCTGACTTACGGCTACGAGAAGTCAATAGAGTGGCTCTTTGCATGTTTCTGTTCATTCTGTCAGTCAGTCTTCCTGGTGCAACCGTCCAAAATCATACTCTTGTCAGGCATCAGGACAAACAAGACCAAGTACTGTAAAAACCTCTCGTGGTCAACCAAGTATCACTACTCGGAGATCAGTCTGCAAAGAATGAACATGCAGCCAGAGGAGATGAGGAGGCTGCACGACCACATCAGCCATATCCGAGGCACGAGGATGTACCAGCCCCTCATGGAGGACGAAGTCAGAATCTTCAAAAGAAAGAAGAGGATCAAGAGAAGAGCCCTCCTGTTCCTGAGCTACCTGGTGACTCACCTCATCTTCCTGGCCCTCCTGTTGGTCGCCATTGGCCTGCTGCGCCACACCGACTGCTTCTACTACAACCAGTTCCTCCGTGACCAGCTCTCCGTGGACCTGGGCGGGGTGACCAAGCTGGAAGACATCTACCGGTGGCTGAGCAGCGTGCTGCTGCCCTTGTTGCACAATGACCTGAATCCCACGTTCTTCCCCGACGACTCGTCCACCATCCTTGGCCTTCCGCTGATGAGGCAAGTGAGAGCAACATCTAGCGAGAGACCGTGTCTGCCAGCCGATAACTTTGTGCAGAACAGCATCAAAGGAGAAATTCGTTGTCATCCCAAATACGGCATCGACCCGGAAGACACAAAAGACTATTCTAGCTCCTGGAATAAAATCGATCAACAGCACCCACGCAATACCAATGGCTTTGCTTATAAGCAACAAGGAAAGCAATGGGTGTATTATTCCTACGGGTCGTTGTATACCTATGGATCAGGAGGATACGCCTTCTACTTTTTTCCAAAACAGCAGAAGTTCCATTCCACAATGAGGCTCAAAGAACTTCAAGAAAGCAATTGGCTTGACGAGAAGACGTGGGCTGTTATCTTAGAATTAACAACTTTTAATCCAGACGTGAATCTGTTCTGTAGCATTTCGGTCATATTCGAGGTTTCACAGTTGGGAGTTGTCAACACCAGCATATCTGTATACTCCTTCTCACTTGCTGAATTCAACAGGAAAACTTCAGCAGAAATCTACTTGTACGTGGCCATTCTCATTTTTTTCTTAGCCTACATTGTTGACGAGGGTTATGTCATCACGCAAGAAAGAGCCTCCTACATGAGAAGTGTGTATAATTTGCTCAACTTTGCTTTAAAATGCATGTTTACCGTGTTGATTGTGCTCTTTCTCCGGAAGCATTTCTTGGCCGCCGGTATGATTCAGTTCTACTCGTCGAACCCCGATGACTTCATTCCCTTCCATGCAGTTTCTCGAGTCGATCACACCATGAGGATAATTTTGGGTTTCCTGTTATTTCTGACAATTTTGAAGACCCTCAGGTATACCAGATTCTTCTACGACGTGCGCCTGGCTCAGAGGGCCATCCAGGCGGCCCTTCCTGGCATCTGTCACATGGCGTTTGTGGTGTCCGTGTACTTCTTTGTATACATGGCTTTCGGCTACCTGGTGTTCGGGCAGCACGAGTGGAACTACAGCAATCTGATTCATGCCACTCAGACCATATTTTCCTATTGTGTTTCGGCTTTCCAGAACACTGAATTTTCCCACAACAGGATCCTTGGGGTCCTGTTCCTCTCGTCTTTCATGCTGGTGATGATCTGCATATTGATCAACTTATTTCAGGCAGTGATCCTGTCTGCCTACGAGGAGATGAAGCAGCCCGTGTACGAGGAGCCGTCGGACGAAGTGGAAGCGATGGCCTACCTGTGCGGCAAGCTAAGGACTGTGTTTGGCTTTCAGACCTCCCAGTCGAGGGCCAAAGGTGAGCCCGAGTTCCTTGTCGACATGCTGTACGGGCAGCCAGAGAAGAATAACCGCCGGTATCTGGGGCTGAAGACCAGGAACATCAACGGGAAGAAAATGGTTTACCTTGTCGTTTGATGAACGGCGGTTTCAAGCGCCGTAAGCGAGGGTCTCCCCAAACGCTGGGTCTGTGGGACTAAGGGGATTGAGGGGTGTTAGTGGCTCAGCCATGCTTTCCACCTGTGTCCTTGCTAGTGCGCACCCTGCATGTGGAAGTGTCCCCGCTCTTGGCCTCCGCTCTTGGGAACTCGAAAGTGGGAGCGTAGCGTAGTATTTGGGGAGAGAGGAGATCACAGTGTAGGATTCCTGGATTGATTTCCCTTTACAGGGGAATTACCTGACTCCTGGTACAGCGGCAAACCCTGCAGCAGTTTGGAGGAGTTAGAGCCACCCGGCATGAGAACCAGATTTGAGGGAGGGAGCAGAAAGGGCCCCACCCTGGACCTGGCCCGGGCAAGGGTGCTCCGGGCGCTGCTGTCTTCCACCCACGCTGGAAGCCAATGGCCCGCTGCTCTGGGGCAGGGCTCCAGACTCCTCAGCCTCACTGCGAGTCTTCTTTGCAGATCAGGGCTGCGGGCCCCGCTCCCCCAGTCCTGTTGGGCCAGGGCCTCACAGGGAGTTCCAGGACTTGCTCTGTGCTTGGGAATACAGGGGTCAGAAGTCGGGAGCTTCCCATTTATGCCTTAAGTTTGCGGTGAGTTAAAGTAAAATTTAATAACATTGTCTGACCAGGAGATGAGGCTTTTGTTAAACAACAAAAAGGTGCATATGGGTTAACACTGAAATACAGTAAGTGTTCTATGTATCGAATATAGCAATATATGTACACCCAGGATTTGGGCATTCGGTTATTTGTGGTATGGTGGGTTATTTAGCAATAAGGAAAATACAGTTCATTACTTAAGAGAAACAAGGGCCAGCGGCTGTGACATTTCACTCCGAAGCATGTTTGTTTATGTAGATGCCACTTTAAACTTCATTGGAATTAAATGTGAGATTACTTCTGTGAGACTTGCAGTGATTTCTGCGTGAGGGGCATATACACAGTGCTCCCGCCCTCCAAGTGGAGGGCCAGAAAGGGGGACAGCCCAGGCAGGTGGGTGGCTTGCTTTGTGCACACGTTGGTGTCTTTGTCATCCTGAGCTGCACTGAAATGGCCACAGCACGTCCATCGCTTCCTCCAGAGGGGACGCCTGTGACCCTGAGCAGGCGGCAGTCTTCTCTGCTAGGTGAGAAAATGAAGAGGCCTAGACTAGCTCGAGGCCACAGGTGTCGAGGGTCAGATTTGGATTTTCTGACTTCCCTGGTGGGGAGGATATGGGAGTGGCCTGGCCCGTACTGGCCCACTGGTTCCGACTGGAGCAGACGCTCATTAGATGGCACCTCTGGTAACCACCAGACTTCTGGACAGATTGAGAAAAAGAGTCTGCAAGGGGCCAAACGATGACTTTTTGCTGAGAGAGGCCAGATGCGGCCTGGTCAAATGCACTTGCCGATTGAGCCGCAGAGAGAGGGAGTTGGAGCCCCGGTTGCAGGCCGGGCTGGGCAGCCGGCCCCTGGAGGCAGCGGCGGCTGCTGGCGGGCTGGGTGTAACTCATGCTCTCTGTGGGTGTGCCCAGGCATTCTCCCCCAGTTCAGCAATCAGCTAAAGCCTCTGCCACTCTCCAGGGGCTGAGGGGGGCACAGGGCTATGTAAGTTGGCTTCCCTTCCCAGGAAGCAAGCACAGGGAAGGGGGACAGCTTTCCCCCAACACAGCTAGAGCTGTGCAGCGGGACAATCACTAGAGAGTCAGCCCAAGAGGCGGCAGGCAGTCGGGGGGGGGGGGGCAGGAATGAGCACTGGAGGCGGTGTGAGTGAGGACAAGGAACAGCAGCTGTGGGTCCTACGGAATGAGACAAGATTCTCAATTTCTTGGTAAAAATGAGAAATCTAGCAGTCATAGGATTTTTCCCATGCATGATGGGAAAGGGGTAAGTACCAAAGGTTTTGTTCTAACCTGACAGAGCAATGACAAGAATTTATATAGTTTAGAGACAGAGATGCCAATTTTAACCTTATCAGGAAGACAAAGTATCAAGTAAGACAAATAATAATTCAGGTTTCTTTTGAAGGCCATTTTGCAGGACATGGCAACAGTTTCTAAAGGAGTCTTTTAAGAAGCCTTTGTTCTCATTATACTCCCACAGACAGGCATTTTTAAGGCCTGCTTCTGGCATTTCATTAATTAGCACTCAAAGCAAAATGCAAGCCTTTAGACCTGAACGTTATTGGCAGGAATGGGGGATGCGATGAATAGGATGGTATTCATCCTCAGTGAGATGGGGTGCAAAGGAGTTACTCTTCCACAGAACCCCCTTTGCTGCTGTTAGCAACACTTAGCTCTAGATTTTAATATGAATTCAATTCCTTCTATTTTCAGATTTCTCAGTCTTCATCTAAATACATGATGTACAATTTGTTCAATACCGTAATTAGCTTTTCAGACCACATTTATACATTTTATAAGTACTACCACAACATATGGGTAATTATTTTTCCCTGCAAACTTATCCCTAACATTTGTGGGCCCCAGAGCAGGATTACAAATCTCTATATGTCTAAATATTTAAAAACTTACAAACTCTTATATAAAACATATCCATCTACCTTGATAAATAGACCTTCATGAGGACAAAATAAAGAATTATGCATAAAGCTATGGTTTTCACGTAACTGAAAATTGGCAAGCTATTAAAGATAACTGAATTTAATCTTTATTGTCCACCCCTGGGTGTTCTGTGATGGGCCACTGATGTTTTAATGAGTAATAAAGACATACATAATCCATAAATTATTTATTCTATACATTTTATTTTTCTTGCCTTCGTTTCAGAAGAATCATTGTGTTGATATAATAAAGATTTTCACACAATTGTGTTCCATTCAAAATAGTGTCAAATTAGACAACCTTTCCTACTTTGTAGGTTTCAATTATTTCAATAGGGAGAAACTTTGCTGAGAGATTGCAACTGCACTTATGAATAAGATTTTTAAGGCTTGATATTCAGAATTGAACCATGAATATCAATATCATGTTTAAACACTGTTAAGGAGAATGCACAGGAAAAATTATGATTGCAGAAAACATTACAAAATGCTTTCATCATATAAGCTGTTATCTCACTATGATTACTATTTCTTACAACAATATCTAGATTCATACAGGATTTCTTAAGTTTTTCTTCTTTTACATTTTTCAGTGCTATTATAAAGCTGAAAATTGCAGTGAATTACTCACCTTGTTCAAATCTCTCTTTATCAGTAGAGACTACACTTTGATCTACAGTGGCCAGAAAACAGTCTCTATAGAAATTAGTTTTAGGATTATTTGTATATGAATGTTTTTCTTTAGACTCCAGTGAATGTTTCTATTTCCTAGTTTTAATTTGCTTGCATAGGGCTGGTGCGGTGGCTCACGCCTGTAATCCTAGCACTCTGGGAGGCCGAGGCAAGCGCATTGCTCGAGGTCAGGAGTTCAAAACCAGCCTGAGCAAGAGCGAGACCCCGTCTCTACTAAAAATAGAAAGAAATTAATTGGCCAACTAATATATAGAGAAAAAATGAGCCGGGCATGGTGGCACATGCCTGTAGTCCCAGCCAGTTGGGAGGCTGAGGCAGTAGGATTGCTTGAGCCCAGGAGATTGAGGTTGCTGTGAGCTAGGCTGACACCATGGCATTCACTCTAGCCTGGGCAACAAAGCGAGACTCCGTCTCAAAAAAAAAATATATATATATATATATAAAATTTGCTCACATAGTACTTTTTTTTGAGACAGTCTCACTTTGTTGCCTAAGCTAGAGTGAGTGCCGTGGTGTCAGCCTAGCTCACAGCAACCTCAATCTCCTGGGCTCAAGCAATCCTCCTGCCTCAGCCTCCCGAGTAGCTGGGACTACAGGCATGCACCACCATGCCCGGCTAATTTTTTCTATATATATTAGTTGGCCAATTAATTTCTTTCTACTTATAGTAGAGACGGGGGTCTCCCCCTTGCCCAGGCTGGTTTCGAACTCCTTATCCCGAGCAATCCGCCCGCCTCGGCCTTCCAGAGAGCTAGGATTACAGGCATGAGCCACCACACCTGGCACTTACATAGTACTTGAATGTTATCTTAGTGCTTATTTCATATGCAGTTTTTCTTGGAAAACCATTTTTCCCCTAAAAACCTTAGCAATATAATTTAATCATTTTGTATTTCTTAAAGCTTTTTCTAATATTAATAGCTGTGGACAGATCAAATTCAAAATCAACTTTCTTTTCTGCCAAAGACCATGGTTTGTTCTTTGAATATTATTTTACTTAATTATTCTAATGCATCTCATCCATAACTTGTCCAAAATAAGTCTAATTGCTTGAACAGCATTCATGGGATTGCCATCACATTATCTGAGAGTAGTTACAGGTTAAATTTAAAATGCTTCAACATGTTCCATCTTTGGCCAGATCCAGAAAAAAAAAAAACCAACCCAGTATATAACCTTTGAATTGATGCAAAGAATGCCGCTGCTGTAAGCACAGTTGAGGTTATATCTGCTAGAAACATAAAAAAAAAAATGCCTGCGAATTCCTGGGGCCCCTCTAGCTCAGGTCTGAGAGTGGTTCTGGTTTCCATGGTACTAAAATGCGGTGTAGGGGGCAGGCCTTCTCCTCCGCGGAAAACCCTTAAATTACTGGGGGAAGGAGGGCAGCAAAATCCGTGGTCCCCAAGGCACAGGTGAAGACCCACTGCGATTGGGGCGAGGGTTTCCAACTGGGCAGAGCGGAGGCCACAGGCACAGCCAGGCCTGCTGGCGCCTCTCCTACACTGCTCCCACACCAGGGCCCGGGAATGGGGCTGGCATTTCAGGTCCAGGAGCAGCGTGTCGTGCCCCGGGGGCAGGGGGGGCGAGGGAGCCCTGTGGCTAGTGTGGGGGCGAGGGGCGAACGGAGAGGCCCAGGGGGCCGACAGGAGCGCACGCCACGAGGGGCGGCGTCGCAGGCCACTCTGAGGCTTAGGAGCCCAGCGGCACATGTGGAGACCACGCCGCTTTACAAAGGTCGCAGGAAGCACGGGGCTCGCTCCGAACCCGTCCTGTCCCCCGCAGCGTGCGGGGGCTGACGCCCTGTGGGGCGCCGGGACAGCGCGCGGGGAACCCAGGCCCGGGCACTCCGGCACCTGGAGGCGCGGGGCGGAAGGAAGGTGTCGGTCTCCGCGGGGCCACGCGTCGGGGATCTCCACCCCGCAGAACCCGACACAAGCCCCAGACGGAAGCTGCGCGCCTCGCAGGGCCAGACTGCACCCCAGTCCGCGCGCTCCGGCCACAGCGCACCCAGACGCGACGCCCGCAGGCCCTCTCCTCAGCCCTTGGTACGTCCCTAAGCGCGCGCTCTCCGCGGCCAGCGGAAGGACAATAGGGAGGCGGAAGACGACCGCCAGGCCCCGCCCCCTTTGTCTGCGCCTGCGCCGGGGCTGGCTGGGCCGCCGGGGGCGGGGCCGCGCACGCGCCCTGGGACGCAGAGCCGTGCGGCGCGGGCGGCGGTGAGTGCGCGCGGGAGCGGCGGCCGGCGGGGGCGAGCGCGCTGTAGGCCGGGCCCGCGGTCCTCCGAGCGCCTGCCTGCCTGTCGCCGGGGCCGGCTTCGGCGCTGGCGTGGGGGCCTGTGCGGTTCCGATCGTCGGGGGTCGGCGCGGCCCCTCGCGGCGTCGGGGACCTGACGGAAGACGCGGGAAAGGCCTCCCGATGTCGGCCAGGTCCTCCGCGCGAGCGGTGCGGGGCAGCGGCGCCCGCTGAGGGAAGGGCGCGTGCGGGGCTCGCAGGTGCCGGGCCGCCCGCTGGGCCTGGGGCCTTGGTGACTCCAGTGTCCAGCTGCGAACCGAGATCGGGTTCACGCACGCCGGAAGTGGGTTTTAATGTTTTAAGAGTCAGTTTTGACCCGTGCTTCCAAGATTTACATCTGGGGTTGTTTGACTCAAAACTCATGTCGCTTGACGCACGTACACCGCACTGACGGGTTTAGAGGAGGGGAGATCACAGCTGTCCTGACTGTGTCATTAGAGGTCTCCTATACCTGGGGACCGGGCAGGGCTCCTAAGAACGCCTGAGACTGCAGCTGGATCAGGACAACAGGGAGCCCAGTATAACTAGCAGCTGCAGCCCGTGGGAGGGTGAAGATGACAGAGGAGAACCCTCTCCAGGCAAATGAATCCTCACCCTAAGCACGGGTAATGCCAGAGAAATTTGAAGCCAGTGGTAACTCTGAGACCATCTCAACCGTGACTGATCCAATACCCCACACAAAGGCCCAGCATAAGCAGTGACATTACAGGTTTTATAAATACTATTAATGCTTAACCTCCACTATCTTACCAAATGCCCAGCTTTCAACCAAACTTGCAACATACAGAAAAGCAAATAAGAAAAAATACTCCCTGCTGTCAAGAATCAAAACAATCCACAGACTCAGCTATGACCCAGATGTTGGAACTGTCAGACAGGGAGTTTAAAATAAGTGTGGATTAATATGTTAAAGCCTGAAAAAGATGGACAACATGCATAGGGGATTTCAGCGGAGAAGGAAACAGAATCAATGGCAAATAGTAATAAAAAATAGCAGAGACGATGTGCCTTTGAAAGGTACATCAGTTGATTTGACATAGCCAACGGAAAAAAGTCAATGAACTTGAAGATAAGTCAATAGAAATTACCCAAACTGCAACACAAAGAGAAAAGAGAGTAAAATAAACAAATCTACAACACAGCATCCAAGAAGTATAGGCAACAATATCACATGGTGTAACATATTTACAGTTAGAATCTCAGTAGAAGAAATACTTAAATTTTCCCAAAATAATACATCAAATCACAGATCAAAGAATTTGCTTAAGGAAACATCATAAGGATAACTAACTTTATTTTATTTTATTTTAATTTAATTTTATTTTTTTTGAGACAGAGTCTCGCTTTGTTGCCCAGGCTAGAGTGAGTGCCATGGTGTCAGCCTAGCTCACAGCAACCTTACACTCCTGAGCTCAAGCAATCCTTCTGCCTCAGCCTCCTGAGTAGCTGGGACTACAGGCATGTGCCACCATGCCCGGCTAATTTTTTTTTTCTATATATATTAGTTGGCCAATTAATTTCTTTCTATTTATAGTAGAGACAGGGTCTCGCTCTTGCTCAGGCTGGTTTTGAACTCCTGACCTCAAGCAATCCACCCGCCTCGGCCTCCCAGAGTGCTAGGATTACAGGTGTGAGCCACTGCGCCCGGCCAGGATAACTAACTTTAAAAGAAAAAACCCAGATATCTAACCTACAGAAAGCCAAAGATAAATCTTCAAGGCAGCCAGAGGGGAATGCATAGGGAGACCCTTTTAGGTGGAAGGAACAGGAAGAGCAAAGTCAAGGAGGTGAGAAAATGCAGGGAATATTTGGAGGATAGGATGTGAGCCACTTGAATATAGTGGAAAAAGGTGATACCCAAATTAAAGAGTCTGAATGCCAACAAAGGGAGTTTATTCTACATTCAGTTGGGGAGCCACTTTGGTTTGAAGTGGGAGCTGGGCCTTTCCTCCCAGCACCACCCAGACCCTTGAATTTTGTTCTGCTTTTTCTGTATCTACTGAAATGAATATATAATTTTATTCCTTTATTCTGTTATTATTGTGAATAGCATTCACTGGTTTTTGAATGTTAAATCAACCTTGCATTCCTGGGAGAAATTCACTCAGTTCTGATGCATTAGGTTTCTTATATATTATTGAATTCAATGTGCTAATATTTGCCAAGAATTTTTGTATTTATGTTCATGAAGGATATTGGTCCATAGTTTTCCTTTAATAGCTTTGTCTGGTGAATGGTAGCAGGGTTATACTGGCAGGTTTTTTGTCTATATAATACTGTTCTGACTGCATAAAATAACTGGGAAGTATTCCTTTTCCCTCTGTATTCTGAAAGAGTTATGTCAAATTCGTATTATTTCTTCCTTAAATGCTTGACAGAATTTGTCAGTAAAGCCATGTAGGCATGATGTTTTTCATATGTTCTTTTTTTAAAATTTCATTTCCACGAAAAGTTTTAATTATGAATTCAATTTCTTACTAGATATACGGTCTTCTAAATTTTTTCTTGAGTCACTTTTGATAATTGGTGCATTTCAAAAAATCTGTACATTTCATCAAAATTTTCAGATTTATTGTTAAAAATTTGTCATAACATTTCCCTAGTATCCTTTTACTGTCTCTAGTCTTAGTGATGCTCCCACTTTCATTCCTGTTAGTGGTAATTTGTATCTTCCTTTTTTCCTTGATCAATCTAATTAGAGATTATCAATTCTATTGAACTTTTTTAAAAAGCTGAAAATAAACAGCTTTGGTTTCATTGATTTTTTTCTGTGCAATTTCTTTGATTTCTGTTTATTATTTTTTTTACTTATGTTGGGCATAATTTGCTTTTCTCCACTTTTTTTTTTTTTTTTTTTTTTGAGACAGAGTCTTGCCCTGTTGCCTAGGCTAGAGTGCCGTGGCGTCAGCCTAGCTCACAGCAACCTCAAACTCCTGGGCTTAAGCGATCCTTCTGCCTCAGCCTCCCGAGTAGCTGGGACAATAGGCATGTTCCACCATGCCTGGCTAATTGTTTCTATATATTTTTAGTTGGCCAATTAATTTCTTTCTATTTTTAGTAGAGACAGGGTCTTGCTCTTGCTCAGGCTGGTTTCTAGCTCCTGACCTTGAGCGATCCTCCCACCTCAGCCTCCCAGAGTGCTAAGATTACAGGCGTGAGCCACCGTGGCTGGCCTCTCCACTTTCGTAAGTTGGAAACTTAGAGACCTTTTTTCTAATATAAAATTTTAAGCTATGAATTTCTCTCTAAGCACTGCGTAAGCTGCTCTCTATGTATTTTAGTATATTATATTTTAGTTATCATTTAGTTCAAAATATTTTCTAATTTCCCTTGTGAAATCTTTGAACTATGGTTTCTTTAGGAGAATATTGTTTAATTTCCAAATATTTGGAAGATTTTCAGGTATTTTTCTGTTACTGATTTCTTATGTAATTATTTTCGGATTGGGAAACATATTCTGATTTCAATCTTTTAAAGTTTGAGCTTGTTTATGGCCCAGCATATAGTTTGTCTCGGTGACTATCTCATATGCACTTGAAAATAATGTGTGACGTTGAGCATGTCTCTTGCTTGCTCTAGACCTGCGCTTCCCTGTCTGGAAGTGTGGAGTGGGGGGCAGTTGCGTTTTGTGGGTGAGAAGTATGCTGCAGGTGGGGAGGATTTGAGATGGGGGTGGTTCTTGGTTCTGAAGGTGATGCACCTCATCTCTTGATCTTCCAGATGGTGTCCGAGGCAGAGCACCGGCCCCTGGGTATGTTTGAATGTGAGCTCTGTGCCTTGACAGCTCCGTACAGCTACGTGGGGCAGAAGCCCCCCAACACCCAGTCAGTGGTGTGAGTACATACTTTTTGGGGCCAGTGCCAGGGGAGCCCCTGCCCAGAGCTGGTTGGCAGGTCCGTGCTTGAGTCTGACACATGGCTTGGGTGTTGTGCTTTAGACCTATTCCTGCCCAGGCTCTGGATGCTTCAGGTGTGACTTGGGGAGGCCCTGGACAAGGCTTGAGTACCGTCTGACTCTTCCAGAATCCCCAAGGCCCTTCCTCCACCCCCAGCCCAGAGTTCAGCACCTGCTGAATGGAGTAGGGGCACCGTGGCCCAGGCAGCTCAGGCAGCTGGAAACAAGGGACCATGGTGGCCTCCCCATTTGGGCTGCACCCTGTTGTCATTCTTGCTGTGACACTTTCTTAGTGGGAAGCCCATCCTCCTTGCAGCTCTTGCACTGGTGGGAGTGAGTCCTGAGGACCAGCCTCCCAGGGACTTGCCAGAGCAGGCCTGGACTAGAGCCAGGGGGTCCTGGGACTCACTTCTTGACCTCCAGCTTCTGGCTGTGGTTCCTCCACTGACCAGGGACCTGGGTGTCATCATGTTACACTGTGGTCTCATTCTGATGTGTAGCATGAGGCCAGCCTGCCTCCTGGGGCTGCGAGGATGGAAAAGGTGCCAGGTTCTCCCTGCATGGGAGCAGGCAGGCAGCTGGGATAGAAGGGAGGGCTTAGGGTGCTCAGATGGAGGCCTTATGCCCCAGTGAGCTGAGAGCAGGTCCGATTTCATTTCCAGCATGGTCCCCAGCTGCTGGGCCTGTCACTACCTTTCAGCACAGGCGGACGAGTCCTCCACCCCAGCGAGTCCATGCAGGGGTGCGGAAGCGTGCAGGCCCTGGGGAGGCACGTGCTGCTGCGTGCCGTCGCCCACCACTCTGACCGCGGGCATTACTCTCCTGCAGCCTCCTGGAGGAAAGCTACGTCATGAAGGATCCCTTCACCTCGGACAAGGACAGGTTCCTGGTCCTCGGCTCGCGCTGCAGTTTGTGCAGCAGGCTGGTGTGCGTGGGCCAGGTGGGTGAGCAGCGTGAGGCTGCCTGTCCTTGCTGTGTTGATCCCTGAGAGCCTCTAGGAGACCCCAAAAATAGTCCCTAGGTAGGGAGGCTGTGAGAGTCCTTAGAGGCCAGCTGGTCCACCCTATAGCTGACAAAGGGGACAGGTGAGGGGGCCAGCTCGGGTCAGTTAGAGGGTCTCAGCCTGGGGTGAAGATCCTTGGAGGCTCTGTCCCACCCCCAGTGGCTGCACACGGCTCCTCACTGTCCCACAGATAGTGCAGACTGCCCTGTGCTTCCTCTCTCCATGGACAGTGACCTTTGTTCTACATGTTCTTAGAGGGACATCCCAGAAGAAGGGACTGTTCTTTCTTGAGCAGCTATTGTGTGCCAAGCCCTGTGCTTGGGACCTATTTTACAGGTGAGGCTTTTTTCATTCCTGCCCCAAGCTTAGTCAGGTAAAGCAGTGCTAAACCCATTTTGTAGATGAGGAAACTGAGGTTCAGAGAGGTTGACTGGGCCAGGTTCGCCTGGACAGCTGAAAACCCAAGGATGGGTGGAGGTGTAGCAGTGTGGCTTTCAGAGCATGGCCAGTGTGACCAGAGTGGTCCTGGTCTGAGAAGTCCCCGAGCATCTGCCGCAGGATTAGCGCGTACCAGGGTGAATCTTAGGGGTTCTGGTGTTTCAGGCCATGGGGAGAGTGTATGCGGCTGGCCAGTCCTGGCCTCCCGACCATGGTCTGTGGGGCTGTCCCTCCCGTCCCTGGCTGCTCCCAGGACCAGGCTGTCACCAAGCCTTTGTTCCTGCTGTGGGGACTAGGAGAGGGAGGACTCCAGCATTCCCCATTTTTTGCATGTGGCTTGTGCTATAGCTTCCTGTCATTGTCACTTCACTGTGAAGGATAGAATCTTTCTATCCCATCCCAGCTGTTCCCAGGGTGGCCCAGGCCCTTCACTGCCTCTCCCGGACACCCTGCCAGGCAGGCCCTTGGGCCCCTCCTTCCCTCTTGCTGGCCTGGCTCTGTCCATGTCCCTGTCCCATGCATCCTGGGAGGCTCTGCCCAGCCCCCTGCGTGTGGTGAGGGGCCGGCCTGCCTCTGAGAGAAGCTGCACCGTGTCCCCAGGATGCCAGCCTCCTTGTTTTCCTTTCTTTCAGGAGTGCAGCTTGTTCTACTCCAAGAGATTTTGCCTCCCTTGCGTCCAGAAGAACATCAGTGCTTTTCCTCAGGAAATTCGGCAAGACTTGGAGAAAAGGAAAGCTCCGTCAAAGAGGCCTTCCAGCCAGCCCAGTGCTCAGCCATGAGCGAGGCCAGTGCCAGGGCAGCAGGCAGCAGCCTGCTCAGAGCCCCTGGGCCAGCCTGGGTCATTGGAAGCAGCATCTGTGGCCCAAGGGAGCTGGGGGTCAGCTGTCAGCAGCAACAGGGCCACAGGAGCTGTGCCCAGAGGGCAGCCCCAAAGGCAGATGCCAGCCCTGACATCCAGGCCAGGCACGCCCAGGCTCGCCTCTGGGCTGCGGCCTCAGTGAGCCCTGCTCAGAGGTGACTGAGCGAGAGGGAAGTCCTCTCTCAGCAGGACAGCTCGCCAAGAGGCTGCCTGCAGGCGTGTGGGGGAGGGTGCCGGGCATGCTGGGGCCGCGGGCATGCTAGGTGGCAGCAGTGGTCTCTGTGTAAGGAAAACCGCTGATACTGGCTGCCTTCGAGACCAGATGGTAGGTCTAAGTGGGATAGAATTTTTATTTCACATCCTTGTGCAATGCTTAGGAAAATGTTATTTTGAATCTCTACCAGCGTTGTGTTTATAATTAAAACCCCAAAGAACCAGCCAATGTTTTGAAAAGTAATCCTTCCACCGAAACGTTTGGAGGCCCGACATCTGCCCGGGCACTCTGGGCATCGGTAGGTGGGGTCTCCCGGAAGCAGAGTGCTGGCTTCCAGCCCTTCCAGTCTCCTCAGGCTCTGGCTGCAGCTCAGGCCCGGTTCTGCTGTCTGTCTCCTGCCAGAGTCAGGATGCCATGGGCGTCCGGCGCTCATGCTGCCCCTCAAGGTGCCATGCTGCCTGCCTGCCCCACGCCACCTGGAACTCAGTCCTCGGTGCCCCTGAAGCCCTACCCCACAGCCTGCCTGATGTTCCACAGCACCCCTCCCCCGAGGTACCCCTGTCCCCGTACCTTCCCCAGTGGCAGTGTGCGCGCAGCGCTCTGTGAGCTTGCGACCGTCTGCGTGGAGTTCTCAGAGGCGGCGCTGCTCTGGCCGTGATAAAGCCGTGAGCGAGGAGCTTCCGCTGCGCGCCCTGCGCTCTGATTGATTTTAAGGTGCCCACACTTTTAAAAGCTTCCTGTTTCATGTTACTTTAGATGAAAGGATGCCACATTCTGGGGCCACACCGTCCCAGATCCATTCTGGGCAGCACTGAAGGAGAGAAGGGCCTCCACAGGGGAAGACAGCCCCAGGTGAGGGGCGCAGGGACTGTCTGGCAGAGCAGACGCGACCTCGGGGATTCGGCTTGTTGGAACCAAGCCGTTCATTTCACAGCACCACCCAAAACTCACCAGAACGTTTTAAAAAATAGTTTATTCTTTTAAAACCATTAAGGCAAAACTGTACCCTGAAATTAACTCTTCACATTCATCCGTCTTACAGTAGGACATTCCAGACACGCAAGTTCCCATAATTCAGGACATAAATCAATACATGTGGTCAGTTCAATCTCCTGGCAGGAAAATGAAGAGGACCCAAGATTTTATGAAAATTAAGGTTATTTTATAGCCATTTTCTCATTGCCTGGAAACAATCGGTTAATGTGACTAGGAAAGTTCCATTTACCCTTCTCTGCACACCCTTGATTCCTGAGGTCCCGGGTTCCCTCCCCACCTGGGAAGAAGAAGGAAGTTGGAGAGGGGACGCCAGAGCTTGCTCAACAATTCCTACATTGGAGCTGCTCCTGTCTGATACAGAAAACAAAGGGTCTGACGCCCCTAAATGCTTTGAGAGCAGAAGGCACCCAAGGCCAGGAACAACACACCTGTGCCAAGGAGGCAGCTTCCATCCCTGCCCTGGAACCTGTGCCCTGTCCTCCCTCTCCCCAGGGGCGTTAGCGTAATGGCATCGTGGACCCCAGAGGGCATTACAAACACACCGAAAAGAAATTTTGCCATGATACTGAAAACAACCTGCAAGAAACTCACGGGGTCTGTCTGTTCCGCTTTGTGCCTCGGGTTGGGCCGTCTGGAGGATGCCAGAGCACCAGCGCGTACAGATAATTTCCATGAGCATGTTTCAAACTGCCGACGTTCTTTGGTAATACCCATAGGTAACAATTCCCTGAAGAGCAGACAGCTGTTCACTAAACGAGAGTGGCTAAGGGTCTTTAGCAAAACGCTGTCCTTTGAAATCAGTGGCCTCTAAGCGCGGCCCTGAGAAGGGCCTGCTGGCAGGAGGGCAGACAGACAGGGCCCTGGCGCGCGCGCTCGCTGCGTGTAAAGAGTGGCGGGGGGATCGGTTTGCACGTGAGAGTAAGTTTCGCACGGCCGGGAGCGACGGAAAGCTGGGTCTGTGTGCGCGTGTGCGGTCCTACTTCCGTTGCTTCATTTCGGCTTTCTCTGTGTTTCCAGTAGGTTCGAGAGCCAGGCTTTTCAGAATATATATCAATTAACACTGATTTCAAAAGAATCCTAACGTCTGTTATTAGATGAATGATTGCAAGTTAGTAAAATATCTGTATTAAAATGTTGGTAAAAAAAAAACAACAAATCACAATATTTAAGATAACAGCTATTAACACAGTTCTTTTTACCACACAGTGTAGAAAAAATAGTGATACTCAACACAAACACTGAAGTCTTACCAAAAAGGGAACGCAGTGGTATCCGTGTTTTGTGAGGTACGTTTTCTTTTTAGGCCTGAAAAAGGAACTGACTGTGCCTTGAAAAAAGTGAATTTTCCAAAAGTGAGTGATTTTACTGTGAAAAGATCAGCCACTCACTAGTCTGCAGGGCTCGAAGCCGGACTGTCCCTGGCCTGAGGCAGAGCTGCGGCCTGGGGCCCGGAAAGGTGCCAGGCGCCTGTCCCCTGGGGTGGCGCAGCCCTGCTCAGCATGGCCCCTGGGGCAGGGCCCTGGTCGGCGCCTGCGCCCCAGCTCCTGCGAAGCTGCACCAGTGCATCAGATCAACGGGTTTTTGAGGCTGGGTGGGGAGAGAGGAAGGGTTAAGAGAGGAGGAGGCTGGTATGTTCCTTTCTCCGGAGAAAAATGTGGAAGTTTTTCACTTTTGACCCAGACTAGCAAATTTCTAATTAAAAAAAAAAAAAAAAAAGCTGACGTAGGTCTTAATTTTCTATGATATAAACACCTGTATTTCTTACTTTTTTTATTTTTTGCAAATAATGCATCTAATAGCCACGGGCCCCTGAAGTGCTTGATACTGCGTCAGTCAGGCTGTGATGTTGCACGTGGACACAATTTGGCCCGTCCTCCTTGGCCAAGGACTCCAGGAGACGTGGCTGCGTGCATTCTGAGGCCCCTCCCCCTACAAAGGGCTCCTCTGAGCGGGGAAAGTGACCGATTGTACTTTTCATGTCTCAGACCAAACTTCTGAGAAGCAAATTGGCCACCCTGTTCCAGGTTTGCCTCGATGTCCCCGGGTGCCCGCGGCTGGTAAAAGGGCAGCGGCCCTGGGTGCCAGCCTGTTGCTCTCTGTCCTCCTAGTGAGGGGCCTCATCACAGGGGGCTTTTGTGACGAGCCCGCAGCCCGTGACACTGCAGTAGCATGTGAGAAGCTGCTGCCTTCCACAACCAGCCTGGGAAGCATCGCGTCATCACTTAACTAAAGCATGAAGCTCGTGGTCTTTTTTTTTTTAAAAAAAACAAAACTTCCAGTTTCACATTTTAGTGTGTATTGTGGTTTCCAGAGAAATACAATAGATCTCCTATACTGAGTCCGACCAAATTTACTGCCTTTATTCTTACCCTAATCTATGGCGTCAATGACCATCTTCCTGAATTCATCAAATGGCACCTAAAAACATATAAATCCCAGCAAAAACCTAGGGCTCAACATTTGGAACCTAATCTTGGATCTTTCTAGGCAGCAGGACTCTCAGAGGGGGAGGAGGACCACTTAAGGGATTAGTGGCTTCAGAGAATTCCTCCAGCGCGGCTGGGGCAAGTCAGCCCGCGGTCGTCAACTCTCCATTTGCTTCTCACAGCGGAGCGGGCCGAGTGCCTTTGCGTGCAGTGCTCGTGGATGTTTCACTTCCAGACCGGGACGTTTCTGAAGATGGGCTTCAATGACAGCTCCATCACCACTGCCATTAGGATGGTCCACAGTCCCGCAGACTGACAAACCCACGCAAAGATTGGGTTGGAAAGAAATTCCCATGCAGCCGAAAAAAATCGGCTTGGAGACGTTAAGAGAAGCTGGACCACTTTAAAACGAGAAGAACAAATACTTCCCCATGCTCGGCAATGCCAGTGATGTAAAAATTGGGTGCACTGAAACAGATCTTCTGTGGACCCATCAGTAAGCCCTCCATTGGTGGCACCAATCTTCCTTGCCTCTTCTGAGTCTACACCACTGTTCTGAACTCAGTCTTTTAAAGAGTAATCCCTCAGCACACCGCATCAGGCAGGCGGTGCTGACCGCAGAGGGCTGGCCGGCCGTGCTCAGAGCGGGAGGCGAGCAGAGGTTGCCGCCTCTCGGCCGGTCACCTGGCCTCGCACCCCCCAGTTGTAAGTGCCACCAGGGAAGAGCAGGGGCTGACAGAGGTGCAGAAAGTGCTCTGTGCCCAGGGCTTGAAGACTTGGCCCTGCATACTGAGGCTGGCGTTTTCATTGTACAATGGGGGCTAATTCCCATCGTGACCCCACAAGGGGTTGAAGCACGGAGGAGACCACCGCACAGGCGGTGAGCTGAGGGCACCTGGCCCGTTCTTCTAGTGGGATCTGCATTTTGAAAGGCCTCAAGGCTTGAAGAGGTACTTTGAAGGTGGCTGGCTCTCCCCGGGCCCTGGAAGCCCCTGACAAAAAGCCACATGGGTGGTCTCATCCATCTCAGCTGGGCCCGCTGGGTTGAAATGATGGATCCAGGCATCACTCAAAGTCAAAAAAAAAATCCAAAAAAAGGAAAGGGGGCCAACGGGGCAAAAACCAAAACCCCCCCCGGCCGGCAATCGGCCGGGAAAAAACAAAAGGGCCCGGGGGCAACCGGGGTTGACACATAGTGGTTTTGTCACAGTGGGAGCTGGAGGCAGGAAGGGCCCAGAATCACAGAGGGGTGCAGGTGCGTGCTAACAGGAGACAGACCTTAGAAAGTCACAGCTGTGTTAAGGCTTGCTTTGGGGCATCTGTCTCCATCCTCCCCTGGCAGGACCACTCCCAGGAGGGGACCCTCCCCAGGCTGGCAGGAGCAGATAAGAGAGGGGAGCTCCTGGTGTATGTGGGGAGTTACTGCAGACTGGAACCATCCTAAACCCAGGTCACACCCAATCTCAGTTGCACCAAACTGGGGCAGCAACTTGTGCATGTGCGTTTCTTTAAGGCTCCCTTTAAACAGTCCAGATTTCTTAGAAAGTCACAAAAGCCATTATTTCTCCATGTACAGGCAGCCACAGGCGTGCGTGTGCTTAAGGAGCCCCCGTCACAAATGGCCTGACTACAGACACGAGTGAGGCCCCGTGTGCGTGCACCTTCATGTGAACAGTGCGTCGGCGGCGCCTATTGAGGTAGCTGGTGCACAGCACGGTAGGGGGAAGTGGCTGCTCACTCCACGGTGTCCTTCGCATCACACGCCAACTATTTCCCTCGAGCTGCAGCTCAGCTCTGGGATCCTGTGCTGTCCCCGGAACCTCCAGACAATGCCCGAGACAGTTTGTGTCCCTTGGGGTCTCAAATGGCCAGTGCAGGAAATGCCGTCAGAACACGCAGAAAGGTACCTTCTTTCTGCAGTAGCATGCTCTTAAAATGAAAAACCCTTTAGAATAGGGACAGCTCCAGCAGGCATGCTTGAGCGCCCTGAGTGCTGGGTTTCTCTCTCCCGCTCTGCACGTTCATTATCTATGGGCAGGGGACACTCTGCACTCCTCGGAGCTGGAGGAAGGTGAAGGGGAATCCGGTGAGCGAGGTGGGAAGGAGGAATGGCCACTAGCTGGTGCACTCAGCGCCTATGCCACCTCCAAGGCCAAGGCCACTCTTGCTGCTGTGGTTGGAAGCATCTCGCTCTGACAGTTCTGCACTTCATCCAAACGGTCTCATGCCTGAGTGGCCCTCTGGCCCTGCAGGTATGGTGGGTGCAGAATTCAGCGTGGGGCCGCCCAGCTGGACACGCCCAGACGCAGAGGGGCGGGGCACTGCCAGGCTCCCCGCCGATTCCAGAGAGGCCCGTGTCTGACCCGGGGCCCTGCAGCTGGCCGGCGTGCCACCAGGCACGTCTTAGATGAGCCCCTAGGTGTCCCTTCCTTCTGGTCAGCACGTGAGACCAAGGCTGTTTGGTAATTCTGTGGTCTCTGAGGAGTCTGGCACTTTTTGCTATTAAAACTTGAGAAAATGAAGAACCAGGTTTGAACACTGACTTGCTGAAGAGTGGGTTAAGTTGATTTCCTGTGTTCGCTGCCAGAGGAAGTGGACCCCACGCAGGGGTCTGAAACTCCTCCAACCCGTTACGACATCTCTATCGTGCTTTTTGCCAAAGTCCGGGGGAACCCAGCAAGCAATACGTGCACTCTTTTAACACTTCCTATTTGAAATGCCACAGTATTTTTGAACTGGTGCATAATCAGCCTATATTTGACTGCTGATACCCTGAGAAATCTGTGATTAGGTGACCCAAAACATTCTGGCACTGAGTGGCAATTAGTGACTTTGTTATTTAAAGAAATGGGAACCTGTGCTTTTCCTTCCTATGGATACAAGTGGACGGTGGCGAGTGACTTTCAAGCTGAGGTCACTCGTAGGCTCCCTTCTGGCTTCGTGGGGACCCCACGGGAGTCTTGCTAGGTACCAGGGGACAGGGCTCACTGACCCTGGTAGCTCACGCAGGGCGGCTGGTCAGCTAGCCTATTGCTGCCGAGATCTCGAAATAGGGAGCGGTTTTACATAGGTTTTATGAAAATTTAAGCAGAATGAATGGCTTTTCTGAAAACCCTGAGGCTTGTGCTCTTGGGCCACGCCTGTCGGAACAGCATTTGTCTGGAGGGAGAGGCCGTGTGTGTGTGTGTGTGTGTGGGGGGGGGGACAACGCCCACTTGGCGACGGACTCCAGCCACTGATCCCAAAGTGAGTCCCGTCGGTACGGGGAGTTCTCATTCCAGGGAAGGACACTGGACGGATGTGCCATGTGGCCCAAGGCCTAGCTTCCCTCTGAGTCAGGATCACCTCTCGCTTGGTGTCATGTGTGGAAATATTTTCCTTTGCTCTGACCCCCTAAGACGCCTGGGCAGGCCGCCTGCTGCCTGCTGGCCAGCAGGTCCTTTGATTGGAGCTTAAAAAAAGAAAAACAAAACCCAAACACCACTAAAAATGTGTAATTTTTTTTTTTTTTTTAAAAGGATGTCCTAATCCTAACTTTCACTTTTTTTCTAGTGGAAGTCTCACAGTTTCATTGTCCTTTCTACTGTCATTTTTTCATGCTGTGGATCTGGGGAACGTCACCCCTGTCAATCCCGATCACTCTTTAAATAACAACCTCAGAAGCACCAAATTTTATGAAGGGGGGGGAGGGGCATCAAAGACACAGAAGGCGCCATGGAGGTCACATTCAGCACTGGCAGGGCCAGTCTAGTTCTGGCTGGAGGGACAATTAATCCACCAGATAGACGGGAGGAGGAGGTACTTCCAGGTCCATGTGTTTTGGACAAAGTACCATCTCAACTTTGCTTTCCCCACTGCACTGAGGTGGAGAACTTGATCTTTAAGGCTAAAAGCAACATTTCAGATGTCAGAAAAACTACCTTACATATGCAGTGGGGGGGAGAGAGACTTGACTATCTTTGTGAAAAAACAACCAACTGCTGCGAAATCTCAGACGAAGTAAAACTGCCGCTTGGGGGACGCGGCTCCCCTCCCTCAATCTCCAGGGAGAGCAGCCCCTCCCAGCCTAGGCTGAAAGTCACATGTGCTCATGTGCTCCAGGGAGCACCTGCTACCACCAAGAGTTAAACACATAAAGCATCACATTCCAAAAAGCAACACAGGGAAAGACGTAGGTAGGAGCTGCCAAATGGGGCCCAGAAGAACGTTTACAAATAATTTGTCAATTTGTCCCTAAAAATAACCATCATGCCCACAAACAGCCTGATTGAGTTGGTTGGGATTTCACAGGAAGAAGGGGCAGGGGGAGGGACGCTAGCACACGCGCAGAGTTTGTCATGTTCCTGCTCACCGCAGACGCTAGCTTAAAACAGTCCGGGGCGGTCTCGTGACGTGGTTTTCTGGGCTCTTCTACACAAACCTGGAAATAGGCTTGTCCACATTATTAGTTACAACCATGAGAACAGTGAACTGAAAATGAAACAACAGCTGCATTTTGATAGCTTATCAAATAGTTCTATAAAACTCTCAATCCTATGATTAAAAAATAGCATGTTGTCTTTCTTCAGATTTAGGAAACAGAACGAAGTCTTCCAAATAAATATTTTGCCGCTTTTAAAACACCTAACCTTTGGATACATCTAGATTTACACAATTATAAACGTCGTTAAAAAGTGCTGATTAGTTTTCAAAATTATAAAGGAGCACAACAGTCAAAAGGGTAGTAAAAAGGGAAGACAGACCACGTATTCAAGGTTACCAGTTAATTAAATGGTCAATTACTCACGTGATATAAAGAAATGTGCACCGATTAACATTGGGTGAGTTAAAATCAGACCGCTGAACATAATTCCCCTTAATTTTCCAAGTCCTGGTATTAGCCACCTACCACCAGCATTCGAGTGCTATGCACGCTCTTAGAAGTACTGGTTAAAACAAAGACAGACATGGAATAATATTCCGGTTACCTAGAGCTCAGACTTTTCCAACCTCTAAGGCCAAAGTGGTGGATCTTTGTGCAAAATCACGCTGCTCCCATCTCTCCTCTGTAGTGCTGTCGACTATAAAACTCCTTGAAAAGTTGTCATCATTGTTGCTTTGGGAAATCAGTACATGTCCCTGTAGATCTCTTGCAGCAGCGGGTGCAGCGCTGCGTCCGACTCCGTCTTCTTGATGATCTGCACCAGCTGCGCGTGCTCCGTGACCAGCTGCCGCAGGTCGGCCATCTTTTGAAGAAGTTTTGGGAAGAGAAAGATATCGTCCGGATGGTTGTTCTGCAAGTGAAGTTTGAGCACATGCACAATACCCTCCTGCATTTTTTCAATGTGTCCTACGTTTAGAAGGCCAGGACGATCTATCCTCAAAAGAAGAAAGAGACGTTTGAGTGCGACAGTCACCTACTTAGCTGATTATCAGCTCGAGGAACCAAACATTCCTATTTTACGTGTCCTTTCTTAGAAAAAGCCAAGCTTGCTTTTAGACATGGTCAACTGGACTGGAAGACAGAAACCGACTTTTCCAAAGTCACTAAGCAAGATAGGGACAGACAGGACAACGCTGGTTCCTAAATACTCAAACTCTTCGGCCACAGTAGCGCCCGAATTCCACCTCACCACATGGCCCCTGTGCAGCCCGCCCGGGACAGAACCGAAAGCGTTGGGAGTTATGGTACATTCTGATGGTGACGATAACAACCCATTTTGCAGACTATGGGAAATGAAGTTCCTGTTCCTGAGTCAAAACTAGATATTCGGCTTCAACTTTTCCACCAATATTTAAGGAGTGTGATTATGGTAGACTTAGGTTTTGTGGCGTGTAGCTTACATGTAGCTTTCATGTAACCTTACATGAGAAGGTTACAGGGACCTTCTCATATGACTCAGGTGACAAGAAAGCAGGGTGAGAAAGGAATGGGGTGCTGGGGTGGGGAAGGGGTCCTGGCTGGGAAGGATGCTGAGGACGCCCTGTGGGGGGAAGGGAGGATGGGTGCCCTCCCTGTGGCAGCTGGCACCAGCCTACCTGGCACAGTCTCAGAAATACTGCCCCAGGCCGCACCCAATCGGTAGGGCTCCCTTTGAAGTCCCATTTCTTATTATAATTGTCAAATGTTGCTAATGATGCAGATTTTTTATCTTCATTGTTTTTTTTTTGGTTATAAAATAAATATAATTATTAAGTTTCAGAGAAAAATTTAAAAGGCCGGGCGAGGTGGCTCACGCCTGTAATCCTAGCACTCTGGGAGGCCAAGGCGGGCGGATTGCTCGAGGTCAGGAGTTCGAAACCAGCCTGAGCAAGAGCGAGACCCCGTCTCTGCTATAAATAGAAAGAAATTAATTGGCCAACTAATATATATAGAAAAAAAAATTAGCCCGGCATGGTGGCGCATGCCTGTAGTCCCAGCTACTCGGGAGGCTGAGGCAGGAGGATCGCTTGAGCCCAGGAGTTTGAGGTTGCTGTGAGCTAGGCTGATGCCACGGCACTCACTCTAGCCTGGGCAATAAAGCAAGACTCTGTCTCAAAAAAAAAAAAAAAATTTTAAAAGACAGAAGGAATCTCCCCTCATAATTTTCACCCCACCATAACAGGTTTAACATATATGTTACTGGACATTTTTCTATATATATAGGATTGATGTAGGATTATAATTTCTTTTATAAAAGTGTGATCATGCTACACATACATAGTTCTGGAATTGCTTTTTACCCACATGCTACATCTGGATCATATGAAAAGGACAGGTCCTATGTAACCGCTCTGCCCTTCTGTATTATACTTCATGCCAGAGGGTGAGGACTTCCTCCTCTGACTGGTGCCCGGCCAGAGGGTCACAGGGACCCGCCTGCTAGTGCTGAGTCCAGGCGGGGGCAGCCAGCCTCAGTTCCGGCAGTGGGTGGGCCACGGGGCCAGCATGGCTTCGGGCAGTCTCCGCCAAGGCTGGGTACAGTCGGCAGAGTTTACAGTAGTAGGATGACCTTCCTACACCCGAGACAGGGCGATTTAAAGGCACGTGATGGTGACATGGAGCCAAAAGTCTGGGGGCTGCAGAGCCAGCCTTGCAGAGAGGCCCAGACTTCCCTGCACCCTTCCCTGGGGTCCGTGTCCCCTGGCAAAGCACACCTTGCGGTCTCTGCCTGCTAGGTGCCGAGATTTCCCATTAGGAAACAGCGTAAATATTGCCAATAGTGACAGCAATTACACTAACGTCTGTATGGCACTTTAGAGACTATCGTCTGTAACATGGATATAATATAATGATACAATTATATAGTAATATTATAAGAATATCATATTATAATTATAATATATAGGCCATATATATATTATATATGATGATACAATTGTAATTGTATCTAATGATTATATCATATCTAACATATTAGCTATAAACATCTTATATCTGTTTATAATATTAGATATAACTGTAAAAGCGGTATATTTATATGTTAGAATTAAAGCATAATTTACACAATATACAAATATTCATTCATATATAATAATACTATATGCTGCGGTATCATGCAGCACTGACAATATCCCCACTTAAGTCTACTTAGCAGCAACTCGGGGCTCAGACGTCCCCCACCCTGCTAGCGTCCGCTCCGCCCGCACAGCTCAAGCCGGTCCGGGGTTGACCGCTGCCACACGCTTCGAGACAGGAGCCTGTAAGAGACTCGGCTCCAGCGGATTAAACCAGCTACTCACCTCCACAGCAAATTATAGCAGCCACAAAAAGGGAAATGTCACTGTCATCCAGTTCCAGTGCGTTGAACTTCATGGCGAAGTCGAACTTGGGTTCCATGATGTCACAGAATGGCTTTCTCAGGCTTTTCAGGAATTCACGAGTGATGAAGCCATTTCCGTACGCCACCAGCATCCCGTCTTTGTTCATCACGGAAGACAGCATCGCAAATATGGCCTCGTAAACGCCGTACTTCAGCAGGGTCACTTGGTCGTTCAGGTCCAAGTTCGCGAAGCCCGGGATGGCCTTGGCGAACTCCGTGAGCTCCGTGACGGTCTCCACCGACGTGCACTGGCAGCAGTGGAAGATGCGGACCTCCGCCTCCTTGTTCTGGATGCCGTTGGCCACCAGCTTGGCCACCAGCGTCTTCTCGGCCATGCACAGAGTCTCCATGTCGTGTATCACAAAGGGCTGCAAGGAAGGACACGCAGAGCTAAGTCAGGTAATTTGTGACAAGCTGTGCTTTCAGTCACCAGTAAACTAACACGTAGCTGCTGTGTCCAAACCACCACGCTTGGTGCTACGGAGAATTCAAAACATGCATGAGCTGCTGTCCTTGCCAGAGCTCACTGTGTTCCGTGGTGTCAGCTGACACCAACGCCACTCATGAGGATTCCTCTACGATGGCAGCTGTCACCTCTGAGGAATCATTAAAGGTGAATCATTGGTAAAATTGCTCTGCATAAAATTATTTAATAATATCTTGGTTATGTTTTACTGCCATTTCTAGAAGAACATAACATATTAGGCACGTATTTTAAACTAAAGACAACTTAAGTCATAAGTATAATTTTTTTTAGAAAGAGTCTCACTCTGTTGCCCTGTCTAGAGTATCATGGCGTCAGCCTAGCTCACAGCAACCTCAAATTCCTGGGCTCAAGCGATCCTCCTGTCTCGGCCTCCTGAGTAGCTGGGACTGCAGGCATGTGCCACCATGCCCGGCTAATTTTTTCTATATGTTTTTAGTTGGCCAATCAATTTCCTTCTATTTTTAGTAGAGACGGGGTCTCACTCAGGCTGGTCTCGAACTCCTAACCTCAAACGATCTGCCCATCTCGGCCTCCCAGAGTGCTAGGATTACAGGTGTGAGCCACCCTGCCCGGCCTGTCATAGGTATAATATTTGACCACACGGTAAGCAAAACTCCAAGATATGCCACAAGGTAACATTTGTCCAAGGGGGCAGTTCTATTCCAGCCCGTGCCCGCGAGGACAGCCTGTTCCCAAGATTCTGAAACGCTGAGAACAACGTTGGATTCCTCTCTCGGAACTGATCTTAAAACCTGTGCTCAGCTGTATGCCAAAAATTAATCTCTTTGCTTCATAATTTTTTTTCCAAACAAGGCATTTTACTCTGTTTAGTCTCACCTTGTATACCAGAATTGCTACAAGGGACTCATGGTTTTGTCTAAAATTCAATTATATTCTCAGAGGGTAAAGATTTTCCATAACCAAAGACACAGACTCTAAAGACTTTTTCTCAAGGTGTAGGTAGCTTCTAAAGCCAGAAGAAGCTAAGCCTGAGCAAGAGTGAGTGTGTGCGAGCCTGTGCATGCATGTGCACGTGTGTTCACACGTGTGTATACACATATACGTGCACACACATGCGTGTGGGGGGCCGAGCCCTTGGCTGTGGGAAAGCAAACGTCACAAGAAAGGCACTGCCTTCACCACAGCCCCTCAGTCCATTCCCACGTTGCTTCTTCCACAGTCTTTTCATGACATTCTTAACCTCTGACAGGTCAACAATATAACTTTTTTTTTTTTTTTTTTTGAGACAGAGTCTCGCTTTGTTGCCTAGGCTAGAGTGAGTGCCGTGGCATCAGCCTCGCTCACGGCAACCTCAAACTCCTGGGCTCAAGCAACCCTCCTGCCTCAGCCTCCCGAGTAGCTGGGACTACAGGCATGAGCCACCATGCCCGGCTAATTTTTTCTCTATATATTAGTTGGCCAATTAGTTTCTTTCTATTTATAGTAGAGACAGGGTCTCGCTCTTGCTCAGGCTGGTTTCGAACTCCCGACCTCGAGCAATCCGCCCGCCTCGGCCTCCCAGAGAGCTAGGATTACAGGCGTGAGCCACCGCGCCCAGCCTACAATATAACTTTTTAAGATGCTGTTGAAAAGCACCTCTTTTGGAAGCCATGCTCAGAGGGGACTACTGTGTCCCCTTAATCTCGGCTCTGCTTCCGTCCCTGTCAACCAGCGAGTTCCCCTGAGGTGTTCCGGCCCCGTCGCTAAGGGCCCTGACCATTTGCTGCCCCACAGTCCCGAAATCTCAGGGGCTCAAACCAGCCCCAGTGTCCACATGGAAACAGACTCTCTCCGGCCACCGCTCGCCCCTTCCCTCTGCTAAAACCCACCGTTCCCCGAGCAAGGTGCCCCCGGCTCCCCGCAGCGCCTCCCCCGGCAGAAGTGTCCTCCCTCCTGGTCCCGCCAGCACCCTAGTCTGTTCCCATCAGCCAGGGCTGTGCTTTATCTGATCGACGGCCACGAGGTGGTCTTCACGGAACAAAGGACTAGACCACCACGAAGATAAATGCAGCCCCCGCTTCTAGCCAACCAGCGGGACTGCTTTAAAATTAAAATCCGCCCGGCCTCTGTCTTTCCGCATCCAGGCTTTGAGCACTGCAGGGCCGAGTTTTGGTCGGAGCCGTGGGGCCCGGCACCTGCTCCCGCCCCGGCAGCCCCGGCAGCGCGGAGGCGGGCCTGTCCCCCCTCCGGGCACGCAGCTGTGATGGCGTGATTGCGTCTGTTTACTGGCAAATGCATCATCCCTCCTCCCACCCCCGAGCAGAAATGAAGGCCGCTGCAGGCCCGGGGTTGGCTGCCGTCCCGAAGCTCTGCGGGGCCTGGGGAGGGCTGAGGTCGAGGCGAGCGTGTCTGGGCCCATCCTTGGTCCCCTAACAGATCTACGGACAGATGGAACTGCTCTCAGAAACGTGGAAGGGACGCACACAGGCTGTGGTCTTCCAACACCCACCGCAGCCACCAAACCACAGCCCTGCGAAGAGATCCGGGCAGTGCGGCCTGGCGGTGGGCGTCTAGCTGGCTCGGCCTTTTCCCAGACTGAGCGGAGGGGGGCCCCGCACCGCACGCAACAGGCTCCAGAAAGCCAGCGGCCGTGCCTCCCACACCCTGCGTGCAGGACACCGGTGGGACATGACCTTGGCTTGGAGCAAACGGTCTCAAATGACCAGTGACGCAATAGCTGGACGTTCCCTGCAGCCAGAGCCTGCAGTGCCCAGGCCTGGAGGTGTGTGGACAGGAGCCAGCACCTGACTCTCAGTAGAGCACCAGGTTCTGTCTGTCTCCCGAAAACAGAGTTGGGAGCCACAATCCTAGACTATCAATCTGTTGTTTATTTCCTTAAGACCAACATACCGATTCCTGTCTAAGAGGGACCCTGTGTGAAGGGCCCTCAACCGCCCTGACCTCCTCACTCTGGCAGAGGGGGACGGGCTCATTCCAAGAGCCGTGGGGGTCCCCGTGGGGAGACATAGAAGGACACTCTATGGAGTCACATTCACACTAAACGGGGGTGTTCTCTTAAGAGCAAAGATGACTTTTAAGTTTGCTTTAAATGCTTAAAATCCAAGGAGAACTGTAAGATCGGGGACGACAGTTGTGGTCACCCTAAGTTTGTGGTCACGCTAGCCATCTCTAGGACAGAAATGCAAAGTGAAAAGATGACCCTTGCTCTCACCCTCATCGTCCAGAAAGGGTCTAATCGGTCGGTGTGAGCTGGGCTGCCCAGCGCGGGCGTTTGGTGGAACCTTCTAAAATGTCTCGGCCTATTTAATTGGAGAATTCACTGAAGAATTAAAAGACTCAGTAAAAAAAAGAGGTTTGGTTTGTTCATGAAAGTAAGTAGCTTGTGAAACACTCTATTTTCTATGACTAAAAATCCCGGCTAGTAATTCCCAATGAGCATTGTTCCAAGCTAGTCATTAGTACAAATTAAACCTGTTTGGCCACGCTCATAGGAAAACGGCAAAGTATCTATCCCAGCCTAGGGCCGTGCCCCTCTTTGAAGGTAGCTCTGAGATTCAGTCTGTAATAGAGACAGAGACTTATTTCACTGTGGGGGTGGGGGCAGGATGACGTTAGGCCAGGCAGGTGACCACAAGGGGCAATCTCGGTTGCCTCTGAAAAGGTCCAGAACTTTCCAGAAAGACAATAAAGTTTCTGTGAACAGATGACCCTTTCTAAGCCCTGACACATCCCTGCTTCCTCACTGAAGAAAAGGCAGGCGGGTTATGGGCTGCTGGGGTGGGAGGGGAGGGGAGGGGAGGGGACAGGGAGGGTCAAGTGCAGGGACTAATATTAGGATGCAAGAGCACATTTTGAATGGCGACATGAGTGGTTTTGTTTTCTGGCCTTAAAATAGGGATTTTAAAAAAATGCACTTAGGAAACAACCCTAGTTTTTTTTTTTTTGAGACAGAGTCTCACTTTGATGCCTAGGCTAGAGTGAGTGCCGTGGCATCAGCCTATCTCACAGCAACCTCAAACTCCTGGGCTCAAGCGATCCTCCTGCCTCAGCCTCCCGAGTAGCTGGGACTACAGGCATGCGCCACCATGCCCGGATAACTTTTTCTATATATATATTAATTGGCCAATTAATTTCTTTCTATTTTTTTATAGTAGAGACTGGGTCTTGCTCTTGCTCAGGCTGGTTTTGAACTCCTGACCTTGAGCAATCCGGCCCGCCTCGGCCTCCCAGAGTGCTGGGATTACAGGCGTGAGCCACCGTGCCCGGCCTAGTGGCTTTTTTTTTTTTTTCCTCTTGGGGTATTAACGACACAGCCATTATACTAACTTGGTTGCTGAGACCTTCCAGGAAGATCCGAGCAAGAAGACAGGGATTGCCGTTAAGCGACATTTCCGTCTCAGAATGGACCGTTTCCATTGCCTTTTGTTTGACCTTGGGATAAATACTGTTCCCTGGACACTTGAACGTGTTTCCTCAATCCCGCCCCAGACTCCACGGAACCCTTCAGGCACGACCGGCCGCCCCGCGGGAAGACACCTACTGGGTTGTTGCTGGCCTTCCCCGCGAGGATGACGCGGGCTTTGACCTTGTTCATGTTGAAGTTCTTCAGGTAGGCCTCGTAGATTCTCTTGGCGAGCGACCTGAGGTCTGCGGACTCAGAGTCTTCCACCTCGTGTTCGCACGTGAGGATCTCGGCCTTCAGCTTTGCCTTCTCGGACCTCGGCATCCGTCCAAAGCGAATGGCTGGGTGGGGAGGGGAGACACAACAGCGAGAAGCCGACAGGATGAGCCTGGGGTCAGGCGCTCGGCGACCGAGCCAGCCGCAGGGGCCGGCGGGGAAGGTCCCAGCCGGAATCGAGGCAGGAATGAAAGCACGGCGAGTTAAGAGCCGCTTCTCATCCCTACTCAGCTTTCCAACGCGGAGAGATGAAAAGGAAACCCGAACGCCGTAAGTTCTAGACTTCTTAAAAAGACTCAAAGGTAACACCCCTGCGCGTCCTGCCCTCGCCACGCGACCGCCCTCTAAGGGCGGGGACAACGGGAAAGTGAGCTTCCCCACGGGCTTCTGCAGGGTGCCCGCTCCTTCCACCAGCAGGTGGGGACGGGACCCTTAGGAACTACCGTGTTTCCCCAAAAATAAGACAGGGTCTTGTGTTTATTTTTCCTCAAGAAGACACCCCAGGGCTTATTATCAGGGGATGTGTTATTTTTTTTTTAAGTACGGTACAACCATCTACATTTATTCAAATATAGTGAAGTCGTCTTCTTCTGGAACACCATCCTCACTCTCCAAACCCCGAATCCCATCCTGAATGTCTTGCGACTCTATTTCCTTTAGAACCACTGGCCCCGATCTCTCTTCTTTCCCGCCCCTCGACGACACGCACGGGTTGTGCGGCCGCGCTGCGTGGCCACGCCCGCCCGTCACCAGGGCTTATTTTCGGGGTGGGGCTCCTATCGCGCAAATGCTTAGACATCCTGCCAGGGCTCACTTTATCGGTAGGTCTTATTTTCGAGGAAACACGGTACTTATTTTAAATATGACTTCACGTCACAATTAGCACACTCTAAAATGACTAACAGTACGACTGAATGAAAGGACATTCGTAACACGGTGAAATGTCTGGAACGGCACACACTTCATATTGAGGAGACGGACGTTCTGCCATCTCAGTGACTTCCCGCTAGTTTCTACATTTCCTATCAGAGTCCTGCCGTTTGAGGTTTCTAGCGATAAGTCCAAGTGCTCCGCTGAGTCTCGGCTATTTGAAACCTCTATGTTCTTAGGCTACTCTGACTGCAAAGAGACTTGGCGTCCACGCGGGAGCACATCCGTTCCCAGCACAGCCCGCTCCGAGGGGGCGAACCGAGGCGGCGTGCGGGAGAGGGCCGGACCGCCTCACCTACCGTTGTGGGACATCCCGACCGAAAGGCACTTGTGGAAACGGCAATACTGGCACTTGTTGCGGTTCTTTTTCTGGATCTTGCAGCTGCGGTCGCATTTGCCGTACACCAGCTTCAGCCGGACGGTCCGCCGGAAGAAGCCCTGCGAGATTCGGACACGGTCTGTTAGAGAATGCGGCCCGCTGGCAAGTCAGCGCCAGTGCTTCAGCCTTCGTTGCTCGTTTATCCTCTCTTTTCAAACCAACCAAACACAGAGAAACTGCTCTGGAAAGCCGGATATAACTGCGACAAATCATTTTAAACTTCATTACGTTCAAAATGAAAAACAATAAAAGCGAGCGAAAATTCAAAGCAATTCTAAGATGTCCTCATCCGACCTGGGGAGACACGATGACGGGTTTCCAGAGAGCTGCGCAGCCCTGCCGTGATGTGTCTGAATGAAACTTTCCCCTCCATGGTGACATTTCCATATTTGTGACCAAAAACTTCCTAGGAATTTCTGTAAGAGCGTATTAACTTCCTCAAAGACAAGAACTGTAATAAAAGGAAGCCAGCTATTTGCGAACGGTTTTCTTGCTTCCTAAAAGCGCCTTAAACTTTGCCCAGTAAGGAACAACTTTATTAGTGAGTCCATAAAAGAACCAAAAACTAAACAAAAGTCATGAAACCATGGCCCCAAGGAAAAGGCCGTTTTACGAGTAGCTTTTTAGAAGGCATGTGGTCAGAAAACATGGAAGGAGTTTATTTTTGCTTTGCGTTCTTTTCCCGTCTTTGCTTTTAGGTTATCCCCCGCGTCTCTGCCGTGCCGGGTCTGCCGGGCCCACGGGAGAAGGAACAGTGACTTCCTGGGGGACGTGAGAGCAAGGCTGACACCTTCACTGGGTGCCCTCACCACCTAGCTTCACAGACCGGATGGCTACAGGCCGTGCGGGATGACAGAGGAAGGGCGCGAAGGGACAGTTCTGCTGGCGCCCCGGCAGCGCTGCCCACTGTCCCGGTGGACCCGGCCTCCAAGGCCAGCCCTGGCCCGGGGCAGACGTTGGTGTTTCAGGAACGTGCGCTGTGTAGCGTAGTACCAGGAAAGGCCGTGGCATTTTCCAAAAGTTTAGTGCACGCTTCCAGCACGAGCAATGGAAGGGATGTCCGGCTCTGAGCGAACATTCATGGTGCTAGATCTCCCTCGTGTCGTGCGCATGAAGCGCCAGGCCAGGCTTGAGCACGCAAATGCAACCCTAAAAGGGTGAGCTGCTCCAGGGCCCTTGGGACTCTGCTACACGGAAGGGCCGATGCTCCATGGGCAGCTGCTGGACAAGGGCCTGTCTTCACGCCCCCCGGCCCTGGGTCAGCGCCGTGCAGGGCCCGGCTGGGCTGGCATGAGCACGAGGACATGCACAGGGTACACGGGCTCGGGTGCACAGGCTCCGCCAAGCAGGAGCTGCCCCGGGTCGGGAGTAGCAGCGGAGAAGCCAGAACCGGTTCCAGTCCCCCGCTGGGTGCTGTGGTACCCTGAGCAGGACCCTCCGCCTGTGAGGGCCAGTCCCCTCCCCTGGTACGTGAGAACACCTGCCCTCCCTGGCCTTTGGGAAGGGTCAAAAGGTAAGTGGGCAAATGCTCCCCACCTGTACTCACACGAAAGGGTCACTCTTAACCCTAACGTGGCTCATTTTCTTTTAAAGAACGCACTTCTCTACGTTATTTACAAAGTACAGCAGAACAATCTACCCTAGACTCCCTGAAGACAGGAATTAATCTGTCATTTAGGTCAGCTTCTCATCTGGGACTTTCTGCGGATCTCTTTTGGTAATGACAGGCATTTGCACAGAAGATAAATGTCACCACAAGTAGTAGTTGCCGGCGGGGTTGCCCCGTGCCAGGTCACTCTACCTTGCAGCCTTCGCACGCATGAACTCCGTAATGGTAGCCTGAGGCTTTGTCCCCGCAGATACGACATTCAATGTTTAATGGTCCACTGGGAGACTCCTCTGTGCTACCAGGAACCACAGGGCAGGTAACCGAGGAGGGACTTGAAGCTGGTGAAAGGGTATCTAGGGGAAAAAGAGGGAAGACTGATGAATATTCAAAGTGTCACTATCCTACATCGAGATCGGTCTTTGAGGACATGAATGAGCACACGAGCACTGAGCACGAGAGTCGGCAGGGCACCGTCCCGAGACAGGCCCCTGTCTTTGGGTCACACTTCCCATGCTCTTGTGGCCACCATAGTGCTGGTGACCCCAAAGCTTGCACACTCTCACTGGCTCCTGCTGACCCCTGGGCTCCAGATCCACACGTGCCTCCACCTACGGGGCACCCCTGTCCCCCACGCTCCACATGTGCGACACAGAACTCATTATTTTGTTTACTCCCTTCCTTCCAGTTCTTCTGCAATCGTTAACTCAGCAAAATGGGACCAGAATACATACAGCGTAAACACTCATGTGGGTAACACCAAATGCATAATCTATGTAAGAAAAAAAAATGAGTTGGAATTTATGAAAACCAAAAACCTCTGCTCTGCAAAAGACACTGCTAAGAAAATAAAAAGACAAGCCACATACCAGGAAAAAAAAATTTGCAAAATACATGTGATAAAAGACTTGTATTCAAAATATAAAAATAAGTCTTAAAAATCAACACTAACAAAACCACTCAATTAAAAAAATGGGCAAAAGATCCAAAAGACACCAGAAAAGAAGATACACAGATAGCAAGGAAGCAAATGAAAAGATGCTCAACATCACTTGTTATAGGGCATTGTGAGTTAAACAACAATGAGATGTCACCACACATCTACTCAAATGACTAAAATCCAAAAAACAGACAACACCAAATTCGATCAGGATGTGGAACCCTCATTCATTCTTGGTGGGAATGCAGAATGGGACAGATACTTCGGAAGACAGTCTGGCAGTTTCTGACGAAGTAAAACAGTTTTCCCATATGATAGGAATTGCACTCCTAGGTATTTATCCAACTGATTTGAAAACTTATGTCCACACAAAAACCTACACATGAATGTTTATATTAGCTTCATTCTTAATTGCCAAAAGTTGGAAGCAACCAAGATGCCCTTCAATAGGTGAACGGATAAACTGTGGTACATACAGACAACGGAACATTATTCAGTGTAAAAGAAATGAGATATCAAGTCATGGAAAGACATGGGTGACTCTTAAATGCATATTGTTAAGTGAAAGAAGCCAGTCTGAAAGGCTACACACAATATGATTCCAAATACACAGCATTCTAGAAAAGGCAAAACTATAGTGGTGGCAAAACAATCAGTCGCTGGGGTGGGATAGGGCAGGCAGGGTTGAATACTGAAGCAAAGGAGTTTTTTGAGGTGCTGAAATTATTCATATGAAAATGTAATGGTGGCTACATGACACTATGCATTTGTCAAAACCCACAGAACTTTACAGTTCAGAGTGAACCTTAATGTGCAGTAATAAAACAAAAATAATTTAGGAGGTTGGAGGATCCCAGGATGGAACACAGAATGTGAAAAAACAATCTAATTGTGTCACAAATATATGCAACAACCTCCCTGAAGGAAGTGAGGGGAAGAAGTGCTCCCCTAAGTAACTCTGTAAATGAGCACAGTCTGTCACACTAAAGGCAAAAGGACCTGCACGTAAGCACGGTGCTCTAGTTGATAAAGTTGTTTCCCACAGGGGTATGGGTTAACAACTCTGATACCATTAGACAGGTATGTGTATAAGGTATATATTAAACATAAATAAATTTTATGTTTAGACTTGAATCCCATCCCCAAATATCTTATTAGGTACATGCAAATATTCCAAAATTTGAATGAATCTAAAGTTCAAAGCACTTCTGGTTCCATGCATTTTAGATAAGGGATGCTCAACCTGCAGTTCCTAGCTCATTCCATAAGGCAAGCATTAATCTGATACCAAAATCAAACAGAGATATTATAGGAAAACTAGAACCAATATCCCTTAGGAACATGGATGCAGAAATTCTTAACAAAATTTTAGCAAGTTAAATCTAATACTATGTAAAGACGGTACTACATTGTGACCAAGGAGGATTTATCCTGGGAATGCAAGGTTGGCTTAACCTTTGAAAATCAAACAATGTACTTTATCATATTAACAAACTAAAAATGGAGAACCATTTGATAATCTTATTAGAGGCAGAAAAAGTACTGTATCAAATCCAACACCAATTCCCAATAAAAATTCACAGCAAACTAGGACTAGAAGGGAACTTCCTCAAACTGATAAAAGGCACCCAAGAAAAACTGTAGCTAACCTCATACTTAATGGCAAAAGATGGAAGCTTTTCTCCTAAGAACAAGAACAAGGCAAGGGTGTTTTACCACTTCTATTTAACATTGTACTTGGAGTTCTAACCAGTGTGATAATGTAAGCAAAAGAAATAAAAGGTATGCAACTTGGAAAGGAAGAAGAGAAACTGTCTTTGTGGCAGATGACATAATTATCTATGTAGAAAATCCTAAATAATCTATTTAAAAAACTACTGGAACTAAGTAGTTTACCAAGGGTGCAGGATATAAGAGTAATATCTAAAAATCAACTACATTTTTATATATACCAATGAATAATCAAACTGTAAAAAAAAACAATACCATTTACAATAGCCATCAAAAATATTAAAATACCTAGAAATAAATCTGACCAAAAATGTGAAAAAATAGAACACTAAAAAACTACAAATATTGCTGAGAGAAATTGAAGAAGACCTAGCTAAATGGAGAAACAACCATGTTCATGGGTAAGATTTAGTTTGGTAAGTTGTCAATTCTCCCCAAATTGACTACAGTTTCAATGCAACTCCAATCAAAATCCCAGCATGCTTTTTTGGTAATAAGCAACAAACTGCTTCTAAAATACATCTGGAAATGAAAAGGACCTATGCTATTGAAAAGATCTTTAGAAGAGAAGAGTTGGAGAACTTAAGCTGGGTGACCTCAGGCCTTCTTCTAAGCTACAGTAATCAGGACACTGCAAGATCAATGACAAAAGAGACAGATCAACGAAGCTGAATAGAGAGCCCAGAAGACGCCTTGCAACAAAGGTACAAAGGCAATTTAGTGGAGACAGCACTCTTTTAAATAAACGTGCTACAAAAGTTGCAACTGCAAATTAAAAAAAAGAAAAATGGAGTTTCAAACTACATACAAAAACTAACTCAGTGGATCTTAGACTTAAATGTAAAACCTAAAAATATAAAACTTCTACAAGAAGTGACTTTGGATCAGGCAAAGATTTCTTAGACATGACACAAAAAGCATGATCCATGAAAGAAAAGACATTGATAAACTAGACTTCATCAAAATTAAGAACTGCTCTTTGAAAGACACTGTTAACAGAAAGACAAACCACAGACCGCAGAAAATATTTGTAAGTCACATTTCTGGTAAAGCACATATACCCAGAATACAGAAATAACTTTCAACAGTCAATGGTAAGAACACAAACAACCCAATTAAAAAATGGGCAAAAAATGTGAACAGAAACGTCATCAAGACAGATTTATGGTAAATAAGCATGAGAAAAGAGACTCAACATCATTCGTCACGAGGGAAACCGAGGCGATACCATTACACAACTATAGAAAGAGTTAAAAAGCTGACGGGGCTATGGAGGAACTAGAACTCCTTTATGCTGCTGGGGAGGACATAAAACAGTACAGCAATTTGGAAAAGATTTTGGCAGTTTCTTAAAAAGTTAAACAAACACCTACCACACGTCCCAGCCATAACACCCGTAGGCATTTGCCCAGGAGAGATGAAAGCAGAGACTTGCACACGATGTTCATAGCAACGTTATTTGTAATAGCCCCAGACTGGACACGACCCAGATGTTCAACAATAGGTACATGGATACACAAGCTGTGGTATGTCCATACAGTGGATAAAAAAGAAGGAGCTACTGAATCACGATGCAGGGCAGAAGAATCTCGAAGGAATTCTGGGGAGTGGAAGAAGCTGGATTAGAAAGAGTTCGTGCTGTATGATGCCATTTATATAAAATTCTAGGAAATACAAACTAACTGATAGAAAGCAGAGCAGGGGTTACTTGGGAGAGAGAGGAGTCCAGAGGTGGGGGAAGAGGAATTACAAAAGAGCGCAGGTAAACCTTGGGTGACGGATGCGGTCACTGTTTGATGAAGGTTTCACGGATGAGTGCGTGTGTGTGCACAGGCAGCAGATGCAGGCTTCAAATACACGCAGTTTATGGTACTGGGGACGAAAAGATACACTGACCAGAGAGCTGGCCTCACCCACCCCACCTCCTGGGGGTAAAGTTGAAAGTAGATGCGTTTCACATATGGCCCTTCTATATGACAAGTTTACATAACTTTAGAGATACCACCCAAAGGATCAGCTTAGACACAAAGATGAAAAATCGAATTCACAAATATGAACTCGTCTTCAATAATCCCATCTCTCAAAATTAGCCAGCAACAGTAACAAGGAAAAATCTGGAAGGAAGCAAAGCAAGAGCTTAAGAATCATCAGATGATTCCAGGTGACCAAAAGCATTAATAAAAACAGCCAGGAGAAGCTCAGAGGGCAGGGAAGATGGGTGAGCACACACGCATTGATTTAAAGGCCAGCAGCCAAAAATCAAGAATGTGCACCCCGGACACTTCAGTGTGGTCACTTTTTGCAAGTTCCTCTTTTTTTTTTTTTCTTCTTGCTATAAAGTTCCTTGGAACTGGCTAACAACAAAGTTGGGACTGCCTCTGTCCCCTAAACCCTCGCCCTCACTGCATTTAGATGGAAGCACAGGTCAGCTCGTGGAACCAGGTCAAATGTGGCTGTCAGCAGATGGTGCAGACCTCGAGGCTGGTCTGCATGAAATTTTCAAGCCTTACCTGTGTCAGAACTTTTAGATGAATTAGAACTTTATTTTAGATTATAGTTCTTGACAATGACTTAAAAGACACTAGTTTTAGAAAAGGAACCTTGACTTAAATTAAATAGAAGATCGTGATTTGAGAACCCTCCTACTTGGGGGCGAGCAGCTGGGAGACAGAGCACAGCGTGAGAGGCTCAGGGGTGAGCTCGATCCTCCGGGGGAAGGCCAGACGGGTCTGAGCGTTCTTTCCTCCCACTCTGGGAAAGAACTTTCCAGAGGTTTCACAACCACACACCCACGCCACTCACACAAATTCTTTATTTTGGAACAACCTCTGGAGTGTATCCGACCCAAAGAAAAAAGTATGTCTCTGCTGGGCACAGTGGCTCATGCCTGTAATCCCAGCACTTTGGGAGGCTGTGGCCAGAGGATCTCTTGAGGCCAGGGGTTTGAGACCAGCCTGGGCAACATAGCAAGACCCCAGTTGACAAAAAACTAACAAAAACTTAAAAATTAGCCAGGCATGGTAGCAGCACATGCCTGTAGTCCCAGCTACTCAGGAGACTGAGGTGGGAGGATCGCTTGAGCCCAGGAGTTGGAGGTTACAGTGAGCTATGATCACCCTGCTGCCCTCCAGCCTGGGTGACAGAACAAGACCCAGTCTCGAAAAAACAACAAAATAAACTCTTTCATTTTAAAATGAACCATATTTTTCTCTCTGGGAGTAGGGGGTGGGGAAGCTGCCTTTCTTAAAAAAGAAAAGATGAGAAAGGAAAAAAAGAAAAACAAACAAAAACAGATAAATCTCTTCAAATCTATAAAGAAAAAAATCACTTTCTGATAACTGCTACCAGTAGTCAGCAGAAGAGGATGATTTTAACTATCGGGGGCTGAGTCTGTGATGAGTGAAGACAGGACCTGTTCTGAAGGGTCGGGAGCCCAGATTCGACCCTGGTCCCCTGGCTTGTGATCTGCAGCACGTTACAGAGTCCTGGGGCCGGCCTCCTTTCCTCGCTCATCACATAAACACAGTGGTGAACACTCAAGGCTGCTCCTGGGATTTGGGGAGACAAGGTGCAGGGGTGGCTTGCACGGTGCTCAGCAGCCAATGCTGTCATTGTCACTACACCGACCCGGGTCTGCCACAAGGCGCCCTGCCCAGGCTCCGCGAGGCGCCCGCCATGCAGACTTTTCCCTGCTCTCCTCCTGCTCTGGAAGCTGCCATCGCCCTGTCCCCTCGGTCCTTCCCCCAGAGCCTGTCCCCTCTGTAATGTGGCGAGAGAAAGGGGGGCAAAACTGGAGCCACTTGTAAAGGTCCATTGGGGTTGCTACAAAGGCTGCTCCGTCACCAAGATCCCCGCGAGTCCTCAGTGTCTCACCTGCGTCGTGCAATTCCTGATTTGCTAAGTTGAGGACACTGTTGCCCTTTACGAGGCATGTTCATGCTAAGATGCGAAGAACACAGATTTGGAGCCAGCCGAGAGGGCAGGGTCCCGTCTAGGCACCATCTCCAGCTGTGTGGACCAGGCCAAGGGACTTAATTTCTCTGAGTTTATCATCTCTATACAGTCAAGTGCTGGCAATGACGTCTCAGTCAGCCACCATGCCATGATCCCAGAGACCGTGATACTGTGTTGCTACTATGCCTTTCACTGATTGGATATTTGTTTTTGTTTTTGTATTTTTTTGGAGTCAGAGTCTCACTCTGTTGCCCAGGCTAGAGTACCGTGGCCACAGCCTAGCTCACAGCAACCTCAAACTCCTGGGCTCAAGCGATCCTCCTGCCTCAGCCTCCCTAGTAGCTGGGACTACAGGCATGCGCCACCATGCCCGGCTAACTTTTTCTATATATTTTTAGTTGGTCAATTAATTTCTTTCTATTTGTAGTAGAGACGGGGTCTCGCTCTTGCTCAGGCTGGTCTCGAACTCCTGAGCTCAAACGATCCACCCGCCTCGGCCTCCCAGAGTGCTAGGATTACAGGCGTGAGCCACACCGCGCCAGGCCCTGATTGGATATGTTTAGACACACAAATGCTTGCCATTGTGCTACAGCTGCCTACGGTATGCAGTAGGCACATACCATACAGATGTGTCACCCAGGAGTGGTAGCCTAGGTGTGTGGCGGGCTACGCCATCTGGGTCTGTGTACGTGCACGCTGCGATGTTTGCACAACAAAGAAATCGCCTGGTGGCTCATTTCTCAGAACTTGTCCCTGTCACTAAGTGACACACGACTGCGATGCCCACATATCCCCCACCCGGGTCCATCGCACTGCTTCGTGTCCTTTTACAAATACAGCCTAGAGAGAACTAGGGTCCCCACGAGACCTCCGCAGGGCCACCTCCCTCCCTCCAGCCATGCCCGAGACCGTAGCGCTTCGTGACGTGTGTGTCTGTGCCCACCGGTGGCACATTGTTCCGTGGCTGAGATCTCACATGAATCGAGCACACTGAACACATCCCTGAGCGTGTTTGTTTTCATTCAACATTGCTTTCTGGCTGGGCTCGTGTTGATACGCGCAGAGCCGGCTCCTTCTTTTAGATGACTATGAACTAGTCCACTGTATGAACCCACCACGATGTGTCCCTTTCCCCTCAATGAATGATCGGCTTGTTCCTACTCTTCAATGGCAAGCAGCAGCTTCAATGCGGACCCTTGTGTGCGCCTCCTTTGAAACAATGTCCAGCTGTCTCCCCCGGGCTCGCTGGGGTTCGGGGTCTGTGCACTTTCAAGTGCTCTACATAACATGCATTTCGGGCATCATTTGCCTCGTGTGTAGCCTCTACGCGCAGGCTCACTACGAGAAGCCAGATATACTCTATTTCTTTTTTATTTATTTTTTTCTCACCCCACCCCTCCAAGAGAGAGACTTTAAAAGCGCCCAGATCCCGACAGCACTGGACATGGTGTCCGAAGGGTTCTTTGCAAAAAGGTGTGACTTCTTTTCCGGCTAAAGACAACAATTTGCTCTGAGGAAGAAATATTTCCAACTCTCAAGTGTTCCAGGAAACAGCACACTTACCGGTGATGACAGACCCATCCGAGCCCGGACCGCTTCCTAGATACTGGTATTCGGTAAAACTAAAGCTTCCAGAACTGTCCTCTCCGATGGACTGAGAGATCTCCTGGATGTTTCCCATTTCCTGCAGGAACTCTTCAGACAACGGGCTCCCCAGGTCATCGGGCTTGAGTGGGGACAGGGGGCAGATGGGGCTCTCCATGTCCATCATCCCGCACGGGCGGCGGGCTCACGCCGCGGAGCTCGGCTGCGTGGAGGGAAGAGGAGTCATGGGTAAACTGATCGGTAACAACGCGAGTTTGCTTTTTAGAAACGAAACACCACTTACCACTGAGGATGTGCCTGAACCCAGAACCTGCACGGCATTTTGCTGAGCATCTTTTCCAGGCTTGACACACCGAGAAAGGGAGGAGTCTTTAGGCAGTGAAATGTTCGAGGAGCCAAAGCTTGTCAAGCCGAGACTGTCATGCCCTACTGACTGCGCGCTGTGTGCTGAGCTCGGGCCGTCGTATTCGAGGCGCGCACAGAGACAGCAGAAGCAGCGTCCCGGCTCTCAGGGAGCCACCCTTCTCCTGGGCACACGGGAGTGGAGCACGTAAACAAACACACGTGTGGAGTGTCTGGTGGTGACAAGATGACGCAGGACAGTGGACAGGGAAGGCCTCACTGCCTAGAGCCAGGAGAGACCTCGGGGAACGAGGGAGCAAGCTGTGTAGATGTCTTGGGGGAGAATGTTCCAGCAAAGGGAACACCCAAAGGCCCCAGGACCGGAACGTGCTGGGACACTCTAAGAACAGCAAGGGGGCCCGTGGCTCAGGCCGGGGGGCGTGGGGAGCCGTTAGCACGTGTGCCGGGTATGATGTGTCACTCTTGTGTGGTGTTCGCCCTGTGCCCACGGAAGTGACTCACGTAGGCAGTCCTCAAAAATGATTGTATAGGCCGGGCGCGGTGGCTCACTCCTATAATCCTAGCACTCTGGGAGGCCGAGGCGGGAGGATCACTCAAGGTCAGGAGTTTGAGACCAGCCTGAGCAAGAGCGAGACCCCGTCTCTACTACAAATAGAAAGAAATTAATTGGCCAACTAAAAAGATATATAAAAAATTAGCCGGGCATGGTGGTGCATGCCTGTAGTCCCAGCTACTCGGGAGGCTGAGGCAGTAGGATTGCTTGAGCCCAGGAGTTATGAGGTTGCTGTGAGCTAGGCTGACGCCACGGCACTCACTCTAGCCCGGGCAACACAGTGAGACTCTGTTTCAAAAAAAAAAAGAAAAACGAAAGCGTGTATTCCACGTGGGCATGGCGACAAAACAGCAGTTTCTGGGTGAATCTGCATCGCGATCTTGCTCAGACGTCTTAAACCACTCCCTGCAGCCCAGTCTCCTGTGCCCAGTCTCCTGTGCACACCACTTGGACCCTTCAGGACGTGTCCCCACCTGATCATGCACATGCCACCGTCCTACAGAGTCTTGCCCCTCCCTGCCCAGGGGCACTTGCCTGATCTGCCCTCCCCAGCGCTGCCTTCTGGAGGCCGAGGGGGTGACATTTAGCCCCCGGAACCGTTTTCCCATGGGGGGGGTGGTCACGGCGATGCCCACTGCCCACAGCACGGGGAGGGTCATAGGAGGCGTGTGCTGCACCTGTCGTCACATGGGCTGCACCTGCTGTCACACTGCGACCACAGGACCCCAGACTGCCCAGATGGAGTGAAGAACACTTTCCAAAGCAAACATCCATCCATTAGATGTGTTTGTATGAACACGTTTTCACATTTCAGGTTTGCTCTACGTAGATAACAGCGTCAAGGGCAAACAGGAAGGGATGCGTTGGCTCCCTCCGTATAGGAAAAATAACGTACAATTCACACACCTTTGTGAGATTCACATCTCATGCTTGGAATTATGATAATAAATTATCATAGCTGCCAGTAACACAGAAAAATAGAAGAGAACTGTTTTTAGCCTTTCGTAGGATTTAGAAGACTTTCTTTCCCCATGATCCATGGGTGTAAGTCAGGCCGTGAGCCTGCGTGGCTGCCTATCGTACTTCATTCTGCACTGCATCCGGAGGAAGAGGCCTTCAAATGGCCGGCCAGGTGACAGGTGAGCACTGCTTAAAATAGTTGTCACTACAAACAAAGAATTCAAAAGCTGCAGTCACTAACTCTCTGTAACCACAAAGTTCCTCCTCCTAGAAAGCAAACGTGGGGCAGAGGCGCGTTATGGGTGGGGCTGCGGCCCCCTCCCCTTCCACAATCGCGGTCCCGGCCCTGCAGAGGAGAATGCATGGGGACAACAGTCTGATTCCCGCAGATACTCTTTCTCCAAGCCGGGTGCCCCAGACTAACATAACCATGTTAGTGTCCTTGTCATTACGTTCAGGGAGTCA